CGTTATTGATGTTTTTGGCTATGGTAGAGTACGTATTTAGGCTGACTGGTTGGTTTTGATGACGTTATTGATGTTTTTGGCTTTGGTAGAGTACGTATTTAGGCTGACTGGTTGGTTTTGATGACGTTATTGATGTTTTTGGCTATGGTAGAGTACGTATTTAGGCTGACTGGTTGGTTTTGATGACGTTATTGATGTTTTTGGCTATGGTAGAGTACGTATTTAGGCTGACTGGTTGGTTTTGATGACGTTATTGATGTTTTTGGCTATGGTAGAGTACGTATTTAGGCTGACTGGTTGGTTTTGATGACGTTATTGATGTTTTTGGCTATGGCAGAGTACGTATTTAGGCTGACTGGTTGGTTTTGATGACGTTATTGATGCTGTTGGCTATGTCAGAGTACGTATTTAGGCTGACTGGTTGGTTTTGATGACGTTATTGATGTTTTTGGCTTTGGTAGAGTACGTATTTAGGCTGACTGGTTGGTTTTGATGACGTTATTGATGTTTTTGGCTATGGTAGAGTACGTATTTAGGCTGACTGGTTGGTTTTGATGACGTTATTGATGTTTTTGGCTATGGGAGAGTACGTATTTAGGCTGACTGGTTGGTTTTGATGACGTTATTGATGTTTTTGGCTATGGTAGAGTACGTATTTAGGCTGACTGGTTGGTTTTGATGACGTTATTGATGCTGTTGGCTATGGTAGAGTACGTATTTAGGCTGACTGGTTGGTTTTGATGACGTTATTGATGTTTTTGGCTTTGGTAGAGTAGAGTACGTATTTAGGCTGACTGGTTGGTTTTGATGACGTTATTGATGTTTTTGGCTATGGTAGAGTACGTATTTAGGCTGACTGGTTGGTTTTGATGACGTTATTGATGTTTTTGGCTATGGTAGAGTACGTATTTAGGCTGACTGGTTGGTTTTGATGACGTTATTGATGTTTTTGGCTATGGTAGAGTACGTATTTAGGCTGACTGGTTGGTTTTGATGACGTTATTGATGCTGTTGGCTATGGTAGAGTACGTATTTAGGCTGACTGGTTGGTTTTGATGACGTTATTGATGTTTTTGGCTATGGTAGAGTACGTATTTAGGCTGACTGGTTGGTTTTGATGACGTTATTGATGTTTTTGGCTATGGTAGAGTACGTATTTAGGCTGACTGGTTGGTTTTGATGACGGTATTGATGTTTTTGGCTTTGGCTATGGTAGAGTACGTATTTAGGCTGACTGGTTGGTTTTGATGACGTTATTGATGTTGTTAGCTATGGTAGAGTACGTATTTAGGCTGACTGGTTGGTTTTGATGACGTTATTGATGTTTTTGGCTATGGTAGAGTACGTATTTAGGCTGACTGGTTGGTTTTGATGACGTTATTGATGTTTTTGGCTATGGTAGAGTACGTATTTAGGCTGACTGGTTGGTTTTGATGACGTTATTGATGTTTTTGGCTATGGTAGAGTACGTATTTAGGCTGACTGGTTGGTTTTGATGACGTTATTGATGTTTTTGGCTATGGTAGAGTACGTATTTAGGCTGACTGGTTGGTTTTGATGACGTTATTGATGTTTTTGGCTATGGTAGAGTACGTATTTAGGCTGACTAGTTGGTTTTTATGACGTTATTGATGTTTTTGGAGTTGGTAGAGTACGTATTTAGGCTGACTGGTTGGTTTTGATGACGTTATTGATGTTTTTGGCTATGGTAGAGTACGTATTTAGGCTGACTGGTTGGTTTTGATGACGTTATTGATGTGTTTTTGGCTTTGGTAGAGTACGTATTTAGGCTGACTGGTTGGTTTTGATGACGTTATTGATGTTTTTGGCTATGGTAGAGTACGTATTTAGGCTGACTGGTTGCTTTTGATGACGTTATTGATGTTTTTGGCTATGTCAGAGTACGTATTTAGGCTGACTAGTTGGTTTTGATGACGTTATTGATGTTTTTGGCTATGGTAGAGTACGTATTTAGGCTGACTGGTTGGTTTTGATGACGTTATTGATGTTTTTGGCTATGGTAGAGTACGTATTTAGGCTGACTGGTTGGTTTTGATGACGTTATTGATGTTTTTGGCTTTGGTAGAGTACGTATTTAGGCTGACTTGTTGGTTTTGATGACGTTATTGATGTTTTTGGCTATGGTAGAGTACGTATTTAGGCTGACTGGTTGGTTTTGATGACGTTATTGATGTTTTTGGCTTTGGTAGAGTACGTATTTAGGCTGACTGGTTGGTTTTGATGACGTTATTGATGTTTTTGGCTATGGTAGAGTACGTATTTAGGCTGACTGGTTGGTTTTGATGACGTTATTGATGTTTTTGGCTTTGGTAGAGTACGTATTTAGGCTGACTGGTTGGTTTTGATGACGTTATTGATGTTTTTGGCTATGGTAGAGTACGTATTTAGGCTGACTGGTTGGTTTTGATGACGTTATTGGTGCTGTTGGCTATGGTAGAGTACGTATTTAGGCTGACTGGTTGGTTTTGATGACGTTATTGATGCTGTTGGCTATGGTAGAGTACGTATTTAGGCTGACTGGTTGGTTTTGATGACGTTATTGATGTTTTTGGCTTTGGTAGAGTACGTATTTAGGCTGACTGGTTGGTTTTGATGACGTTATTGATGTTTTTGGCTATGGTAGAGTACGTATTTAGGCTGACTGGTTGGTTTTGATGACGTTATTGATGTTTTTTTTGGCTATCGTATAGTACGTAATTACGCTGACTGGTTGGTTTTGATGACGTTATTGATGTTTTTGGCTATGGTAGAGTACGTATTTAGGCTGACTGGTTGGTTTTGATGACGTTATTGATGTTTTTGGCTATGGTAGAGTACGTATTTAGGCTGACTGGTTGGTTTTGATGACGTTATTGATGTTTTTGGCTATGGTAGAGTACGTATTTAGGCTGACTAGTTGGTTTTGATGACGTTATTGATGTTTTTGGCTTTGGTAGAGTACGTATTTAGGCTGACTGGTTGGTTTTGATGACGTTATTGATGTTTTTGGCTTTGGTAGAGTACGTATTTAGGCTGACTGGTTGGTTTTGATGACGTTATTGATGTTTTTGGCTTTGGTAGAGTACGTATTTAGGCTGACTGGTTGGTTTTGATGACGTTATTGATGTTTTTGGCTATGGTAGAGTACGTATTTAGGCTGACTAGTTGGTTTTGATGACGTTATTGATGTTTTTGGCTATGGTAGAGTACGTATTTAGGCTGACTGGTTGGTTTTGATGACGTTATTGATGTTTTTGGCTTTGGTAGAGTACGTATTTAGGCTGACTGGTTGGTTTTGAGACGTTATTGCTATTGTTACGCTGCTGTATTGATGTTTTTGGCTTGGTAGAGTACGTTTTTAGGCTGACTGGTTGGTTTTGATGACGTTATTGATTTTTTTGGCTTTGGTAGGTACTGGTTGGTTTTGTAAACACTACATTGGTTTTATTTTCTATACGTTCAGGCTGACAGAGTTTTGATGACGTTATTGATGTTTTTGGCTATATGGTAGAGTACGTATTTGATAACAGAATGTGGTCAAGTTTGATGTAACCTTACCTGAGTGATGGGATAGCCTATCATTAATATCAACAAATTTTGGCTGCATAATGTATTGATGAATACTGTTGGTATACCATTATAGTACCGATAACCTGACCGCGTTATCTTACATATCCAGTTGAATTACGCCGACGGAAAGCGTTCGTAAGACACATCCGTTCCCACACTTCAGCTTAGTGCATGATTGTGTACACTTTTAACAATTTAAAACTAACATTGGCAGCGGTAATCTACCCTAATATCCTGGATGGACTGTTTGCCACGGGTTCGTAGTGTAAAGGAGTTCGAACAGAGAACAGCCTGACAGGAGGGTCTGTTCTCCTTGAGTCCGCACAGAGTACACCCCAACAGGAGGGTCTGTTCTCCAGGAGACCGTACATAGTACATCCCGACAGGAGGGACTGTTCTCCAGGAGTTCGTACAGAGTACATCCTGACAGGAGGGTCTGTTCTCCAGGAGTTCGTACATAGTACATCCCGACAGGAGGGACTGTTCTCCAGGAGTTCGTACAGAGTACATCCTGACAGGAGGGTCTGTTCTCCAGGAGACCGTACAGAGTACATCCCGACAGGAGGGACTGTTCTCCAGGAGTTCGTACAGAGTACATCCTGACAGGAGGGTCTATTCTCCAGGAATCCGTACAGAGTACATCTCCACAGGAGGGTCTGTTCTCCAGGAGTCCGTGCATAGTACACCCCGACAGGAGGGTCTGTTCTCCAGGAGTCCGTACAGCGTAACCCAAACAGAAACACTGTTCTCCAGACTCTTACCATATACCGGTCAACCTTGCAAGTATTACACTGTGTTGAAATTCATTAGAATTACTTCTTATTTTTAATATAACATAGGATGAATCTATCACCAGTTGAGTAGATACTATTTTGAGATGTCAGCGAACACGTTAAAATGAACGTTGACCTACATCACCAGCATTAGTGTGAAGTGCCTTAAAAGCATTAAGTGTTTATATGATGATTCATTTGAATGATACTTTGATTCTTAAACTAAATAGGATTGTATTATGTGCACACGTGTCCAGTTTTAGACCATCGTGCTCCGTTGTATTTGCTCTCGACAAGACGTCTTTTTATCACTATTCTAAGTCACGAATTACGAACTGAAGAAAACATTTATAACTGCATTGGCACCTGAAAGTTGCTTTTGCATGGGATAGTTTGTCATTAATATCCGGAAACCTTGGCTGCATAATATATTTCATCATAGACGTTTATGCGTGTCATGACCATGTTGAAAATGAATAAATAAATAAATAAATAAAACACAAGCAAATGAATATCAACAACCGTTGTAAATATACCACATATGCCACAGCTTCGGATAGAATTACGAGGCTAACATAAAATTATTAAAAACAAAGTGTAAGAATATTTTCCATTTCGTTGTTGACAGGAGAGTATACATCATGGTGCAGATATTTAGATTGATGTCTTCAGTATTTATAACGATGATCTGTATCACTGAAGAAGCTGCCGCCGACAGATGTAAGAAATACGCCGACCAAGTCCTTCTCGTGTCCATGGACGGGTTCAGATATGACTATCCAGAAAAAACGCCCACACCAAACTTCGACAAAATGGCGCGAAATGGAGTGAGAGCGCAATACGTCAACAATACATTCCTCACCAAGACCTTCCCAACCCACTACAGCATCGTTACAGGTAGGAGTAATGTTGAGTGTGTATCTAGTACATGTCTAAGATTCAGTGAAATCTTTTTCCGGGGGAGAGGGATATATTAAAAAGTATATTTATGATCATTTAAAAGTAAACATCTCGATCCATTTATTTCTCCAAAATGCTTATTTATTTCCTGTATCTATACTTTCTTATTTCTACGTAATCGTATCATCCAAGATTTCTGTCTATTGGGAATAATTTTGAAAAATACAGTTTAGTATATATTCAATAGGTGCTGAAATAAAATGGCAGGTGTTTTATGAATAGACCACGTTGGAGTGATAATGTGGTATAGGCTACAATTACTTGATAGTACTTGATGATACATAATGGGGAGGGGTTTTTGGTCAAATGAGTAATGAACGAGGCCAGTAGAACAAGTGCATTGACATTCAGGACTGTGTTGTTTTTTGCATGTAGTTGTACTTTTGACACCAAATTTACAAAAATTACAAATATAAAAAGGCATGTCATATACTATAAAATCGCTTGTTAATCACAGGACTGTACGATGAAAGTCACGGAATTGTTGGAAATACCATGTACGATCCTCAATTCGACGAAATCTTCACCCTGGCGTCAAAAGAGACGAAATGGTGGGACAGTGGAGAACCCATTTGGATAACAGCCCGAAAGCACGGCCTTACTTCCGGTACCATGTTCTGGCCCGGAAGTGAAGTGGAGATTCAAGGAATGTATGCAAACAAGTGGTATAACTATGATAAATCCATTACTTTCGATCAACGTATAGATATCGTCATTAACATGCTGAAACACGACAAATTTAATTTTGTAACCACTTATTTTCACGAGCCGGACCGGACTGGACACATCTACGGACCAAATTCACCGGAAATTGTCGAAAAGATCACGGAGATGGACACACTTCTCGGAACACTCTTGGACAAATTGACTGCAAATGGACTCCAAAATAAAGTTAATCTAATCCTGACAAGTGACCACGGAATGACCGAAATAGATTGCGAGAACAAACTTTTGGATATTTACAATTTAGTGGATAAATCCTTGATCGAGCGCACAGTGGACAGTGGTCCGATTATGCACGTGGTTCCAAATGTTGGACAGGGAGATACTATTTTAAATGCAATAAATAATCACCCTCACTTCACAGCCTACAGAAAAGCTGATATACCTGACAGATGGCACTATAAAAACAACCGAAGAGTAATGCCGATCTTTGTGGTGTCCGATGAAGGATGGTCTATAACAGAGGTAAATACAAATTTAAATATACATGTCAGGTAAACAAAATGTATTGTTTATGCCAAAGATGAATATTATATCTTAAAAATATTGATGTTAGTGTTTTAGAAGTTATTAACCGCACCAAGTCAACAGTGGAAAAGGTATCAATAATATGGAAGAGTCAATGCCTTAAACGAGGGCAGCGTGGAGATGGTTTTTTTTTTTTTTTTTTTTACGAAATTGTCATATTTTCAAATCGAAGACAAGTGTAAGTTTTCAAAAACCTATTTTTAATACAAAGGAATCGACAATAATCATTTACATAGTTTCTCTTAAATCAATCTTTGTATTTGAGAACATAGTATTTATTTATACATGTTTGCATGCAGGAAAATAACGAAAATTATTTTGAGAAATAACACCGTCTATGGCCTCAATGTACTTTGCAAAAATCATGGAAGACCGTATTACCTACATCAGTAAAAAAAATTCTGCGTTTCATATTTTGGAATAATGTTGTTCGTGTTATTGTGTGTTTTTGTATGTTCCGTGGTTTTAACCGGAAGTTAGATAAAAAGGAAAGCAAATGAAATTTGATACGAAAATCTATTGTCTGAAACAAGCTTTGGCTTAACAGGTTTCAATTTCTAATGTATCTGTTATTATGTTTGAATGGTTTTCAAATATATATTTGAAGGATTTTTTTTAGTAGGGCAGGATAACTATCTTTATTGAATTCCCTCACGACACTCTATACCATCAATCACTTGCTATCAAAGATCCATTTTGGTGTCTGTTGTCAGTGACTATTACTTCGCAAAATAAACGATTATTCTTTCGTCATTTTTGAGATGGATCTTCGAATTAATCACTATAACTCAAGACAAATGGAGTCGTTTATTCAATCGTAAGAAAAGCAATGACAGAAAAAAAACTGCAACATTAAAAGAATAAAAAAAGCTTTGTTACGTTCGTTTCAGAATGCTACTGCCATTAGACTCAATCCAGGAAAAGGTAACCATGGATACGACAACGATTTGATGTCAATGAAGCCGATATTTTATGCCATGGGTCCTAACTTCCGGTCGAACTTCCTTGCACCACCACTCAGGTCAGTTGATATTTACACACTGGTGTGTGAACTACTTGGTATTTCGCCGTCTCCTAACAACGGTACCCTAGACAACACAGCAGACCTCTTGCAACCTTTCAACAACGACCAACAAATTTGTGATGGGGCTATCAGTTTCACTTCTGGAAGACTGAGTCTTCTGTCATGGATTCTTTCCGTCGTTGTCATGGTTATGACATAAAAAAGTTACATAACAGAGACGGAAATGTCGAAGTCCAGCGAAATCTTGGAAATGGAAAGTTGAGACCGAAAGGAGTGCACATCTTGTAACCACAATAAACACCAATACTACAATCTATTGCACAAATACATATAGTTGTACATCGTCTCTTGGATATGACACTCACGACCTACAGCCTGGATGATTTATATTAATCTGTGTGTTCCCATTGTCTTTTTTTCTGTGGGTTTCAGTCAATAAACAGTATATCATAGGAAAACCTAACCACTACAAATCTTTACAATTGAAATAATTTATTATAGATATTGGCGTTACATATACAGAAGCATACAGGAAGCATGAGGAGAGAAGTATCATTACAAACCATAACAACCATTAAACGTCAGCATTAAAGAAGAAAGTTTTAAACATATTCCTGAGTTAAGCCATCGACTTCATGATAATATATGACATTCAACATTCTGTTGACATCATCAAAACTGTAAGTCACTTTATCAACTAATTATTAGGTAATAGTCAATTACCTTACCACTTTGAAACTCCAGTTAAGCATTCAATACCATCGTCAACATCAACAGATCTTTTATTCTAATTATCTCTGACAGAGCAGCTACGTCACAAACGTACAGTGTGAATTCAAACTACTTTTATCATTTATAAATGATCTTATGTATCGTAAAACATTATTTCTGACACCATTTCATTCTAATAAGTCTATGTACAATAATAAATGGCTCCCACCATCACAACTGGTATTTCCTATGCAATATTCATATTTACATGTTGTATAATGAACTCTGACAACTTAAATGTGTATATCACAGTGAATTTTAACATATGACGTAGTTACAAAAACAATTTTAGAAAACTCGAATTATAATGGGTTGTTCGGCAACTTGTATTACTACTCAATACGAGTAGTCTCCCTTACTCAACCTTTTTACTTGTGGAGAGGAATAAAACTACTGCAATAAACATGACTAGCTAGTATCACAGATATCGTTATATTGGCACACACTAAATAATACCCTTGTTTGCCGGAATATTATTTCATATTGTTGAAGACAAGGTGATTTACTTAAGATAGCTTGTGAATATAATCAGTATAGATGATTACATACAAACGTACATACAAATATGGTACAGACGCTGTGTCCTTTGTATGTCTGAAGCAACATTTTCAACGGTTTACAGCATCTACATAGGACATTGACGTTTGGCATTTCGACAAGTAGTCACGCTTGCTTTACAATGTAAAGGGACACAAACATTAAACATAACACGTAAAATTATCAGGGAAAAAAGGGCATGATTCTAAACGCACTTAATATTTGTCATCATTAGGGGAAATTGTAAGTTGTGTCGTCTGGCATTTCCTCCTCAAGCACTGTTTTGTAAGCCATTTCTACTCATCCCAGATGCAAGTGCATCACCATCACATTTTCTACTTACAAAATTACATTTTGATTATTTGTTTTTTCGGTAGCTGGTGTTTGATGGTGTTGCTTGCTGCTGTTTTGCTGTCGTTTTATGTTGTTTGCTACTGTTTGCTGTTGTTCGCTGTTGCTTTGCTATTTTTTGCCGCTGTTTGGTGTTGTTTTGCTGCTGCTGAAATTACCACATTTTCTATTTGCAAAGTTCACATTTTTCAAAATAATATTTTGATTTTTTTTCAACATTTCTAATGATAGCGAAAAAAAAACACAACTTTGGTTGTTGGTTTCTGCTGTTTAATTCTGTTTTGCTGCTGATTGTAGTTGTTTTGCTGCTGTTTGCTGTTTTTATTGATAACATTCTAGCTTTTTAGAATTCATATTAAAAAAAAAATTACTTATTTACATTTTAAACTGGCAAACTGTTTTAAGTAGGCTGAGGAGGATTAATAGTAGTATTCTTCCACAACTATACACATGAAACTAGGTCACATTTTGATAACAGAATGAGGTCATGTTTGGTGTTTTCTTCAAATAACGTGTATGAAAAATCGTATATAACACTTTGGTTATGTTTCCATCTAAATAAATATTTTATTGACATAAATGGAAATTTAACATTCCTTCAGATAAAAATTAGGTAACAGAAGTTTTAACTTATCTTAATAAAGTTCATTATTCGTTATGCTTCTCAAGTCTTTGGTACATAGTAAAAGTTCTTTAGCTCTATAGTAAGGTACTCTTCTCCGTCAGAAAACATAAAATATTAGTTTTAGATAATCATACTCGCTGCTGATTGTTAATAACATTTCATATCAAAATGACATGGAATAGCCTATCATTAATATCAACAAACTTTGGCTGCATGCTAAATTGCTCAATACTGTCTGTTTATCATTATAGTCTCAATAACCTGACCGAGTTATATTACTCCTTATCGCTTGCTTGTGTACACTACTGAAGATTTATTAGTGCTGATAACGGTTGTGTGACAGTTTGCCAACACTGGGTAGATGAAAGAAAATGGAGAACAAAGGAAAAACAATTATAGTTTGTTCTATAAAAGTGCCACCTGTTACCTGTAAAAATTTCCCTGTACAGATAAATTTACCTGTATATAACATATCTATTTTCAAATTACTATGTAGTAAAATGATGATATATAGCGCTTTAGTTTCTTAAAATAAAAATAAAAGAAATTAATAAACAAAAATATTTTTAATTTAATCAAAATCTTATACATTCATAATATATACTTACTTTTCAAATAAACATATATACAAGTGAATTAAGTAGCACTACCAATATTAACTAATATAAAAAATGACTCCTATTGCGAATAAATACAAATATATAGCACTAATATCATTAATGTAATTATATGATAAACATGTAACACAAAACACATCTTCGTCGCCGAGATGAACAAGGTGAGAAGCTGCATTGGCGTAATCCATCAGGTCCATTGTGTTGTTGTGAAGACGTTCCTTCAGCTGTGCGAGTCTGTGTTCAATGGTCCGGTATTTCTTTGCCCGTGGTCTGTAAGATCCTCCTGTGCTGCGCTGTATCCTGGTAATCTCGTTGACTGCCTGTATCTCCTGAAATATCCGGATCAGTGTGTAGATGTTCGGGTGGGAGAGTTGTGTCTTCTTCTTCAGCTTCCCGTGCCAGGCTTCCAGGTGGTTGGTGGTTCTGGGTCCTTCTGTGTCGTGATGGTTCCACATGCGTTTGTTTCCTTCTTTCCAGTGAGTGACGACGTAATCAGTGATGCGGGTTGTGTCGCAGGGTACATGAGCATCCTCCAGTTCCTCCAGGGCGTTGAACCAAACATCCTCGACGCGGTCCAGTGGTACCAGGGGTAGTACTGCTGCTAATCTCACAAGGCGGTTGATGTCGTCGTTTTCTTGGTAGGGTATCTTTAGGCCATTGGTCTGGGCGTTCTTCCAAATACACTGGGTGTAGTGATCTCTCGGGCTATAACATTTGCTTGATCAGCGGGATGAGTGTGGTCATGTTGTCCAAATCCAGTGGGGAGAACGTTCATGGTGTTGATGGTGGCTGCGCAGGTTGCAACAACGCATCTCCAGTATGTTCTCTCAGCACGTCTGGTCTTGACGCTGAAGTTGTAACCGTTGTGGGTCAGGTTCTGTCGTCCAAATTTGTTACGAACAAATTTGATCTGTATCTGTGCATTTGCCATAGTTGTTGTTCAGAATCGTAGTGATGAATCGAATGATGATTTCCAAAAATATGCATGTATTTATACCTAAGGAAAAGGCTTGGGATGTTCATAGTGACAAGTGTTTCATGTCATCAGTGATGATATTTTTCTGAAACAGCTTGGTTAATTTAATAAAGTACCCATTTACTAAGGAAATAGCTTGGGATGTTCATAGTGACAAGTGTTTCATGTCATCAGTGATGATAGTTTTCTGAAACAACTTGGTCAATTTGATAAAGTACCCATTTACTATAATTACTATAACGCCATAAGGCTAAAATATTTCATTATTATTTTTAACGATATAATAACACTTTTGTTTAATACAATACCCTATCTATATCTACAATATAAAATACTAAATACAATTATTGTAAATAAACAAGATGATAGTAAATACAATAAATAAATATATCATTTTTATAAAATACTAAATAGAATGAATGTAAATGTACAATTTCTTAAATTAACCAACTATATTAGCCTACATTACCACTGTATAAGTCTATAGTCAAAATATTTGCCCACAAAGTATCTCCCACAGGTAAACAGACATTCTACAGGTAACCCGTAATTTAGAAACTGACTTTAATCCCTTAATATAACATACCAGAAAACTGGTGTTGGCAAACTGGGAACACCCCCCTGATACCATTGGTGACAAGCAGCGTTTATCTACCCGAATTAATATTAAGGGTCTGTTCTCCAGGAGTCAATACAGAGTACGCCCCGACAGGAGGATCTGTTCTCCAGACTTTTACCATATACCGGTCAACCTTGCAAGTATTAATTACACTGTTGAAATTCATTAGAATAACTTTTACTTTCCCATATTACATATGCTGAATCTATCACCAGTGGAGTAGCTTCTATTTTGAGATGTCAGCGAACACGTTAAAAATGAACGTTTACCTTCATCACCAGTATTAGTGTGAAGCCACTCAAAAGCACTAAGTGTTTATATGATGATTCATTTAAATGATACTTTGATTCTTAAACCAAATAGGATTGTATTATGTGCACACATGTCCAGTTTTAGACCACCATTGTATTTGTTCTCGAAAAGATTTCTTTTTATCACCATTCTAAGTCACGAATTACAAACTGCTTTTGCATGGGATAGCCTGTCATTAACCTTGTCTGCATAATATATTTCATCATAGACGTTTATGCGTGCCATGACCATGTTGAAAATGAATAAATAAATAAATAAAACACAAGCAAATGAATATCAACAACCGTTGTAAATATACCACATATGCCACAGCTTCGGATATAATTACGAGGCTAACATAAAATTATTAAAAACAAAGTGTAAGAATATTTTTCCATTTCGTTGTTGACAGGAGAGGATACATCATGGTGCAGATATTTAGATTGATGTCTTCAGTATTTATAACGATGATCTGTATCACTGAAGAAGCTGCCGCCGACAGATGTAAGAAATACGCCGACCAAGTCCTTCTCGTGTCCATGGACGGGTTCAGATATGACTATCCAGAAAAAACGCCCACACCAAACTTCGACAAAATGGCGCGAAATGGAGTGAGGGTGCAATACGTCAACAATACATTCCCAACCAAGACCTTCCCAACCCACTACAGCATCGCTACAGGTAGGAGTAATGTTGAGTCTGGTGTGCATCTGGAGTTAGTACATGTCATAGATTCAGTTAACCATCCAAGATTTCTATCTATGGGGAATAATTTTAAAAACGGAATTTAGTATATGTTCTAATGGTTGTAATTGTAATGATTATGTGGATATAGGCTACAATTACTGGAATAGTACTTGATGATACACAATGGGAAGGGGGTCAAATGAGTAACGAACGAGGCCAGTAGAACAAGTGCCGTGACTTCAGGATTGTGTTCTTGTTTGCATGTAGTTGTATTATTGACACAAGTACAAACATTACAAATTTTAAAAGTATGTCAGATACTTTAAAATCTCTTTTTAATCACAGGACTGTACGATGAAAGTCATGGAATTGTTGGAAATACCATGTACGATCCGATATTCGACGAAATCTTCACCATGGGGTCAAAGGAGACGAAATGGTGGAACAGTGGAGAACCCATTTGGATAACAGCCCGAAAGCACGGCCTTACTTCCGGTACCATGTTCTGGCCCGGAAGTGAAGTGGAGATTCAAGGAATGTATGCAAACAAGTGGTATAATTATAATGAATCCATTTCTTTCGATCAACGTATAGATATCGTCATTAACATGCTGAAACACGACAAATTTAATTTTGTAACCACTTATTTTCACGAGCCGGACCGGACTGGACACAACTACGGACCAAATTCACCGGAAATTGTCGAAAAGATCACGGAGATGGACACACTTCTCGGAACACTCTTGGACAAATTGACTGCAAATGGACTCCAAAATAAAGTTAATCTAATCCTGACAAGTGACCACGGAATGACCGATGTAGATTACGAGAACAAACTCGTGGACATTTACAATTTAGTGGATAAATCCTTGATCGAGCGCACAGTGGACAGTGGTCCGATTATGCACGTGGTTCCAAATGTTGGACAGGGAGACGTTGTTTTAAATGCAATAAATAATCACCCTCACTTCACAGCCTACAGAAAAGCTGATATACCTGACAGATGGCACTATAAAAACAACCGAAGAATAATGCCGATCTTTGTGGTGTCCGATGAAGGATGGTCTATAACAGAGGTAAATAAAAATTTAAATATACATGTCAGGTAAACAAAATGTATTGTTTATGCCAAAGATGAATTATGTATCTTAAAATATTTATAACTGCACCGAGTCAACATTGGGAAAGAATCAATAATATGGAACAGTCAATGTCTTAAACGAGGGCAGCGTCCAGATGGTTTATGCTTTATGAAAATGTCATGTTTTCATTTCGAAATGTAAGTTTTCAAAACCTTTTTTTCAATACAAAGGAATTGACAATTATTGTTTATTTCTTTTAAATCAGTATTTGTAACTGAGAACCTAGTATTGATGTATACATGCATGCAGGAAAAAAAGAAAAGATTGTGAGAAATAACACCGTCTATGACCTCAATTTACCTCGCAAAAATCATGGAAGACTATTTTGTGAATGCTTATTGCAACTTCCGTGACCATGAATTTGAAATAGCATAGTGCTTCTTCGACATACAGATTATCAGTGACGTCAATGTCGAGTTGTGCTTATAATAATTAGCAGACACAGCAACAGACCAGATGCTCTGTGGTAAATGTTATCAGTTCAAATTTAACAAAAGCAAACCTTTTTGGTGTTCTTCTATCTTTTTAAGCTAGAGATTCGTCAATATTTTATGCCACATTGAATGCAAAACGCACTGGTAACGATCTTATGGGCTTTACATGCACTGCATTACTTACATCAGTAAAATCTTTTCTGCGTTTCGTATTTTAGAATAATTTTGTTCCTGTCATTGTGTGTTTTAGTATGTGCCGTGGTTTTAACCGGAAGTTAGATAAAAAGGAAAGCAAATGTAATTTGATACGGATTTGCTAAATTCTACTGTCTGAAACAAGCTTTGGCTTAACAGGTTTCAATTTTTAATGTATGTTTTATTATGTCTGAATGGTTTCCAAATAAATGTTTAAGGATTTTTTTTGTAGGGCGGGATATTTTTGGATAAGAAATCGATTTATCAAATACTTTTTTTTTTTTTAACTTTTTTCAACCACATTGAATTCCCTTACGGCAATCTATACCATAAAGCACTTGCTATCAAAGATCCATTTTGGTGTCTGCTGTCATTGACTATCACTTCGCCAAATAAACGATAATTCTTTCGTCATTTTTAGATGGATCTTAGAATTAATCACTATCACACTCGACAGTTGATTTTTTTATTCAATCGTGCGAAAAGCAATGACGGAAAAAACTGCAACATTAAAAGAATAAAAATGTTTTGATACGTTCGTTTCAGAATGCTACCGCCAGTAGACTCAGTCCAAGAAAAGGTAACCATGGATACGACAACGATTTGATGTCAATGAAGCCGATATTTTATGCCATGGGTCCTAACTTCCGGTCGAACTTCCTTGCACCACCACTCAGGTCAATTGATATTTACACACTGGTGTGTGAACTACTTGGTATTTCGCCGTCTCCTAACAACGGTACCCTAGACAACACAGCAGACCTCTTGCAACCTTTCAACAACGACCAACAAATTTGCGATGGGGCCACCAGCTTCAATTTTGGAAGACTGAGTCTCCTGTCATGGATTGCTTCCGTCGTTGTCATGGTTACGACATAAAAAGAAAAATTACATTACAGAGACGGAAATGTCGAAGTCCAGCGAAATCTTGGAAATGGAAAGTTGAGACCGGGGTCTTAGAAATGAAATTCCAACATTGGACATTAGTTTAGATGTTTGTATTCTGTAGTAACTCATAACTTAATAGTCTCATAGCCAATATGGCCTACATTATTCCCGAAAGGAAAGGAGTGCACATCTTGTATACACCAATACTAGAATCTAATACACAAATACATATAGTTGCACATCGTCTCTTGGATACGACTCTCACGACCTACAGCTTGGAGGATATATTTCAATCTATATGTTCCCATTGTCTTTTTTCTGTGGGTTTCAGGAACTCATCAGAAAAACGTGTTAATGAACAGTATATCACGGAAAAAAACCAAACCACTACAAATCTTTACAATTTAAATAGTTTATTATAGCTATTGGCGTTACATATAAAGAAGCATACAGGAAGCATGAGGAGAGAAGTATCATTACAAACCATAACAACCATTAAACGTCAGCATTAAAGAAGAAAGTTTTAAACATATTCCTTACGTGTAATAAATATAAACTCTGAATTAACATGTTGACTTCATAATAATATATGACATTCAATATTCTGTTTATATCATAAAAACTGATGAAATCAGTTCTCAAATACATTGTATAACTCCAATTCATCATTATAATACAGACACTTTATCAGCTAATTATCAATTATTAGGTAATAGTCAATTACCTTACCACTGTGAAACTCCAGTTAAGCATTTAACACCGTCGTAAACATCAACAGATCTTTTATTCTAATAAACTCTATGTCAACATCATTATTCTTTGTCAAAAGTTCAATTTTGTGCATAAGGTATATCGGATCTAATTTACAAAATACCACAAAAGAAACAACTAACGATACTCTTATTAAGTTACTGTAAAGGTGTATACCTGATGGGTTACTTCAATGAATATTAACCTAAAGTGTTTCAATACATTACAAATACTCATATTCCAATCGTTCTTGTATCAGTAGCCTTATACACATCTGAATTGATTTGTGAATTACACTTATGAACATTTGTTTCAACGGCTTCGTTATTTCAAATATATGTATTTGTTTGGAAGAAAACTAAAAATACAGCTGAAGCCGTTGCAGAGTGAGTATTATCTCTGACAGAACAGCTACGTCTCAAACGTACAGTGTGAATTCAAACTACTTTTATCATTTATAAATGATCCTATGTATCGTAAAACATTATTTCTGACATCATTTCATCTTAACAATATCACAATAATGTACAATAATAATAAATGGCTCCCACCATCACAACTGGTATCATCAATACAAGGATATAATGTATAGTTTTAATGGATAATAATTATCGAAATCTATGCCATACAAGACGTATTTCCTATGCAATATTCATATTTACATGTTGTATAATGAACTCTGACAACTTAAATGTGTATGTCACTGTGAAATTTTAACATATGACGTAATTACAAAAACAATTTTAAAAAACCCGAATTATAATGGGTTGTTCGGCAACTTGTACTACTGCTTAATACGAGTAGTCTCCCTTACTCAACCTTTTTACTTGTAGAGAGGTATAAAACTACTGCTAATTTTTACAATAAACATGACTAGCTAGTATCACAGATATCGTTATATTGGCACACACTAAATAATACCCTTGTTTGCCGGAATATAAATTCATACTAAAGATAGTTTGTGATTATATTAGTTTGTGAATAAAGTCAATGTAGATGATAACACACAAACGTACATACAAATAAGATGTATGTATTTCAATAACAATTATACAGACGCTGTGTCCTTTGTATGTCTTCAGCAGCATCCTCAACGGTTCTCACCAGCTACATCGGACATTGGCGTTTGGCATTTCGACAAGTGGTCACGCTTGCTTTACGTTGTAAAGGGACACAAACATTAAATATAACACGTAAAAGTGGTCAAGAAAACAAGTGCACGATTCTAAAAGCACTTAATATTTGGAACTGGTCAATATCCCTTCGGTTTCATTAATTGACCCTTTATTTGAACACATTACAAGCTTCCGATCGCCTTTGTCTGTAAAGATAACATCTCACATGATTGAACATGATTTTGAATTAGCATTTAGGTACATAAAGGTGTCCGAGTTAGGACGCACTTTGGGCACAGGCTTCACACGTTTTAATAAAATCTTGTCTTTCGGGCAAGCGCCTATCATCCCAGAGGTAGGGCGGGACTGAGGGGAGTGACCACCGCTCTCAATTTTGTCCCAGGAGCGGGACAGTCTCCCATCCACGTCGTCAGCCAGGTCTATTTGCCGACTTCGTAGCGTTTGGATGACGTCAGAAGGTACTTCATTATCAGGGTCAATGAGTACATATGATGCGATTGTTCCATCACTGCATCCAACCATGACAGTGCGGTCGTTTTTGCATAGATGTAAGTGACAGATCTTGGCATGGACGTTACACGTTGCAATCTGTTTGCCATCGGAGATTCTTACGACGTATAGAACGCAGGCATTAGCATACACCACGACGGAATCGTTAAGTGCCGTGAGACTTGGTCTCACGCCAGGGTTCGGCAATTGTCCTCGATAATAACACTGGGTGATGTCAAAGTAATTTGAGTTGCTGTCGAGACAAAATTCAAAGTCATTAGAATATACCAGCCCGGTGTCTATGCATGCAGAGTTTGTCATGAAGGGATCACACATAGCGATCATTGATCCGCTACAAATGTCAAGAATGAGAATTCCATGTGCTGTCTTGGCGATACCGTTCGGTGTGGCGTTTTCCTTGATATCGAACGTGGCGGTTGATTCGTACATAATTGCTATGGTGTATGGATTTTTTGGACACGGTTTGACATCCACGATTTTTGACACATTCGCTGTTCCTTGGAAACTCTCTGGAGTGAAGTAGGAGACACGCATGTCCTCTTCCATTGCAAATGTACATATGATTGGCGTATCGTATGATGCAGTCAACTGCACATAGTCCTGAGCAGTAAGCACAACAAGGTACTTATCATCGCTGGTAAGGAACGGCTTACCAAGAATATACTTCAGGGCAAGGGGATGTGTGTACTCGTGGAAAGTGTCCCCGACAAATTTGAACAGTGTAATGTAGAAAGGGGCTTTGAAATTGTGCTGTTCTTGGGCCACAAAAAGCATGTAGGCATCAACGTGGGCACTGATACAGTGTCCAGTAGTGTTCCCGAATTCCTTAATGATTCGACGTTCTGTCATGTCCCACAGTTTGGTAGCCATATTCAACTTTTTCGACAGAGTGGACACAAGAACGTAACTGCCAGTAGGTGTGATGGCGAAGTCACTTACGGGACTGTCGTGCGTTAAAAGATCCAACATTGATCCATTACGCATATCGATGACACCGATTTCGTCACTGCTCTTGCACATTGCGTAAGCAATAGAACTATCCCCAGTGACTCGTATGGCAGTGATTGCTCCTGTGAGACGATCAAGCATATTAACCTGATTGACAGCCTCGTCTATGTTCCACAACTGGATGTTGCTCGCGCCCTGGATGTGAGTGACTATCTGACTCCTTTTGGTTGACACTAGAAGTTCCGTGATGATACCGACCGGGGCCTGGATGCTTGTAACTTGATTACCAGTTGAGATTTGCCACAGGTAAATGTTTCGGAAGATGGTACCAATCACAAACTTGCCATCCCGCGTATAGTCGGCCGCTGTAAAGTACAGGTCGATGAAGTGGCTTTTTGGCAATTTGAATTCTTTTGGAATGTCTTTCGGTCTTGGAAACCTTGCCATCACCTTCTCGTTGAATCTGCTGTAAACAAGGATAGTGTTCCGCCCACGAATAAGAACAGTGTCATCATTAGGGGAAATTGTGAGTTGCATGATCATGTCGTCTGGCATTTCCTCCTCAAGTACTGTTTTGTAAGCCATTTCTACTGATCCCTGGTGCAAGTGCATCACCAACAGCTTCGTTTCGAAGCTGCTTGACAAGTACCCACGAAAACCATCTTTGCTGAATGTCATAGAATTAGGCTTATTTCCAAGGGAGAATGTGCAGGTATGTTCTAGTGTGTACAAGTCGTATCCGAGAAGGAACTCGTTTGAATTGCAGAAGACAAATTTTCCGTTTGGTGTTATTCTGCATAGGTCAGATCTGCCGTCAAGACTAATGATTTGCAAAAAATGGCAGGATTCAATATCCGCGATGCAGAGATAACTTGAGTCTGTGGTGACAATCAAGCAGATCCGGTCATTGGTAATACTGATGTCTCCCATCTTGTACTTTTCCTTTGGTTTAAGCGTGATATGATTCAGAACTATAAGTTGGCCAACAAAGTCTCCGGTCGAAGAGTTGTGTATCTTGACAGCCTTTTCGGTGACATGATCAACTATTATAAAGTATTTTCCATCAGGAGTAGTATGCAAAGCACCGTTAGATGTAAATATGCTTTTCTTTTTCTCTCCTACCGCCATATCGTACACGTGTATATGGGAACTGTCTCTTTGCTTGATCAACAAGATCCTGTCATCCTGAAAAAGTTGAAAAAATTCACCTGTAATGCTTGTGTCGAGTGTGCAGATCAAAGAGCTTCCTGGAACTTGTAAGTATGGGAAATTGGGGATAAGCGCACAGTGCTTCAATCCATCCGTGTCACATTGACTAAGGAGTGCACGTATATTTGCCATTGTACCGTAATATGGCAATAGATGGCCAGCTATTTCAGGAGACAGGTTATTAATATCTAGTTCGATTACAGATTCTGCAACTCTCAGAGCTTCTTCTACAAGTGTAGCCTCAACACCAGGGTTTAAGGCAAAGTCCGCCATGATATGCTGCAAGGAGAGAGCTTTGATTTTGTTATACATCCATTCGTAGTTGAACAAGACTAGTTGATTTAGCTCTTTCAGACGATCTGCCAGATACAAATGTCGTGGCACCTGATCATATTTCCTCCTGTTGAATCTCACTGTTCCAGCTCCGTGGAAGAAAGTGAGCGGTTGTGAGGGAACATATCGATCTGCCTCTTTCACAGAGGATCTTTGGAGTTTTTGACCATCCATTGACTCGACTTGATCAATAGGTTTTGGTTTACCGTGCCATGTACCAAGGAAGTAGTCAGCCATCATAGAGTGCACCTGTTTCGCTGTTTCTTTACTGCTCATATACTTTTCCTTTATAACTATGTTGAATTCCTCTTGGCGAAAGCAGCATGCTGTCACCCCATCCACTTCTCGAACGATCAGAAACCTTCGAATGTCATCTTTCAGACGTAGCCATTTCAGTGGAGGAAGTCGTCTGATGTACGGATGATAGTCGGTATAGAGAGAGGACATCACATCGTCATCCAGAGACAAGAGGTCCTCGATTTCACAATCACTTAACCCAGTAACGGACGCGACAAGGTACGCCATTGCTTTAGAAACGAAATGTGCACCGTAAGATATCTCAAGCCCATCCAATAGTAAATTGATTGCTTCGTGTATACTTGTTGGAAGTGTCTTCAGACTAATGTCATCGTGTGAATGGAGCATTTTTGCGTGCTCTGCGCACAGACTTACGTACATCGGTAGCGAACAGTTGTTCATAGCTTCCTTGAACACTTGCATCTGTGTTGTGCTGATTCTTCTCCCATACTGGCCTAGGAAAAACACTAGCATCCGTTCAGCATCCTCTATTGACAACGGTTTCACTTCAACCAATGCCTTGTCGTTTCTGATTATGTCTTGTTTCATCGCCGAGAGGATTTGGTTTTTCTCGGGATGAGTGGATATCACGATTTTCACGTTGCGATTCAGTAGATTTGGCATCCAGGACATGAAGTGAGCACTGTAGTCTGGTAAAATGTTATCTACACTGTCCAGAAAAAGCACCAGGGTAACGTGGGATGGGATCGTCTTGATCACATTAAGGAAGAACTTTTGCAGGTCCTTGAAGTCATGGGGAACTTCTGTTGTATCACGCTTGAGAGAGGCGAGAATTTGCGTACATATACCTGACAAGAGCTGTTTCAGATCGGCACTCCGTGGAGTAAAACCGACATACCTGATTATACTGATTACCTCCCCTGGTACCATCTCCTGAGTCTGCAAAAACATACAAATGAATGAGAAATATAATTTGTGTTTTTTCCCTGAAAATTTGTACTATTTTCAATCAATTCCAGAAATCAGTCGATTGAAAAAAAAACACTCATTGAAAGTTTTTATTTCCGATAGATGTTACAGAGGGTTTTTAACCGATCTAAAATCTTTAATCATTAAATCATTTTTCGACACTACAAGAAAACCTTTCTTTTTCAGTTGAATATGTTACTTTTTTTTTTACTGTTAAAAGTTCAGTTCTCTATTAGACTGAGGAATTTCGATTCGAAGAGAACTATAATGACGTCACATCAGTGTCATTATACAGGCATCCTACAATATTCTAGGAGTTGTGTGTATTATACAACAAAGCTGACCAAGTACATGTTAAAGACTTATCAACATACCTCCATGGCAACCTTTGATAGCAAGGAAGTCTTACTGGAACCAGGTTGACCGAACACGACGACAGGCTGGTTGAATGTCCCTAACAGGTATTCGGTTAGGAGGCCAAACTCGTTCTCTCTACCACAGAAGTTTCGGGAGATATCCTGACATCGCAACCAATGGTATAATGTTTCTTCTACGATGTCAGACTGAAAATCGTAAACAGTTGTCGGAACTGAGCGATCCACTAACTCCTTCATAAGTATGCTGAACTCAGAATATAATTGGTCCAGATAATCTTTGTGTAGTTCCGGGCTGATGACGTCATCGTAACGCCACAATACGTCGTAGGATAGTATGTTGGGTGTTACCATGGAAACAGCTTCGTCTTTCATTTTAGTCAGCATCTGAGTTGATTCTGTTTCTAATTCGAATTGTTCGTATTTTTCATTGTAGACAACTTCAGCAAATGTTGTAGCCTTCGGGTCATCTAAATAGTTTTTAAGATCGACGATGTTTCGGAGAATCAGAGTACACTTGTTGAGAGGGTTGTCCGACTCTTCAATGCCTTGATGAATTTGGCTGTCTAACTCTGGTAGAGAGAAGATTTTAATGGTTAAAGGAGGTCAAAGGAAAACCAATGCTGCATAACAGAAGTCAAATTCAAGGGATTTGATATTAAGAAGTGTTAGATTCTTATTATCAAAACAATTGTTTACACCATGAATATCTGTTTTTGATATGTAATGAATGGTTCCGTTCAAGATAACACAGAGGCTGTGGTCAACAACAAACGGAAATTGAACCAAAAACAACAGAAATAACAATAACATCACGTGGATCGCACCTGACATGGAGTATTTGTTCTTGGTTTCCATGGTAATCTGTCCCTCGAGATAACAATAGTCTGCTGCCTTCCGGAAGAGTCGTCTCATCTCTTTTTTCACCTCCAGCCATTTTGACATTCCTTCACTGTGTTGATTGCCATCCTGCTAAAGAAAAACAAAGTTTAGTAAACTTCCTATAACACAACTAAAGGCAAACTGTTCTCCATAATGTAAAATACGTTTGCATCGTAAAATTTTTGATTGCATAAACTTCAGAAATTGAAATCAAGCAAAAGTATGTAACTTTGGATTTGACGATTCATTTAAAAAAAAATAAGTCTGCTCATTCTTTAAAAATTCAGAAACTGCTTTTGACTGATTATGTCTCGGATTTTATCAATATGCTTGAATATCGAAAATTTAAAATGCTGTTAATGTTTCCTTCTTCTTTTTTATTCTCAATCTATGACGTACGAGCAACAATTGTGATATGTATCTAACTCCAGCGAGGGTAGGTTTCTACACTTACCTGCTTATACTCTGGTATGACGTCACCTATAGCCCTCAACACGTAGATTGGTGCCACGGAGTTATCGTCCCTAGTATACCAAGTGTCCAGTATGGGTGCATTTCGAGTTTCTCTTCCCTTATGGTTATGAAGTGCCATACGTAATGTATCGAACTCCTCGGCTGGGATCGATGAGTGAAGTAATCGCTCCCCATATTTCTGGCCAATGAAGGCCTGTTGATGGAAAAAGGGACGTCAAACTTGTGTTAACCTTGATGTCAACCCCAACACTTTTTGTTAACCCCCACACTTGTTGTTAACCCTCACACTCGTTGTTAACCCTCACACTTGTTGTTAACCCTCACACATGTGTTCACTTTCATAGGAAACCCCATTCTTGAGTTAACCTTGATGCGAACCTCTATACTTGGGTTTATCTTGATGTGAACCTCTATACTTGGGTTTATCTTGGTGTGAACCTCTATACTTGGGTTTATCTTGGTGTAAACCCTATACTTGAGTTTACCTGGATGTTAACCCCCAAATTTGTGTTAAATTTGATATGAATGCCTATACTTGTGTTACCCTTGATATCAACCTCTATACTTGAGTTTACCTTGGTGTGAACCTCTATACTTGAGTTCACCTTGATGTGAACCTCTATACTTGTGTTAACCTTGATGTGAACCTCTATACTTGAGTTAACCTTGATGTGAACCCCTATACTTGAGATAACCTTGATGTGAACCCTACACTAGTTATTACGTTACGTTTATAACTCTTAACATCGTTGTATAATCATATTTCCTAATAGTAGCATCATACTTTAGTATAAGCAGAATCAGGATAATGTATTGAATAACAGTTATTCTAGTATCTGTGAACACCCATTCCCCATAGTTATATAAAGCAGACCTGCCTACGCCCTATTACCAACACCGGTTTATAGCGCTTAATTCGTTATTGTGCTTCTGTGATTTGGCGACAAAACTAGATAGTTAATCGACACTACATGATCTAACGTTTATTAATTTTGACTTCAAACCAGTCATTTACTTCCTGCTATATGCAATATGCAACATAAGCTTGGGAACTATCGTTCGGTATCAGATTTAAAACTTTCTTTTTTATCAAGGGATTGCAAATAAAAATGGAAACTCCATGATCAATACATTCTTTCAAGTGACAGTGTCGATTGAACACACATTAAAATATTGATGCAGTATAATTGATACAACGGGTTCATGTATATTTCAATGGCCGTGCTGAATTACTACTTACCACGAAATTGGGACCTGCGGAGCTCCTCTGGCAGCGCTGTAACTCTCTAAGCTTGAAATCAGGAAGAGTGTTGTCTATATTGGAATCTGAAGGTGGCTTTCCCCACTCAAGGTCAATCATCTGAAAATCAAAGATGGTTTCTAACAGATAGGACACTAGTCGTTATATAACCTGATTACTGGTACAATGGTCGTATATAACTGGTACAATGGTCGGTATATAACTGGGACAATGGTCGGTATATAACCTGATTACTGGTACAATGGTCGGTATATAACTGGTACAATGGTCGGTATATAACTGGTACAATGGTCGGTATATAACTGGGACAATGGTCGGTATATAACCTGATTACTGGTACAATGGTCGGTATATAACTGGTACAATGGTCGGTATATAACTGGTACAATGGTCGGTATATAACTGGTACAATGGTCGGTATATAACCTGACTACTGGTACAATGGTCGGTATAGGTCGGTATATACCTGGTACAATGGTCGGTATATAACCTGACTACTGGTACAATGGTCGCTATATAACTGGTACAATGGTCGGTATATAACCTCACTACTGGTACAATGGTCGGTATATAACCTGACTACTGGTACAATGGTGGGTATATAACCTGACTTCTGGTACAATGGTCGTTATATAAACTGACTTCTGGTACAGTGGTCGGTATCTAACCTGACTACTGGTACAATGATCGGTATATAACTGGTACAATGGTGGGTATATAACCTGACTACTGGTACAATGGTCGGTATATAACCTGACTACTGGTACAATGGTCGGTATATAACCTGACTACTCGTACAATGGTCGGTATATAACCTGACTACTGGTACAATGGTCGGTATATAACCTGACTACTGGTACAATGATCGGTATATAACTGGTACAATGGTCGGTATAGGTCGGTATATAACTAGTAAAATGGTCGGTATATAACCTGACTTCTGGTACAATGGTCGGTATATAACCTGACTACTGGTACAATGATCGGTATATAACTGGTACAATGGTCGGTATAGGTCGGTATATAACTAGTAAAATGGTCGGTATATAACCTGACTTCTGGTACAATGGTCGGTATATAACCTGACTACTGGTACAATGGTCGGTATATAACCTGACTACTGGTACAGTGGTCGGTATATAACCTGACTACTGGTACAATGATCGGTATATAACTGGTACAATGGTGGGTATATAACCTGACTACTGGTACAGTGGTCGGTATATAACCTGACTACTGGTACAATGATCGGTATATAACTGGTACAATGGTCGGTATACAACCTGACTACTGGTACCATGGTCGGTATATAACCTGACTACTGGTACAATGATCGGTATATAACTGGTACAATGGTGGGTATATAACCTGACTACTGGTACAGTGGTCGGTATATAACCTGACTACTGGTACAATGATCGGTATATAACTGGTACAATGGTGGGTATATAACCTGACTACTGGTACAGTGGTCGGTATATAACCTGACTACTGGTACAATGATCGGTATATAACTGGTACAATGGTCGGTATATAACCTCACTACTGGTACAATGGTCGGTATATAACCTTACTACTGGTACAATGGTGTCTATGTAACCGGACTACTGGTACAATGGTCGGTATATAACTTTACTACTGGTACAATGGTCGGTATATAACCTGACTACTGGTACAATGGTCGGTATATAACCTGACTACTGGTACAATGGTCGCTATATAACCTGACTTCTGGTACAATGGTCGGTATATAACCTGACTACTGGTACAATGGTCGGTATATAACCTGACTTCTGGTACAATGGTCGTTATATAAACTGACTTCTGGTGCAATGGTCGGTATATAACTAGTACAATGGTGGGTATATAACCTGACTACTGGTACAATGGTCGGTATATAACCTTGATACTGGTACAATGGTCGGTATACAACCTGACTACTGGTACAATGGTCGGTATATAACCTGACTACTGGTACAATGGTCGGTATATAACCTGACTACTGGTACAATGGTCGGTATATAGACTTACCTGGAGTTCTACACCGTGTCTGTTCCGACAATTTTCCATAGTTCGGAGTGGACTTACCTGGAATTCTACACCATGTCTGTTCCGACAGTATTCCCTCAGCTCAGGGTACACGCGTTGTATGATCACATTTCGCTCAGCTATCGTATCTGAAGAATCAGAAGAAGGAAATTACAAAGTCTTTAAATAATTCTAAACGATATATAACGTACCAAGTCCTGTCTAGAAATAATTTGCATTCTGGTATCAGGTGTATTGCTGGAGGGGAAATATTCCATTTGAAAACTAAACCACCATTTATCCTAACAAGGTTTACCTTTGTAGTCTTATTGACAAGAATCGTAAACACAGAGTTATGACGTATGTTTATTCCGGCTTCATGTAAACTTTATTATCAAAACAAAGGCGATATTTTTTTCTCGGACGAAACTCTAAATTACTGGTAGTTACTAAGACTGTCATGCGTTGTACAGCTATGAAACAACCCTACTTGTGAAACGTCATTCTGAATGTGTCAATATCTCCGAGAAATACTATGTTTATTCTATATTCTTAGAAATTAGCGTAAATTGTACATACGATGACAGGTTCAGGTGGTGAAAAAAAACATGCGATGTAAGGCTGTCTGACAACTATGAGGTAAATCTCATAGAATGTTATCAGAATCCTGAATTATCGTGTACAAATAGCCCTAGCATAAAATAATTTCTCAATAATCTTAGTTCCACTTCAGTGCATCCTTTTTGAGTATATCTTAAAGATTAATGTAAAATTCCACCACCATATCCATGACCGGGGAATTATGATTAACGAAAAGGCTACTTTACATGACTAGAAAAACTTACAGTTATAAATACATTAATCCATATCACGCTTTACTTGCCGATCCGGTTCTGTTTCCTGGTCGCTTTAAGATTTGTATGGCCCACTAATACGTGTAATTAAATGTAAAGATTTGAAATCAGAATCAAAAATCAAACTATTTAATACATCTGTTAATATATAAGTCAAGCGGCTTTTAGTGTTTTCGCTATTTAGGTTACAGCGACCGATCATACCATTCATCGGCATGTACATGTATAAACTAAGAGATACACATTTTACTTATGTGCGCAATATCCATGATTATATGGAAGAAATCCTATCTGTAGAACCATACATATGGTATAATGTTTCATACAGTTAGTTTCATACTGCTAAAACCGTAGGGGTTATGGTGAGGTTGAGGCTGGGGTAGGTGTTGGGGGGTGGGGGTGGGCCTTCAGAGTTCCTCATCGTCCGTCCGTGTACTTCCGTACTACCTACTACACACCAGCGCCTCTGGCGACTCGATTCCTTGAGAGATTCTCACCAAAATTCACACGCTTACAAAGCATCAATTATCACGAGAACAACTTTGAACTTCAAAGTTTTTGGGTGTCAAAGTCAAGGTCAACGTTACTATTTTCAGATTTAAGTACTCTGGCAGCTTCATTCCTTATTCAATTTCGATAAAATCTAACACAGAGACAACAATAATATCTCTGGCAACTTTGAGTTTGAGAGTTGTTGGGTCAAGGTCACTGCTACTATTTTTGGAAAACCATTGTCAGCTCTCTCACGGCTTCACGCCTTACAGGATTTTGATTAAAATCTCACACTTACAAATGACCAAACAAATATTTATATATTATTTCTAACTGGTGATAAAACCGTACTGGTAGATTGTCATACTTATTTATTTCATTGTTACATTAAAATCAAAATTTGAAATTAAAATACATTTTACTTTTTTCTCATATTATCACCAAACAGCACCATATCTTTATGAAATATTACATTGTTATAGCTTGTGAGGGACAAGTACAGCTTTAATAAAATGATATATAACTTGTGAAAGCCTGTGTTTAACCAGGCATTCCATCAGGCACATCAGAACATCGCACGGCACATCATTAACAAGGTAGATATATAACGGTGTTCATGTATAGTTCAGAAGCGATACCCCACACCAATATATTAGTATATGATATTGACATTCAGGTCACAATACGGCATTCAACACGTATAAAGTTAAACTAAGGTGCTATTTATATGGATAACGGTATATATGATATTTACACGCTAGATGTAGACTAAAGACCTTGTGTATTTTACATTTCTGTATTAATACATTTCGCTCACGCCGCTGGTATATAATGTCATAATTCTGTTAGACATGTCTACTTTCATCGATACTATATTAATCTTTAGATATGTCTTAATGTTATCAGATATGTCTTCGTTATATTAGATGTATCTTCGTGCTGTCAGATTATTTTTCATTGCCGGTTACGTGTGTTTGTTAGCCGTCTTAATTCTGTCTAAATTTATTGATAAATGTGACTTAATTTTTACAGATCAGATATGTCTAACTTCAATGCCATATATGTCTTACTTCTGTCAAATATGTTTTAAATCTATTGATATGTCTTTATTCTAATATGTCTAAATTTTATCTTAATTCTAATAGGTATTTCTTGTTGAATTATTTTGTCCACTGTCTTCTTAATTTTGTCAACTTTTTTAAAAATCACTATCAAATATGTCTTAATTCTTAATTATGTTAATATGTTGGACAGATATATGTCTTAATTATGTTAATATGAATTTACTTGGAATTTACTGACAGATATGTCTTAATTATGTTAATATGTTGGAATTTACTGTGAGATATGTCTTAATTCTGACAGATATGTCTTAATTATGTTAATATGTTGGAATTTACTGTGAGATATGTCTTAATTCTGATAGATATGTCTTAATTCTGTTAATATGTGTGAATTAACCTTGAGATATGTCTAAATTCTGACAGATATGCCCTTATTTTGACAGAGATATCTCATTTCTATCAAACACGTTTGAATTCGCTGTCAGCTATGTCTTAATCATGACAGAAATGTCTTAATTCTGTCAAACATATTTTTACCGTCATATATGCCCATACTAAGAGAATATTCCTGTAGTTAAACAACTGTTAAGTAGCTATATATCTCTCACGGTAAGATATCGACAGCTGTGAATGGCGATGCCACGAAAAACCTGCTTGATTTTTCATTAAGCCCCTTATAAAAACATTATGTTTGTCAATAACGGTAGTGTTGTAATTCATTGAAAGACCTCGGGACGACTTACGCCACGAAATGATGGCTTTACTTGAGCAGTGTTCTGTCCGATATATCGATTTAATGTGATATCAAACTAGCTCCTCAATTAAAAAGTGATAGTAAACCTGTCAATAGACTGTACACTGTATGTTCAACTTGAATCGAAAAGAATATAGGACACATTCTGTGGCTGTGAACGCTATTATCATAAGAGACAGCCCACATTACCCTGTATACACTCATAACTATATAGGCCAGCCAACTTACCAGAAAAAACAGATCAAATACAAAAAACATTTTATTAAATGGAGGGTACCAAAGTTGTAATAGAAAGCATTTGTCATATCGACCTTTTCAGTTTTCTTCGGGATTTAAATAATGAAAATCGTCTCCGCTTTCTGGTGCCAAGAAAAAGCAATACCATTTCTATTGATTTATCTGCAAAACGATTTGATTTTAAAAGTAGCGTGATTGTACTTATATTGACAGTAAAGCCAGACTACATCATCGAAGTAACCAGTGATAGCGAGACAGACTCAGGAAAACATTTAAAAAGTTACCCGAGTGTAGATAATTTAAATATATATATATATATATCTTTATAGCGAGAAGAACACAACGAGCTAGTTATTATTAAAGATTTACCATAATTGTTCTAAAAAACTTCAAAGTACTATCGAATGGACTGGTCAAATAATCAAAATGATATTTTCTAAAGATAATGTCGAAAATTTTCAATCTTGGATAATTTTTGTATACTTATTATATATTGTTATTGTTGTTGCCTTCATCGACTGTGTAATCTATGACTATGAAGTACTATTTGTTCCGTCAAAATCGAATCTTTTCGTTTTACAAGGAAGATCAGGGGAAAAGGTCGTCGACTTATTTGTAAACTCACGAGGAAACTGCTATTACAGAATATCAAAGGACAAGATTAAAACTTTCTGTCTCACACAACAGGTGTTGGCTCAATGGTCATCATCAAAACTTTAATTATCAAACACACAATAAATACACGGTGTGTTTAAAGATATTCTACGATTGATTTCACACTGTCCGTTAGAGGTTGAGGGGACGGTAAATTCTGAACGAACGTGTAAATCTATTAACAGTACGTTACTTTGTAAAAGAGATCAACAGTTATCGTGTATTTTTTTTCATCTTCGTTACATTTATCTCAGCAGCATTGTTTGTTGTTCTTTATCATTTAAACTTATAAAGGTTTAGTATAATCTAAATGAGACAGTCAAGAGCTATTAAAACGAGACTTAAAACGTAAATGTACTACTTAATTACATAAGATTCCACTGGACTACTGCTCTCCAAACTTAAGTTTTTTGTGTTCTAGAGGGTTCGTTTTTTTCCTGAATCGTTTTTCTAGATTTCACCCAGTTGTTAAACTTAGTGTACTGCGAGCTGTTTTGATCACATTCCCTATTACCCGTCTTCCTGTGTACCATGTACAGCTGTTACTTACCAAAATGTTTTTTTTATTTGTTTACCTCACACCTGGGTATAACACCACATAAACATAGTATGTTTAGGTACATTGACATCCGTGCCGTTAATCAGGTGTACAAGGCTCATAAATCTATTGTTTTGTCGCGAGAATCAATCAATACACACACACTATTGTTACTGACGTAAATCACAACATGCGTAAAAATTTAGTACAGAAATGTTAACGACTGAACACAGCAACAGCGGTGTGTCTTTTTATCACCAACAATTTGGTCCGTATAGGCGAAAAAAGCATTGATATAAACACTTAACACGACATTTTCTATGAAAAGAATTCAACTTTTATAAATTTAATGATAGACTTATTGAAACAGACAGCAAGTACGTTGTATCGTCTGCGCGAAATGCTGCGTCGGTAGTCGTCTTTCAAAGCTTAATAGAGGGGAAAACACCAATACTTCAATTATTTTGTTTCTTTATTTTCTATAATTCTTAGAAAGAAATTTGTTTCTTTCTTAAGCTTAAAAGGATAGCTTAACAATATATTACCTATACAATATGTAATAATTTACCATTCCTCAAATGAGTCAGTCAGGGTTAAAGGCCGTGTGCACTAATAAGCAAGACAATGGCGAGAATAATATCCGGATTTAACAGGCAGTATTGTCTGAACAATAAAACTTAATTAACCATGGCAAACATATTTGGAACTTAATCATATTTCAATCTCTGGAATGTCGTAAATGAGGTTTGTAAGGACCTACCCGTATACAAATAAACACCTACCTAAAACCCGTGTAAGCTCTGATACAGGTGAGTAAACAATAAATATAATTTATTAGTTGGTAGAGTCACAGAATAAAAAAAAAACTGTAACAAGTCAACCAACTTCGGTTATCTCGCCGACATTATTTTTACAAATAAATTATGCAATATTAATTCAGGTGATGTTGGTAATTATGTCTCATTTCGGTCTTTCATTATCGTGGGAGTTGTTAGAATACCTTATCGATATACATAATATTAATTTATGTTACATTGATATGAATCTTGGAATTTGTCAATTCATTTTACTGATGAATGACAAGTCATGTTTTTGGTGAAACAAGAGACAATACTGGGAATATCATACATTCTGTAAAGTATACATATAAAAGTAACCATTGCACGGTAGACAATTGTGCAGTAGGAGGTTACGTATACAGACGCCAGAGATTGTGAATCACCAGTCTGTTGTACGTCTGTGGTCTTGTCACTTGCACAAGGTACGGGTAGTACCCGTAAACAAACACAGGAAGGGACATTAATTATGTATTCAGTGAAGTCCCACGTAATTAGTTTCCTGACAACAAATATACGCTGATGGTAATACATATGTCATCAAAATAATAGTAGATGTCACAGCATGTCAGAATGTGAGTCTGAAAAAGTGGCCAAAGACGGGAACAAGATGTCAGCGGTGTCTGAAGGAGGATATAATATGTCAGCGGTGTCTGATGGAGGGAACAAGATGTCAGCGGTGCCTGATGGAGGGAACAATATGTCAGCGGTGTCTGATGGAGGGAACAAGATGTCAGCGGTGTCTGAAGGAGGGAACATTATGTCAGCGGTGTCTGATGGAGGGAACAAGATGTCAGCGGTGTCTGATGGAGGGAACAATATGTCAGCGGTGTCTGATGGAGGAAACAAGATGTCAGCGGTTTCTGATGGAGGGAACAAGATGTCAGCGGTGTTTGATGGAGGGAACAAAATGTCAGCGGTGTCTGAAGGAGGGAACAAGATGTCAGCGGTGACTGAAGGAGGGAACATTATGTCAGCGGTGTCTGATGGAGGGAACAAGATGTCAGCGGTGTCTGATGGAGGTAACAAGATGTCAGCGGTGCCTGATGGAGGGAACAATATGTCAGCGGTGTCTGATGGAGGGAACAATATGTCAGCGGTGTCTAATGGAGGGAACAATATATCAGCGGTGCCTGATGAAGGGAACAATATGTCAGCGGTGTCTGAAGGAGGGAACAAATGTCAGCGGTGTCTGATGGAGGGATAGAGAATGTCGCCTCGTCATTTGGATTATACTTGACAATCCTGTTGAATACACATCAAAGGATGTTCACAGAGAAACACTGTCAATCTCTCCACTCTCTACTATATACCTATTCCCCCTGTCACGGTTTCTCCTGGCTCCCAACTAATGTCTCATTCAACTATAGATCTCGCTGGTACTATTGAATCAAATGTAAGGGTGAGATATGTACCCTGCCTATAGAAAAAAACAAGTGTAGTTACTTACCTGGTCCGGACGCTCCAAGGAAAACCCGTACCACTCTGGCAGGAATATTGGGGACTCTGCCCTGTGGAAACATTCCGGACAGAATCTCCAGCGCGTTCGGGTCCATTAGATCAGCCATATTCGTCAACAGGACACAGACCGTGTCCTGTGGAGTTTATATGCTTTTGCACGCGTGCGGCATGTGTGTCACACTTAGAGTATAAACTCCATTAAACCTTCTAGGTAAGGACGGTCAATATATTCATCATTACAATCTTTTTGTCTTGAAAACACAGCTCTATCGATTTGTTCCACGATCCGTATTTCGTTTCCGTTCTTGTGACCATCAACAAACACCTGACATTAGCTCCTACCTTGGGACTGTCCGAGACCACGACACCTGTCAGGTAGTCCCGTAACAGCTCGAATGGGGACTCAGTGGTTACCAAGGACGCTACGGCTTACACACTGTGAGTTATAAATAGCTACCGTGCCGTCCCGCATACAGCTATGTGGTTATACCTGTGTGTAGTGATCCAGGTATGCTATTAAACTTCAACTTATTGATATCATTTCTACATAACGGTGTACACACATGGAACGCGACAAAAGCAGCAAGCGAGGCTTTTACTAAACTTTTCTTAAAGTCTTGTGACTTTGCCAAAATTTTCTAAAAGCCGTTAAAACGCAAACATACGAAATCATAACAAACGCATTGAAGTGGGAGGTGTACCTGCCAACAATATAATGCGATTGTCTTTATGTTTATTATATCAAAATCGTTGTTCCGATTCCACCTGTAGTTCTCACGGGTGGCTGGTCCGTAATACTGGGACCACCAACACTATCAGATAGTTTAGTCCTGGGGTCGCTCGGGGTGGGGAATCTGATGAAGATATGGTATACGGAATTACAACGGATTGGGTATGTTTACACCACTATGTCCGTGCTCAATTTGTACACATAGGGGAAGATAGCACGAAATAGCAGTCTTATGTTTGTGAAAATAGTTACATATATGCCCCAGGTCCTTTTGATGTTCCTGGCACGACTCGTTTTACCGTTTTGAAGTCCCTGTCGCTACATATGATACTCGCCTTGACGTCCTCGACTCCACATGTGGTACCCCTCTTGACGTCAAGTCAATGCACGACCTCTGCTACCTGTTAAGTAGGTGGTATGTATGGTAACGATATGATATTCATGACCTCGTAACCGCAAGTAAGAATCGTTTTTTATAGAAGCACGACCTTCATTTGTGGGTATAGCCAGTCTGTAAGGAAATTAGAATATACAGAACATCCAAGACGGTAGTCTTGGAAACGCCCAGTTGTCCAATCTCAAATTGTTTATCACGTTTTGGATTAGCTTCCTGATGATAGGGCGTCCGCGTCATCATTCAAAAAATCAAATCCGTTGGTGTCAAATGCAATTCTTGTCGACTGTTGAGTATTGGCAATGGCAGTTCAGGAGCCAAAACTAGTGTGAACTCGTCTTCGTTCTCTGTCTATGGTGTGGCGTGTTTCATACGTTATTCATGAATCGCAAATAAATGTTTTTCTTTGTCTTCGTTCAGACGGTACTAGGATGTTTTAAATCTTTTTTTCGTGAATCCAACTCGGCCAGTTGCAGCATGAAGTATCAAGACTTCATTAAAAAATTATAAATGATGAAAGCATATTATATAGGAAGTGGTTTCTGACGCCCTGCTCGCTCGTAACGCCACAAAAGGCTATCATGCTTGTGCTTCAGATAGATAAATGTTTGGGGTCGATCGATGAACTGCTTTATATAAGAACAAGTCCGCGTGAAATAATTTGCACGTATCACTTTAAAGCTGATTTTAAAGTAGATGTGGACAAAATATTTCATGCTAAGCGAAAGGAAATTCGTATCCTGTTCAGCACAGATTGGTCTGAACTTGTATCAAATGAAATCCGTATCATAAGATATGTATATTTAAAAAATGCAAATAAAAACACTATTTAACACACACACACACACACACACACACACATAAATATACAGTATATATAATTCATACTCAATGCGTTATGTGTCCATATTTAACTTCTAAATCTCAGGATAACCTTTTATGTTAATTTGCACAAATTTAATACGACATTCTAGCATACACAGAACGTGAACAGTGCTAGAAATAACAAACTACCGTGCCTTTTTTTCCTCTGCTGGAGTTTGTATTGTGTGATAAATTAACTTCGTTCTCCGACGAAAAGGATTTATCGTGTTTCACGCTGACGTTAACGAACTAGTGTGTATCAGGACTAACCCTTGATGATGTCTACGAATAAAAACTATGTTATATTTCACTATAACCATTGTTTTTCATCTTTTAGTAAACTATTAAAAAATGACACACCAATACAAGTTTTGAAATGTATTTGACGTTTATAATCTCTAAATCTTTTCTAAAAACAGATTGATTATGTAACAGAACAAGGAAAATACCTCCCTTCCAAGCGCCCGTATAGGAATCGAACCCGTGTCTTCAAAGTCATTACCAACGGTGAGACTTTCTCTCACTACTTTACTTTTTATTTCAAATTTCCAACACCAACACAGCGGAGAGTCACGGAACCTCGGGTTCATTAACGCATTAAAGAATCACGTCAAATACACCCACTCATAATGGATGTCAGAAAACGTGATGGAACAAACACGTGACCGATATTTTACACGTGTTACATATGAGGCCATTATCGCTATTAATCCTAGAGATTATTTTAACAGACCTGGAAACATCATGGTAAAATTTGTTACAATTTCAGCCATTTTCTCCCTTATTATTAGGTTTAATGTTTTATGAAAGTTTGGAAACTGCGTTTCAGAAATTATGTAAAACCATTTATTGAAGAGATTGTAATGTAAGTAGCATATTTATAGAGATTCGAGTTTGTAAAGTCTTTGTGACGGTTTAAGTGTATATCATTTCAGAATATTTTGTTGATATAAACAATCAACAGGATTAGATAGCAGGTTTAAGCCTATATAAGTCTTCTCCCAATACAACATGGTGGTCAGACATAAACATAATATACCATAAACATACATACATACATACACACACACACACACACACACACACACCCTCACACACACACACACACACACACACACACACACACACACACACACACACACACACAACACACACACACACACACACACACACACACACACACAGACATACATACATACATACATACATACATACATACATGCATACATACATACATACATTACATACATTACATACATACATACATACATACATACATACATACATACATACAAACCTTACATTACGTATATACAATCATAAATTAAGTGTTGACAGACTGATCAATTCTAATCAATTTTAAATTATGAGAGACAACTCTCTTATGATTAAGATAATTACCAATCCACCAGCTTTTCAGTTTACTATGTCTTATGATATTAAAAAAATGTGCAAAACATGTACTTTCTCTCTCATATAAAAGGGGTTGGGGGGAATAACTATTAACCAGCATTCATCACATTATTGATAAAAGTTGAAGTAACTATGATTATGGAAGGATATATTTTTTTCCAATTAGATTTTGCTTTAGGTTTTAGATTTGTTCTATAATTTCAACTCGTGTCAGTAGATATTTAGTAAGACATTAAAGCATTTCTGTATCATCAATATACTTAATTACAGCATCAAACAATGATTTATTGATGTGGGTGGTACAGATTGGGCAGCCATGCAAAACATAGTCTAGTTCATAGCGGTTATGATTATGGTTGTTAAGGGTTTGTAATATACTTTGTCTAGGGTTCACATATCTAGGGCAGTCAAAAAGGAAATTTGATGTATCTGGTAGCATGGTATTAAAACAGTTTTTCAAGCTAATAATTATCATCGTTACACATAACATTAACATCAAGGACACTACCTGTCACATGTAAACACCTGAGAGGAACACATACTTAATTGTTTCCTTTTGTCATTTTTATTTCCTAAAACGTTTTCTATTTACTTTCAATATGCTGTCAGATAACTGCCATAAAGATACACATTTTAAAATGCATTCATATTGCATTTTATCTGAAATCAGATTGTATTTATTGTGCATAGCAAAGAAGGGGAAAATTTTACATTACGTTAGAGACACGTTCTGAAAGGCATTACATTATCAACGGTTTCTGATTAAAAGTTTGTATAACATACATGTGCCTTCTTGTTTACTTCTGAAAATACAGGCGAGGGACATATCGTTTATCTGTAAAAAAAATAACTGAAACTATGAGAAAACAGTCTGGGTTTTCTATTTTTCTGAAATTACAGGCGCGAGACATAACGTTTGTCTGTGTAGAAATTAAATGAATCTATAAAGAAAATAGTCTGGGTTTTCTATTTTATATGCTTTGGGGGTGTATATTGGAGGAAAATTACATTTTAATCAGATGTATGTACTCAATACATAAATATCAACGATGCACTTTTAGTCATTTTCATGTTCTACTGTATATAATTCTAAATATATATTAAAAGGTGTTATTCACTCGTGTTTCTTTTATACAATCTTCGAGATCGCAGGTTGTAGTCACCACTGCTTGACTTTTAGTCCCCGGGGTTTGCCGTAACCAGCATGTCAGCATGCCACGTTTTAATTCCTTCGAACAGATGCACGGTTCAGAAAATACATATGTATATAACATTGGTATTCGATTATCAGATGTATGGAAATTGAAAAAAAAAAATCAAATTGTTGAGCTGGTGCCCATCTTTTGACTTTTGTGCACTGATGTCTATAGTCACGTGACCTGTTTCATCAACACCATTATAACTGTTATCACGTCAGCAGTAGCGAGTGGTTTGCCGTGTTGTTGCAGCAGCCATAACACGTGTTCTTAATCCTACGACTCTTATGGACTATTAGAACACGTGATGATAAAACCATGTGACCAATCTTTTGTTAATGCTCTCAATCTGCCTATTTCAAGTTCAGTTAACTCAACGTTCCAAACCGCACTTGTACTGACAGATAATCTATGCAGAACCGGAAACATCAAGGTAAATTCTGCTTTAATTTCAATAATTGTGTCCTCTACCTTATTTTTAAGGCTTGGAGACATTTGTGAAGTGTTTGTGTAAACCATGCATTGGGGATTTGAGTTTTAAATTTTATTTCATTCATTTTATTTCATTCATTTCATTTCAGTACAAATTTTAGATATGATGAGAGTGGCAAATACGATCAAGAGAGTGAATGACACATCTTTCAATCAAAGTTTCTTCCTGCGTTCATCTTCCCAACCAGGCAGTCCAATCATAAGACATTTTGGTGAGATAGGGTCTAACGCTATGCCTCCGATGGTTCACCATAGAAAAACATACCAGAATCAATTCGGACTGAACAAAATTGTCTTGAATCAAGTCTGTCTACCACTCCATAATGAGACATCGCCGATATGTCACCAAGTGGAAACCAGCTCAGATGTCGGTATTCCTGTGCGCGCAAAACGACAGTTTGTACCAAGCAACAAAAAGGACGGTTCTTACTGGCTAAAACGATGTAAGAATAATGATTCTGCCAGAAGATCTAGATTCAAACGGAAATGCATGGACAAAATCCTAGAGAAAAAGCTAGCTGTTTTACAGAGCGAAAATTGCAGGTTAAAACTTCACCTCAAGATGTATAAACAAAACTCGGAAAAACATTCATTGACTAGCACAGACCAAACGGTCAGTACTAGAAATGCGTTCGACGCATACTCGTGTTTCCAAAACGGAGATAGCTTTCCGAACAGATCTTATCCGGAGGCGACCAATATGACAATGTTGAGTCATTCTAGTGAGGACGAAAACGACTCGTCACAGAGCCCATTTACCTACGATTATGGTAAGAACATATAATTATTTTTCATGAATCAATGGGTAATTTTAATGATGTAATCGTTTTCATTATGTGCCTTTTTGTACAAACCATTGATATCACGTGAGCATGTATTTATATGGTGTGATTAATATATCAGAATCAATGTGATTAATTTCATATAAGTAAATGGACATTTTTCAAATGTCCTTTCATGAAAACAAACTCGGTAATCTGTATTTCCAGTAAATATCTTTTACATTATATACTTCCCAGTTTAGTTTTTATCGCCATTTGTTGTTTAAATAAAAACAGCCTCGATCATCCCCAGTAGATCACCCTGTCACTGTTGTGTCCAGAAGAAAGACAGGTCACCCCTGTCTACCAGAACATAACCAAGTCAATCTTGTCAACAAAGTAAATAATCCAGTCACCTTTGTTACCAGTAGATAATTTGATCCCCTTTGTTACCAGTAAATAATCTGATCACTTTTGTTACTCGTAGATAATCTGATCACCTTTGTTACCAGTAGATAATCCAGTCACCTTTGTTACCAGTAGATAATCTGATCACCTTTGTTACCAGTAGATAATCTGATCACCTTTGTTACCAGTAGATAATCTGATCACCTTTGTTACCAGTAGATAATCTGATCACCTTTGTTACCAGTAGATAATCTGATCACCTTTGTTACCAGTAGATAATCCAGTCACCTTTGTATCCAGTAGATAATCTGATCACCTTTATTACCAGTAGATAATCTGATCACCTTTGTTACCAGTAGATAATCCAGTCACCTTTGTATCCAGTAGATAATCCAGTCACCTTTGTATCCAGTAGATAATCCAGTCACCTTTGTTACCAGTAGATAATCCAGCCACCTTTGTTACCAGTAGATAATCCAGTCACCTTTGTTACCAGTAGATAATCCAGTCACCTTTGTTACCAGTAGATAATCCAGTCACCTTTGTATCCAGTAGATAATCCAGTCACCTTTGTTACCAGTAGATAATCCAGCCACCTTTGTTACCAGTAGATAATCCAGTCACCTTTGTATCCAGTAGATAGATAATCCAGATAATCTGATCACCTTTGTTACCAGTAGATAATCCAGTCACCTTTGTTACCAGTAGATAATCCAGCCACCTGTGTTACCAGTAGATAATCCAGTCACCTTTGTATCCAGTAGATAATCTGATCACCTTTATTACCAGTAGATACTCCAGCCACCTGTGTTACCAGTAGATAATCCAGCCACCTTTGTTACCAGTAGATAATCTGATCACCTTTGTTACCAGTAGATAATCTGATCACCTTTGTTACCAGTAGATAATCCAGTCACCTTTGTTACCAGTAGATAATCTGATCACCTTTGTTACCAGTAGATAATCCAGTCACCTTTGTTACCAGTAGATAATCCAATCACCTTTGTTACCAGTAGATAATCCAGTCACCTTTGTTACCAGTAGATAATCCAGCCACCTGTGTTACCAGTAGATAATCCAGCCACCTGTATTACTAGTTACCAGTAGATAATTCAGTCACCTTTGTTACCAGTAGATAATCCAGTCACCTTTGTTACCAGTAGATACTCCAGCCACCTGTGTTACCAGTAGATAATCCAGCCACCTTGTATCCAGTAGATAATCCAGTCACCTTTGTTACCAGTAGATAATCTGATCACCTTTGTTACCAGTAGATAATCCAGTCACCTTTGTTACCAGTAGATAATCCAGTCACCTTTGTTACCAGTAGATAATCCAGTCACCTTTGTTACCAGTAGATAATCCAGCCACCTTTGCTGCCTTCCTTAGCCAGTGTGGTATTCAGTTGACGTTTTAGTGGTTTTTGTCCCTTCATTCACACAAGTTCCTTAACAAATTATCTTGACTGTTTAAACGACCTGTTTATCAGAACAATTTTTGCAGATTATTGGTTTTATTAAGTTTATTACCATATTTTTCTTTAATAAGATATATTTTATATCTTCAAAAGACTTCCATTAAGAAGGATTAGATAACTAGCCAACTTATGCAATTCACCCCGAAATAAATTACCTGAATTATGTCTTAAATGAATATTAAAAAGAGACAAGATATAAATGATAAGCAGTGAGAAAATAAATCAGTTAATAAAATTATACACCTTGTCATGATACTATTTTAGTCCAACAGATTTGACGTAATAATAAGGGTTAGCGGTATTTCTATAGATCCAAATGCTATTTATAATTATGTAACATAAAGTAAATATTGACAATTATATACTGCAGTTGAATGCACTATAGGGCTTATCTTCTAAACTCTAAATTTGATATGATAAAATGTATTATTGACTTGTTTGTAATTAATGATTAAAGTGTAACAGCACTGTAATATTGATAAAAGGATGGTTATATAATGACGGATATCATATAATGATGCTATGATCCAGTTTATGTAACTGTAGGAAATATAGATTTAATTTTCGTGCAAAATACTGGATAGGTGACGCCGCCTAATTGTATAGGTCTAACGTCACATCGGTTGCTATGCTATCGACATACCTACTTACATTAACACAGGGAATGCTTCCTTTTGATAAGTTTTGCACTTACACGTGTTGATTAATATCTACAAACCTCTCTTGCAACACTTAGTGTATATATTACATAACGGTAACGTGTCAGGAATATTCAATACGGAAGGTATGTAGTCACATTAGCAAACGAGGATTATCTGTATCGATAACCCCTCTATAATATTTACTTGTCTGGTTCTACCTACTAAGTGTATTCATACCATGTGGTTTGTGATGACACAATTTATGTATACAGTACAAACTGGTTGTTGTTTACTTACATGTACAGAAAAATCAATAGTATTTCGTTTTCATTATTGTCACAATGTCAGATAAGTTTGAACAAACCAAGCGCAAGAAAACCATCTCCACACAATTTTAGAATTAGCTACCGTAGAGCAAAATAATCATACAACTGTTCCGCCCTTCTTGTACTCGCCGTAATGCCTACGTGAATAGATTGTTGAAACTTAGGGCATTAATTGTTGAAACCTAAAGAGAGCTAGGCGCTAAACATACGCACCGTTACTTTTTAAACATGAATATAGCTATGATTACATCAAATATTTACTCATTAATATTTTTTTTTTTTCAAAATATACTTAAAGTGTCTTTATATTTTATGTTCTTCAGGCAAATATCCGAATTTGTCAGGTTCACCATTGTATACATCTGACCAGGAAGTGTGGAGATCGACAGGTTCCAATCAGTTTAATGATGGAAGAAATATTTCGGACTACAATGCGTTGGACTCTGACCGTAACCAAGATGATTTGATGTCGACAGAAAACCCAGACGAGAAAATTTCGAGTCTGCACTCTATCAGAAATGTTCAAAGAGTTCCTCATAAGTTGCGTTTAAAAAAGAACATGTGTTCCATTTTTGATCGATGTTATGTATCAGATAAGAAAGTTTCAAGTGAAGATTAGTGATATTGTCTACCATATCTTATTAAAATCCATCTCCACCATTCCATAACTATACAGATTGTACAAAAGACACAAATAATACGATTTTAGAATCAGATACAAACGAGCCAAACAATGAATGCAACTGCATCGTACAGTTGTTTCGTCCTTCAAGGACTCGTCAGTGATGTTCAGGGCCTAAATTTTGAAATCTAGGTGGCGAGTGAGAGAGAGAAAAAAAAATAAATAAAAAAGGAAAGAATTTGCCAATGTCTTTCAATAAGTCTCGTAATTTTCAGATATCTGATACTAAAAAACACACCCACCCACAGAAATTGTTTTTAGGTACATATGAATACCGTTAACCGTGCAACAATTTGAATTAAAACGCGTGACAGGTGCTAATTAGATTCCACTTTCGTGACAGATGTTATATCTTTATATGTAAATTACAATGGTTTGCATAACGTTTTACTTTTCAATATATATCGGTAAAATAGTCTAGCTGGGTCTTGAAAATACTTGAGAGAGCTTATACATTAGCGAAACATTTACATAACCGGTTTTATAAAGAAAAAAAATAAAAAAAAAAAAAATCCACCTAGATATGCATGTCAGGTTTGAGATGAGCGTACTTTAATCAATTCTAAAACGTTTAGAGAGGGCGCTACGTGAGGCACATTGAAGTATTACTGATTTACCATCTTATGCCATAAATGAATAGAACGAGACGAAAACTTATATTTGTCCCTAAAGTAGGTATAGTGTATGATTTAATCAACATTGAACGCTGTAGAATCATCAATTCTAAACTTTCTATCGCTTATTCCTCTTTGTACATTAAAATTTTGCGATTCTGTTGAATAACATATCCTTTTCTTTAACTTCTTTAAAATCAGCCCGTCATTGGTGATACAATATATTGTTTACGTGAGGACAGAAAACTTAATATTCTTCAGACCAGACACGAACGTAGTGCTCTAATATACGATCTTTATCTTGATAAAGGTAAAATAGCCCCGAATGGTGGCTACTGTTGTGAAAGTGTCTATCGTTTTATGTTTGTCAATCTTATACGTATGTTCATACTGCATCGTTAGATAATTAAGTATGTTTATCACTTTTTAGTTTGTACTCTTTGGTGAAAAAATCTGGTTTTGAATATTGTACAAAACACACAAGTAAATAGCATATTTCAATACGAATTCAGAGCTAGAGTAAAGCTCTTTAAGTTCGAAAAGTTATGTAATGTCTTTTTCCAATTTAGATCGATGAAATATATTTAAAGTCAAAACAAAAGTGAAAGAGAGAGTGAACACTGCCGCAGTACATAAGTATAATAGGCCTACATGTCCCTTGTCCTGTCAACTGTAATTCAGTGGTCACGAGAAGAAAAATGTTTAATTTGAACTCTCTTTGTCATTGTCGGTAAACACAAATAAACTACAAATGAAACGCTTGCATTGAACTGTCTTGTCATGGCATTTATAGACGATATAAATGACAAAGCTTTGCAGGTAAAAATATATTGTGCGCTACCACAAACGTCATAACACGAAATTATGAACATTTTCTAGTCTACATATCTTGTTTCCCTACGATGATTATACCCTGAATGTATTATACGTCATTTTTATTGACAGTGTAAATCGTTAAGTCGAACAGCCATTTTGACGGCGAAACGTCACCAGTTCTATGCCCATTATACTAACGTGTAAATGGTAAATATCTGGATGGCATTTATTGTATCATAAATCGCGCATGTTTCTTGTTAGTTTATATTATTTGCTGTACAAATGTAAATATTAATTATCATTGACTGAAAAAAGATCGGAACATCTTGTAGTCATCCTGTATTTGAAACTGTGTTTAGTGCAAGAATGTATCTATGTATGTACAATTAATATATATAATGAACATGATCTAGTAATACAAATGTTAACGTGTTTTATTTGGATGTACAACACATTATCACTTTCTGGTTCTACATATTTACACGACATAAATGGAATTAGCGCAAAACGTTCAGTGACTAAAGTACTAAATTGAGTTAACCGATAAAACATGCTTGATGCACGTTTTACCATATACACGTGTAGGGGTTGTAACAATTACATTGTATATTATATAGGTAATTGTCTTTTGTTTGTTTCAAAACTTATTTCGGATGTGTTGATGAATGTGTGAAATAAATGATAATTATTAGTAGAGTGTTTTAATCGTGGAATGTTTTAACCTACAGGAAGGACAAGGATGAAATTTTGTTTGTACGGTGTGAAAGTATCACTTAATTTATCGTGTATCTTCTTTGTGTTTCAATCGTAAATAAAAGATTTCTGAAATAATACATCGAAATTACCTTTCTATTTCTACCTCCTTATAAAGATCTCCGTCTAAACACATGCTATTAAGTCAAACGCAGTACGAGCCCAATCTAGTGACCACTGTGCAGTGACAGGTAACAGATAAACGTGGAGTTTTAGAAAGAACAGCTAGAACGACTCTCACTAACAAGTATAACACGAACCAAAGTGGGACAATGTCCAAAAATGAGAGACAACTCTTTGCTCTTTTGCCCTATTGGGCCCGCCCCTTCTGCCCTATGGGACAGAGGTCAACCATTTAAACCAAACTGAGTCTCTTTTACCAAAGAATGCTTCAGACCAAATTTGAATTTGCCCCCTATTAGGCCCGCTCCTTTGGCCCCATAAGGCCGAGGCCTACCATTTATAGGGGGAAAAAGATCACCCTTCACCAAAGCTAGCTTCAGATCAAAGTTGGGCAACATTCATCCCGTGAAGTCCATTATAACCCTTTAATTTCTCTCATCATATGAAAATCTTTGATATTAGCCAAATTGCATGTTTTCATTACTCATGGAAAATCAATTAAATCTAAATCGTTTCTCAACTAAGTTGTATCTTAGATATTTTGGATTAAAATCCTGCAAACGTTGTATAACTACTTGACGTCATCAACGGAGATAGAATTAATGTTCAAACACTACTCTGATTACGATTAAATGTCCACTCTTTAGCTCAGCAAATGTCGACAGAACAGAAGTCAAACACTACCCTTCATCAATTGCAGCCATAGCATTATCATCGCCGTTGCCTATATCAACCATTGCTTTATCATCGCCCTTTCCTACATCAACAATTGTTTTATCAACGCCGTTTCTTATATCAGCCATTGTTTTATCATCGCCGTTTCTTATATCAACCATTGCTTTATCATTGCTCTTTCTTATATCAACCATTGTTTTCTCATCGCCGTTTCCAACATCAACCATTGTTTTATCAACGCCGTTTCTTATATTAATCATTGTTTTAACGTCGTCGTCTTCGATATCAACCATTGTTTTATCATCGCCGTTTCCCACATCAACCATTGTTTTTTCATCGCCGTTTCCCACATCAACCATTGTTTTATCATCGCCGTTTCTCACATCAACCTTTGTTTTATCATCGCTGTTTCTTATATCAACCATTGCTTTATCATCGCTGTTTCTTATATCAACCATTGTTTTATCATCGCCGTTTCCCACATCAACCATTGTTTTATCATCGCCGTTTCCTACATCAACAATTGTTTTATCATCGCCTTTTCCTATATCAACCATCGTTTTATCATCGCCTTTTCCTACATCAACCATTGTTTTATCATCACCGTTTCTTATATCAACCATTGTTTTATCATCGCCGTTTCTTATATCAACCATTGTTTTATCATCGCCGTTTCCCACATCAACAATTGTTTTATCAACGCCTTTTCTTATATCAACCATTGTTTTATCATCGCCTTTTCCTACATCAACCATTGTTTTATCATCACCGTTTCTTATATCAACCATTGTTTTATCATCGCCGTTTCTTATATCAACCATTGTTTTATCATCGCCGTTTCCCACATCAACAATTGTTTTATCAACGCCTTTTCTTATATCAACTATTGTTTCATCATCGCCTTTTCCCACATCAACCATTGTTTTATCATCGCCTTTTCCTACATCAACCATTGTTTTAGCATCGCCGTTTCCTATAACAACCATTGTGTTATCATCGCTGTTTTCTACAACAACCATTGTTTTTTCATCGCCGTTTCCCACATCAACCATTGTTTTATCATCGCCGTTTCTCACATCAACCTTTGTTTTATCATCGCTGTTTCTTATATTAACCATTGCTTTATCATCGCTGTTTCTTATATCAACCATTGTTTTATCAACGCCGTTTCTTATATCAACCACTGTTTTATCATCGCCGTTTCCCACATCAACCATTGTTTTATCATCGTCGTTTCTTATATCAACCATTGCTTTATCATCGCCGTATCTTATAACAACCATTATTTTATCATCGCCGTTTCCCACATCAACAATTGTTTTATCATCGCCTTTTCCCACATCAACCATTGTTTTATCATCGCCTTTTCCTACATCAACCATCGCTTATCATCGCCGTTTCCTACATCAACCTTTGTTTTATCATCGCCGTTTCCTACATCTACCATTGTTTTATCATTGCCGTTTCGTACAGGAAAAGAATAAAAATGAACGTGAAGAAGAGAATGAATGAAGGGTCGTACAGGAAAAGAATAAAAATGAACGTAAATAAGAGAATAAATGAAGGGGTCGTACAGGAAAAGAATAAAAATGAACGTAAATAAGAGAATAAATGAAGGGTCGTACAGGAAAAGAATAAAAGTGAACGTGAAGAAGGGAGCAAATGAGGGGTCGTACAGGAAAAGAATAAAAATGAACGTAAATAAGAGAATAAATGAGGGGTCGTACAGGAAAAGAATAAAAATGAACGTAAATAAGAGAATAAATGAAGGGTCGTACAGGAAAAGAATAAAAATGAACGTAAATAAGAGAATAAATGAAGGGTCGTACACGAAAAGAATAAAAGTGAACGTGAAGAAGGGAGCAAATGAGGGGTCGTACAGGAAAAGAATAAAAATGAACGTAAATAAGAGAATAAATGAACGGTCGTACACGAAAAGAATAAAAGTGAACGTGAAGAAGGGAGCAAATGAAGGGTCGTACAGGAAAAGAATAAAAATGAACGTGAAGAAGAGAATAAATTACCCTACAACATAAGTATCCCTCTCTCAGAGTATAGTGATAATGTTACCTTACAACATAAGTATCCCTCTCTCAGAGTATAGTGACAATGTTACCCTACAACATAAGTTTCCCTCTCTCAGAGTATAGTGATATTGTTACCCTACAACGTAAGTACCCCCTTTCAGAGTGTAGTGATAATGTTACCCTACAACATAAGTATCCCCCTCTCAGACTATAGTGATAATGTTACCCTACAACATAAGTATCCCCCTCTCAGAGTATAGTGACAATGTTACCCTACAACATAAGTATCCCCCTCTCAGAGTATAATGATAATGTTACCCTACAACATAAGTATACCCTACAACATAAGTTTCCCTCTCTTAGAGTATAGTTATATTGTTACCCTACAACGTAAGTACCCCCTTTGACAATGTTACCCTACAACATAAGTATCCCCCTCTCAGACTATAGTGATAATGTTACCCTACAACATAAGTATCCCCCTCTCAGACTATAGTGATAATGTTACCCTACAACATAAGTATCTCCCTCTCTCATACTATAGTGATAATGTTACCCTACAACATAAGTATCCCTCTCTCAGAGTATAGTGATAATGTTATCCTACAACATAAGTATCCCTCTCTCAGACTATAGTGATAATGTTACCCTACAACATAAGTATCCCCCTCTCAGACTATAGTGATAATGTTACCCTACAACATAAGTATCCCCCTCTCAGACTATAGTGATAATGTTACCCTACAACATAAGTATCCCTCTCTCAGAGTATAATGATAATGTTATCCTACAACATAAGTATCTCCCTCTCTCAGAATATAGTGATAATGTTACCCTACAACATAAGTATCCCCCTCTCAGACTATAGTGATAATGTTACCCTACAACATAAGTATCCCTCTCTCAGAGTATAGTGACAATGTTACCCTACAACATAAGTATCCCTCTCTCAGAGTATAGTGACAATGTTACCCTACAACATAAGTATCCCTCTCTCAGAGTATAGTGATAATGTTACCTTACAACATAAGTATCCCTCTCTCAGAGTATAGTGACAATGTTACCCTACAACATAAGTATCCCTCTCTCAGAGTATAGTGATAATGTTACCCTACAACATAAGTATCCCTCTCTCAGAGTATAGTGACAATGTTACCCTACAACATAAGTATCCCCCTCTCAGACTATAGTGATAATGTTACCCTACAACATAAGTATCTTCCTCTCTCAGAGTATAGTGATAATGTTACCCTACAACATAAGTATCCCTCTCTCAGAGTATAGTGACAATGTTACCCTACAACATAAGTATCCCTCTCTCAGAGTATAATGACAATGTTACCCTACAACATAAGTATCCCCCTCTCAGACTATAGTGATAATGTTACCCTACAACATAAGTATCCCCCTCTCAGAGCATAGTGACAATGTTACCCTACAACATAAGTATCCCTCTCTCAGAGTATAATGACAATGTTACCCTACAACATAAGTATCCCTCTCTCAGAGTATAGTGATAATGTTACCCTACAACATAAGTATCTCCCTCTCTCAGAGTATAGTGAAAATGTTACCCTACAACATAAGTACCCCCATCTCAGGGTATAGTGATAATGTTACCCTACAACATAAGTATCTCCCTCTCTCAGAATATAGTGATAATGTTACCCTACAACATAAGTATCCCTCTCTCAGAGTATAGTGATAATGTTACCCTACAACATAAGTATCCCCCTCTCAGACTATAGTGATAATGTTACCCTACAACATAAGTATCCCCCTCTCAGACTATAGTGATAATGTTACCCTACAACATAAGTATCCCTCTCTCAGAGTATAGTGACAATGTTACCCTACAACATAAGTATCCCTCTCTCAGAGTATAGTGATAATGTTACCCTACAACAGAGTATAGTGATAATGTTACCCTACAACATAAGTATCCCTCTCTCAGAATATAGTGATAATGTTACCCTACAACATAAGTATCCCCCTCTCAGACTATAGTGATAATGTTACCCTACAACATAAGTATCTCCCTCTCTCAGAGTATAGTGATAATGTTACCCTACAACATAAGTATCCCCCTCTCAGACTATAGTGATAATGTTACCCTACAACATAAGTATCCCTCTCTCAGAGTATAGTGACAATGTTACCCTACAACATAAGTATCTCCCTCTCAGAGTATAGTGACAATGTTACCCTACAACATAAGTATCCCTCTCTCAGAGTATAGTGATAATGTTACCTTACAACATAAGTATCCCTCTCTCAGAGTATAGTGACAATGTTACCCTACAACATAAGTATCCCTCTCTCAGAGTATAGTGATAATGTTACCCTACAACATAAGTATCCCCCTCTCAGACTATAGTGATAATGTTACCCTACAACATAAGTATCTTCCTCTCTCAGAGTATAGTGATAATGTTACCATACAACATAAATATCCCTATCTCAGAGTATAGTGACAATGTTACCCTACAACATAAGTATGCCCCTCTCATACTATAGTGACAATGTTATCCTACAACATAAGTATCTCCCTCTCTCAGAGTATAGTGATAATGTTACCTTACAACATAAGTATCCCTCTCTCAGAGTATAGTGACAATGTTACCCTACAACATAAGTATCCCCCTCTCAGAGTATAGTGACAATGTTACCCTACAACATAAGTATCCCTCTCTCAGAGTATAGTGACAATGTTACCCTACAACATAAGTATCTCCCTCTCAGAGTATAGTGACAATGTTACCCTACAACATAAGTATCCCTCTCTCAGAGTATAGTGATAATGTTACCCTACAACATAAGTATCCCTCTCTCAGAGTATCCCTCTCTCAGAGTGTAGTGACAATGTTACCCTACAACATAAGTATCCCTCTCTCAGAGTATAATGACAATGTTACCCTACAACATAAGTATCCCTCTCTCAGAATATAGTGATAATGTTATCCTACAACATAAGTATCCCTCTCTCAGACTATAGTGACAATGTTATCCTACAACATAAGTATCTCCCTCTCTCAGAGTATAGTGATAATGTTACCTTACAACATAAGTATCCCTCTCTCAGAGTATAGTGACAATGTTACCCTACAACATAAGTATCCCTCTCTCAGAGTATAGTGACAATGTTACCCTACAACATAAGTATCCCTCTCTCAGAGTATAGTGATAATGTTACCCTACAACATAAGTATCCCCCTCTCAGAGTATAGTGATAATGTTACCCTACAACATAAGTATCCCCCTCTCAGACTATAGTGATAATGTTACCCTACAACATAAGTATCCCTCTCTCAGACTATAGTGATAATGTTACCCTACAACATAAGTATCCCCCTCTCAGAGCATAGTGACAATGTTACCCTACAACATAAGTATCCCTCTCTCAGAGTATAGTGATAATGTTACCTTACAACATAAGTATCCCTCTCTCAGAGTATAGTGACAATGTTACCCTACAACATAAGTATCCCCCTCTCAGACTATAGTGACAATGTTATCCTACAACATAAGTATCTCCCTCTCTCAGAGTATAGTGATAATGTTATCCTACAACATAAGTATCTCCCTCTCTCAGAATATAGTGATAATGTTACCCTACAACATAAGTATCTCCCTCTCAGAATATAGTGATAATGTTACCATACCACATAAGTATCTCCCTCTCAGAGTATAGTGACAATGTTACCCTACAACATAAGTATCTCCCTCTCTCAGAGTATAGTGATAATGTTACCCTACAACATAAGTATCCCTCTCTCAGAGTATAATGATAATGTTATCCTACAACATAAGTATCTCCCTCTCAGAGTATAGTGACAATGTTACCCTACAACATAAGTATCCCTCTCTCAGAATATAGTGATAATGTTATCCTACAACATAAGTATCTCCCTCTCTCAGAATATAGTGATAATGTTATCCTACAACATAAGTATCTCCCTCTCAGAGTATAGTGACAATGTTACCCTACAACATAAGTATCCCCCTCTCAGAATATAGTGATAATGTTACCCTACAACATAAGTATCTCCCTCTCAGAGTATAGTGACAATGTTACCCTACAACATAAGTATCCCCCTCTCAGACTATAGTAATAATGTTACCCTACAACATAAGTATCCCTATCTCAGAGTATAGTGACAATGTTACCCTACAACATAAGTATGCCCCTCTCATACTATAGTGACAATGTTATCCTACAACATAAGTATCTCCCTCTCAGAGTACATAAGTATCTCCCTCTCTCAGAGTATAGTGATAATGTTACCTTACAACATAAGTATCCCTCTCTCAGAGTATAGTGATAATGTTACCTTACAACATAAGTATCCCTCTCTCAGAGTATAGTGACAATGTTACCCTACAACATAAGTATCCCTCTCTCAGAGTATAGTGACAATGTTACCCTACAACATAAGTATCTCCCTCTCAGAGTATAGTGACAATGTTACCCTACAACATAAGTATCCCTCTCTCAGAGTATAGTGATAATGTTACCTTACAACATAAGTATCCCTCTCTCAGAGTATAGTGACAATGTTACCCTACAACATAAGTATCCCTCTCTCAGAGTATAGTGATATTGTTACCCTACAACCAGAGTATAGTGACAATGTTCTCTCAGACTATAGTGATAATGTTATCCTACAACATAAGTATCTCCCTCTCTCAGAATATAGTGATAATGTTACCCTACAACATAAGTATCCCCCTCTCAGACTATAGTGATAATGTTACCCTACAACAACATAAGTACCCCTCTCTCAGAGTATAATGACAATGTTACCCTACAACATAAGTATCAATGTTACCCTACAACATAAGTATCCCCTCTCAGAGTATAGTGACAATGTTACCCTATCTCCCTCTCTCAGAGTATAGTGATAAATCCCCTCTCAGAGTATAGTGACAATGTTACCCTACAACATAAGTATCCCCTCTCAGAGTATAGTGACAATGTTACCCTACAACATAAGTATCCCCTCTCAGAGTATAGTGACAATGTTACCCTACAACATAAGTATCCCCTCTCAGAGTATAGTGACAATAATACCCTACATCATAAGTATCCCTCTCTCAGAGTATAGTGTGTTTTGTTTGCTGGTGATCCGCAGCAGCATTAGTACCCGGAGACAAATCCATCTGAAACACTTGACATATTTATACAAACTGGTGTCAAGTATTATCTCATCACCTCTCTGGGAAGATAGTTGTCATATGGTACTATTGTTTTTTGTCGATGAAATTAATAAAATGTGCACACAAGCCTGAAAAAATTCTGAACTTTCATAAAAAGCAAAGCTGAGATCATGTATTCCATACAAGTATGCGTTTTTATGCACATGATAAATCTATATTGCTTTGACATATATTCACAAAACTTCTATTTTTTCCCCATTTCCTTTTTATATCTACTTATACATACCTGAGATATGGGTATAAACCATATTCTAATATGCAGTGCTTCAGAAGTTGGTGTCAAAAGCAAGAAAACTATATTTTAAAAAAAGATCACTTCCTACTGATCCTAACTTCTTTAAGGAAGAAACAGGAGAGACAGATTTTTCGGGGCTTAGACAGTGCTAAGTCAAAAAGGAGAAATATTCTTAAAATATTTTTGGCAATATCATCATATCTTTTATATTCATCTATAGTTTACGATCATCTTTTGTCCAAAGTTTGTTTCTTATGACCCTGAAATTTGGAACATTCTAAATGTCGATGTATCACATGACTTGTGAATGTCCGAAAAGGGAAATAACTCTCCTGACAATTCATTCCATACATCTGTATCTCATCATCATTCTTCAACAGTTATATTTATCATTACATAAACATTACTGCTGTGTTCACAAGGAATTTGGTGCATGAATATTGATTAAAGATCATAAATGAAGTTTCGATAGAAAGTTATCTGTGAAAAAAAAAAAGACAATACTGAAGATTTTCACTTCACCATAATCGTTTCTAGTAAATCTTATCTTTATAAAACGCCAATTCAAGCAGGAGTTGTTCTCAGATGAAAATGTGACAGACCAAATGATAGACTGAATCACACAAGGGGTTAAAATATTTAGTCTCCTCTGGTCAGTCAAGTAAGAGACTATAGTTTATAAAGAAAAAAAAAAAAACCATCACAATTTGAGTTAAACATTATTTTCATTTAATTCAGTTTTTTTTATCATTTTCATATAAATAATATATATAATATATATACAAACATGTCTGATAAATACATAGAAATGTAAATCAAAACACATTAATGAGTAACATAAACAGATTCTGAACAATGTTTAACGAAACGCCGGTCAAAACAATCTTCTTATGGCAAAAGATGTGTTCATACAAAGAACGGACAGTAGGACACTTACAGAAAAATCAGATTCCTTAGATGAGAAAAAAAAACACATGTAAATTTAACAATGCCTATTTCCTTCTTTTAAAGCTGATAGGTATTAAAATATGGATGAAATACTATGTCCTTGGAATTATTACATAAAAATGTAGTCTCAGTTTCATTTTCTATCACAATATACTTAGTTTTCAGGGAAAATAATCTCTATGCTATCACAGTCAGAAATAGAGACAGTTTTGTATTTGGTATCACAGTTTTGTCTCAATCAGAAAATGTTATAATAATCAAATATCTTAACATAGTTATGAAATTAGATCAATGTTGCCTCCTTTTCATCTTTTTTTTGCAGCTGACAAAAAACTTGGAAAACTAAGCACAACTACAGTGTCAGTTAATTTTGCAATTTCTTTCACAAAATTCAAGTTCAACAATATTTTGATGGTCCCAAAATCAAGGCAACATCAAAATATGTGAAGGAATGTCTGTTGTATGGTTTTATTTGCTTGCTCTTGTATCTTAATCACATGACACCAGTTTCCTTGACAACCTAGCACTCGGTACAGATCACATGTCTTATACAACCAATCCTAGATCATCGGGACGACACTCAACACCGTGATCACTCATCAGCCTTAACTCCTTCCTCCTCCTCCTTCTCCTCGGTGGTTTCTGTTTGAAGCTGTGTAGCCAGTGATGCTTTGATCACGTTGTTTAGTGCGTCAGCCTGGAAGAAGAGAAGTACAAGGTACAGAGTCAATCTAAAGCAGACTAATATACGATAACTGGAGCCTTAATTTCCTCAAATTCAGCATTCTCATAGACTTTTACACTACAGTACTACATCTCATATCATATGATAGTGCATATAGATTATTTTAAATGACATATTAACACAATACACTCCTCAACATGAAATGTTGGTGGCTACTGTTAAGATTTAAACCCAAAACATCACTTCCAGGGTTAAAACCTGTTACCACATAACTATACCACTTGATTTTTTTTAAAACCATGAAACAACAAAAAGTTTTTACAACATAGAAATTTCATGTCATACAGTATCTGGATTCCATTGTAAGAAAAAAATGAAAATCTTTTACCCCTTTCCAGTTTAATTGCACATTAAGTGGCAGATATCATTTTCAATATTGTATCAGTTAAGGTATCGGTATACTCAATATGTACCTGGTTCTCAGGAGGCTCCGGCATACATCTCAACTCGTACACCGTCACTTGTCCCTCACTGTCACCAACCAGGATACACTGTCAACAGTAACATTATAGATACATTATACATATAACACATTCTCTAAATCTATATACACTGTAAACAGGGCCATAGTAACATTATAGATACAACACATTCTCTAAATCTATATACACTGTAAACAGGGCAATAGTAACATTATAGATACAACACATTCTCTAAATCTATATACACTGTAAACAGGGCAATAGTAACATTATAGATACAACACATTCTCTAAATCTATATACACTGTAAACAGGGCCATAGTAACATTATAGATACAACACATTCTCTAAATCTATATACACTGTAAACAGGGCAATAGTAACATTACAGATATAACACAGTCTTTAAATCTATATACACCGTAAACAGGGCAATAGTAACATTATAGATACAACACATTCTCTAAATCTATATACACTGTAAACAGGGCAATAGTAACATTATAGATACAACACATTCTCTAAATCTATATACACTGTAAACAGGGCAATAGTAACATTACAGATATAACACAGTCTTTAAATCTATATACACCGTAAACAGGGCCATAGTAACATTATAGATATAACACATTCTCTAAATCTATATACACTGTAAACAGGGCCACAGTAACATTACAGATATAACACATTCTCTAAATTTATATACACTGTAAACAGGGCAATAGTAACATTACAAATATAACACATTCTCTAAATTTATATACACTGTAAACAGGGCCATAGTAACATTACAAATATAACACATTCTCTAAATCTATATACACTGTAAACAGGGCCATAGTAACATTACAAATATAACACATTCTCTAAATCTATATACACTGTAAACAGGGCCATAGTAACATTACAAATATAACACATTCTCTAAATCTATATACACTGTAAACAGGGCCATAGTAACATTATAGATATAACACATTCTCTAAATCTATATACACGGTAAACAGGGCCATAGTAACATTATAGATATAACACATTCTCTAAATCTAAACAGTGTCCACAGAGTAACATTAACCCTGTAGTAACAATACAAACACAATACATCTTTGTTGCATTTACCAGTAGAGAAGTTGCACAGCATTAAAAACTATCATTTTTATCTCTAAGCTGTTAGTTTGACAAGCCTTAAGATAGTTTACAATTCTATTTCTCAAGCTTCCAGCTTCTTTATATACTAGACTAGTAATAGATCTAATTCCATGATCTTAAACACTGTTTATGATAACATTACCTCAGAGTTTTTGGCAAATGTCACTGCAGTCTGTTTGGCTCCAGATGTAGGGTTGCTGACTATCTGTGGGTCGAGCCTAGAACATAATCATTGACATAATCAGACACAGCATGAGACACAGCATAAAACATAATGAGACACAGCATAAAACATAATGAGACACAGCATAAAACATAACCATTAGCATTATTTGAAACAAATACATAATTGAACAAATATATAGCATACTTTAATTCATGGATATTAAAAGAAAACTACAGCTAGACCATGATTGAATAATGTAGATATCAGTGACAAGCAAATGCATAAGGAAGTCATGTTCCTGCTATGGCTGAGGTCCCAAACACTGAAACCTGCCCCTCATTCACACTTGCCTCAAGTGATCATTGACAGAATGAGGAATATACTTACGTGCTTAGGCTAAGGTCCCATACTTCAACTCGCCCCTCATTCACACAGGCAAACACTGTGGACGATCGTGGTGACCATGTTACATCATACACTGATTTCTGTAAAATCAACATCACACACTGTAAATCTTCATTTTCAAACTCTAAACTTGTGTTATAGCATGAATTCCATTAACTAACTATCACATAGCATAGCATTAGAATAAAACCAAAGTGAGCAGGAATTCACATCAAAATCATAAAAATAAATCATGTAATTAATCTATTGAAGTCAATGATGAAGTTTCTTGAAAACTTGTTCAGAAAGTAATTAGTAGTACAGCTGACAGACTTCTATCCTGTACAAAGAGGGGTGGATTATCAGATTTCAGTATGTCTCCAAATCAATTACTAGCAGTAGGCAATAAAATTCCCTCAGCTCTGAAAACCTATACCTTCACCTATGTAAATACTAAAAGGGGAGGGGTGTGTGTCTTTTTACATATGGTATAAGACTGGGACATTTATCTATTTTTGTTACAGTATACTAGAAACTGAGGACTGGGACATCTGTTAATTGTTGTCACTGTATACTTAAAATCGATGACTAGGACTTACGTTAAGTGAGAAGAAGCTAAGGATTGGTTTATTTCTCTCTTGGTGCCATAACCGAATACTCCAATCTGCACTGCAACTGAGGAAAATATCATTGACGAAGGGAGACCACTCCATTTTGTAGACTGGACCCTGCAAAATAAAAATTTAAATACACCGATATTATATATATAAAACAGTCACAATATAGTTACTATAACAAGTTCCTATTCTAATTTTGATGCAAAAGGATCCAATTGAGGTTTTTATTTTTTATATTTACTTGTATAATTTAAGCTGTAGAAGATTTTGGAATTTTATGGGCTGCAAATAGTGTTTTTATGCTGTGTCTTTTTTTTTATATCCTTCAAAAGTTAAAGTGTTTTTGACTCACAAAAATGAGCGAACTCTTTGAGTTTGAAGGACATGTCTATTTCACATCATTAGTGTGAATTGTGAGCTATACAATATCTATGTGCAATGAACACATCATAAGTGTGAGCTGTGAGCTATACAATATCTATGTGCAATGAACACATCATAAGTGTGAATTGTGAGCTATACAATATCTATGTGCAATGAACACATCATAAGTGTGAGCTGTGAGCTATACAATATCTATGTGCAATGAACACATCATAAGTGTGAGCTGTGAGCTATACAATATCTATGTGCAATGAACACATCATAAGTGTGAGCTGTGTCAATATTTTGCAATGAACACATCATAAGTGTGAGCTGTGAGCTATACAATATCTATGTGCAATGAACACATCATAAGTGTGAGCTGTGAGCTATACAATATCTATGTGCAATGAACACATCATAAGTGTGAGCTGTGAGCTATACAATATCTATGTGCAATGAACACATCATAAGTGTGAGCTGTGAGCTATACAATATCTATGTGCAATGAACACATCATAAGTGTGAGCTGTGAGCTATACAATATCTATGTGCAATGAACACATCATAAGTGTGAGCTGTGAGCTATACAATATCTATGTGCAATGAACACATCATAAGTGTGAGCTGTGAGCTATACAATATCTATGTGCAATGAACACATCATAAGTGTGAGCTGTGTAATATGTATGTATGATACACTAAAAATTGGTCAGATCTCTTCAATTATCGTGTCCAATGATCAATGATAAGTGTGAACTATATGACATCTGATATTTCCAGAGTGGGTTACCAAAATCAGGCATTTCAATGGCTAGTTACAGCAAACGACTTACATTATGACCTGTGTAGCTGTCCAAATATTGCTCATTATAGGAACATGAACACTTATGAATGTGGCCTTCTTCTGTCCCAGCTAGATAACTAATCAATGAAACCGGGACATAAATAACATTTTTTGTATTAATGAAAAGAAACAAGAAATGACAATATTAAAAATCATTACCATTCCTCAATTATTGTTGATAAAAATATGTGTTCTGATTAAATAATAAAAGAAAACAGGGAAAATTTACTGCATATGCTTTTATTAAGGGTTATGAGCCTGTCTATATCTATAATACAAATTTATATCCCTGACTTAACATTGAATATGAAATTTTCACAGAAGGATGCTGAATGCTGCGATTACAAATCTATGTTTTTGATATACCTGAACTTTCAACAGTTAAAATGAGCTCATTGTTTTATCTGTAAACCACCACTTCCACATGTTAACAAAATGACACACTTACATATTAGAATCTCTGCTATGGAAGTCAAAACACAGTCCTCCAGCATGTCTAGAAATGAAAGCCTCGCCCTTCTTTTCTTTTTTACCTCCCATCCTGGTTGGCATTCTTTTCAGCCTCATTAAATCTACAATTGGCAAGCAGTTAGATTTACATCTGACAATTAGATTGATAATGACACTAAAATTACAGAAAAATGAATAGGAAATAATTAAGAAAATAAATTGTGTAATTTTTAAAGAAACATATAAAATACTAGTCTTCACATTTTTAAAGAATCTAATGAGAAATCAAGGAGCATTTTTAATTCCAAATCATACGTATGGAAATTAGCTGTTTGAATAAACCAATCACATATTGAACAAGCACTGTTTAAATTTTATACATAAGTAAATGTCAATATGATGTCGATGACATTAAAATCAGTACCAAAAAATAACGTTTATATTCTTTACCATAGCTTTCAAATCCTTTTCTGATGGACCACTGTGTCACTCTCCCGTCTGTGGAGATAGAAACAAGTACCTCTGTGCGGTCTTCACCTGATCCTCGTTCTTTTTCTATCCATCGAATGTGCCATACAGGTGCTGTGTGCTTCCCGGGGATGTGGCTAGACATTACATATAGTTCTAAGTTAACATGGATTTAAATTATCAATATATGTTGGTGGTGTAGAATAAGATAGTCAAAACAAACAGTTGTTTTCATAAAGATGTTTCTTTTGTTTAGGTTGTAATATGACACTACACGTCGTACACTATTGACAATATACATGAAATACATTGTTTATACACAGATATACCACAAATACTGGACAAATGATTTGTTAGGTCAACTGAGAAAATTATCAATTTTCTTTATGATGTATGGCTAGTACTAATACAATTTCCTATAATTTCAATAATGTTCAACTGTCATTGTATTTTGTACGAAAGCAACATTTGTATCGAAAGAGACAAAGTGGATATATCACACTTTAAAACTATCAACAATGGGCTGACACTAGGTAGACATATCACACAAGCTATCAACAGTGGGCTGACACTGGGTAGATATATCACACACACTATCAACAATGGGCTGACACTGGGTAGATATATCACACACACTATCAACAATGGGCTGACACTAGGTAGATATATCACACACACTATCAACAATGGGCTGACACTAGGTAGATATATCACACACACTATCAACAATGGGCTGACACTAGGTAGATATATCACACACACACTATCAACAATGGGCTGACATAAGGTAGATATATCACACACACTATCAACAACAGATTACTGATATATCACACACACTATCAACAATAAACTGACAGATTAGGTAGATATATCACACAAACTAACAACAATTGTTATATACTACCCTTAAATATATCACACACACTATTAACAATGGACCCTTAAACAACATAAACAACAGATTATTGATATATCACACACACTATAAACAACATAAACAACAGATTATTGATATATCACACACACTATCAACAACTACAACAACAGATTAGTTATATATCACACACACTATCAACAATGGGCTGACACTTAGATATATCACACACAGATTATTGTTATATAGGACCCTTAAACAACATAAACAACAGATATATCACACACACATAAACAACAGATTATTGGGACCCTAAACAACATAAACAACAGATTATATATATATACACACATAAACAACGTTATACACGACCCTTAAACAACATAAACACAGATTATTGTTATACAAGCGCTTAAACAACATAAACAACAGATATATCACACACACATAAACAACAGATTATTGGCTATCCTAAACAACATAAACAACAGATTATTGTTATACACACACACACATAAACAACAGATTATTGTTATACAGTGACCCTTAAACACACATAAACAACAGATTATGTTATACAGTGACCCTTAACAACATAAACAACAGATTATTATATCACACACAACATAAACAACAGATTATGGGACCCTTAAACAACATGATTATTGTTATATATGACACACACACATAACAGATTATTGTTATATGGACCCTTAAACAACATAAACAACAGATTATTGTTATACACACACACTAAACAACAGAATTGTTATACAGTGACCCTTAAACAACATAAACAACAGATTATTGTTATACACGACCCTTAAACAACATAAACAACAGATTATTGATATACAGCGACCCTTAAACAACATAAACAACAGATTATTGTTATACAGCGACCCTTAAACAACATAAACAACAGATTATTGTTATACAGCGACCCTTAAACAACATAAACAACAGATTATTGTTATAGCGACCCTTAAACAACATAAACAACAGATTATTGTTATACAGCGACCCTTAAACAACATAAACAACAGATTATTGTTATACAGCGACCCTTAAACAACATAAACAACAGATTATTGTTATACAGCGACCCTTAAACAACATAAACAACAGATTATTGTTATATAGCGACCCTTAAACAACATAAACAACAGATTAATGTTATACAGCTACCCTTAAACAACATAAACAACAGATTATTGTTATATAGCTACCCTTAAACAACATAAACAACAGATTATTGTTATATAGCTATCCTTAAACAACATAAACAACAGATTATTGTTATACAGCGACCCTTAAACAACATAAACAACAGATTATTGTTATATAGCTATCCTTAAACAACATAAACAACAGATTATTGTTATACAGCGACCCTTAAACAACATAAACAACAGATTATTGTTATACAGCGACCCTTAAACAACATAAACAACAGATTATTGTTATACAGCGACCCTTAAACAACATAAACAACAGATTATTGTTATACAGCGACCCTTAAACAACATAAACAACAGATTATTGTTATACAGCGACCCTTAAACAACATAAACAACAGATTATTGTTATATAGCGACCCTTAAACAACATAAACAACAGATTATTGTTATATAGCTATCCTTAAACAACATAAACAACAGATTATTGTTATACAGCGACCCTTAAACAACATAAACAACAGATTATTGTTATATAGCGACCCTTAAACAACATAAACAACAGATTATTGTTATATAGCGACCCTTAAACAACATAAACAACAGATTATTGTTATACAGCGACCCTTAAACAACATAAACAACAGATTATTGTTATACAGCGACCCTTAAACAACATAAACAACAGATTATTGTTATACAGCGACCCTTAAACAACATAAACAACAGATTATTGTTATACAGCGACCCTTAAACAACATAAACAACAGATTATTGTTATACAGCGACCCTTAAACAACATAAACAACAGATTATTGTTATACAGCGACCCTTAAACAACATAAACAACAGATTATTGTTATACAGCGACCCTTAAACAACATAAACAACAGATTATTGTTATACAGCGACCCTTAAACAACATAAACAACAGATTATTGTTATACAGCGACCCTTAAACAACATAAACAACAGATTATTGTTATATAGCTATCCTTAAACAACATAAACAACAGATTATTGTTATATAGCTATCCTTAAACAACATAAACAACAGATTATTGTTATACAGCGACCCTTAAACAACATAAACAACAGATTATTGTTATATAGCGACCCTTAAACAACATAAACAACAGATTATTGTTATACAGCGACCCTTAAACAACATAAACAACAGATTATTGTTATATAGCGACCCTTAAACAACATAAACAACAGATTATTGTTATATAGCTATCCTTAAACAACATAAACAACAGATTATTGTTATACAGCGACCCTTAAACAACATAAACAACAGATTATTGTTATATAGCGACCCTTAAACAACATAAACAACAGATTATTGTTATACAGCGACCCTTAAACAACATAAACAACAGATTATTGTTATACAGCGACCCTTAAACAACATAAACAACAGATTATTGTTATATAGCTATCCTTAAACAACATAAACAACAGATTATTGTTATACAGCGACCCTTAAACAACATAAACAACAGATTATTGTTATATAGCGACCCTTAAACAACATAAACAACAGATTATTGTTATATAGCGACCCTTAAACAACATAAACAACAGATTATTGTTATATAGCGACCCTTAAACAACATAAACAACAGATTATTGTTATATAGCGACCCTTAAACAACATAAACAACAGATTATTGTTATACAGCGACCCTTAAACAACATAAACAACAGATTATTGTTATACAGCGACCCTTAAACAACATAAACAACAGATTATTGTTATACAGCGACCCTTAAACAACATAAACAACAGATTATTGTTATACAGCGACCCTTAAACAACATAAACAACAGATTATTGTTATACAGCGACCCTTAAACAACATAAACAACAGATTATTGTTATACAGTGACCCTTAAACAACATAAACAACAGATTATTGTTATACAGCGACCCTTAAACAACATAAACAACAGATTATTGTTATACAGCGACCCTTAAACAACATAAACAACAGATTATTGTTATATAGCGACCCTTAAACAACATAAACAACAAATTTAATGTTATACAGCTACCCTTAAACAACATAAACAACAGATTATTGTTATACAGCGACCCTTAAACAACATAAACAACAGATTATTGTTATACAGCGACCCTTAAACAACATAAACAACAGATTATTGTTATATAGCTACCCTTAAACAACATAAACAACAGATTATTGTTATACAGCGACCCTTAAACAACATAAACAACAGATTATTGTTATATAGCTACCCTTAAACAACATAAACAACAGATTATTGTTATATAGCTACCCTTAAACAACATAAACAACAGATTATTGTTATATAGCTACCCTTAAACAACATAAACAACAGATTATTGTTATATAGCTACCCTTAAACAACATAAACAACAGATTATTGTTATATAGCTACCCTTAAACAACATAAACAACAGATTATTGTTATACAGCGACCCTTAAACAACATAAACAACAGATTATTGTTATACAGCGACCCTTAAACAACATAAACAACAGATTATTGTTATATAGCTATCCTTAAACAACATAAACAACAGATTATTGTTATACAGCGACCCTTAAACAACATAAACATTAGATTGTTGTTATAAAGTGGACAGGAACCGGTTCCCAAACAACATATCATTTTTATACAGTGGTTAGGAACAGTGTTCCCAAACAACATATCATTTTTATACAGTGGTTAGGAACAGTGTTCCCAAACAACATATCATTTTTATACAGTGGTTAGGAACAGTGTTACCAAACAACATATCATTTTTATACAGTGGCTAGTAACAGTGTTCCCAAACAACAGATCATTTTTATACAGTGGTTAGGAACAGTGTTACCAAACAACATATCATTTTTATACAGTGGTTAGTAACAGTGTTCCCAAACAACATTTCATTTTTATACAGTGGTTAGGAACAGTGTTCCCAAACAACATATCATTTTTATACAGTGGTTAGGAACAGTGTTACCAAACAACATATCATTTTTATACAGTGGCTAGTAACAGTGTTCCCAAACAACAGATCATTTTTATACAGTGGTTAGGAACAGCATTCCCAAACAACATATCATTTTTATACAGCGGTTAAGAACAGTGTTCCCAAACAACATATCATTTTTATACAGCGGTTAAGAACAGTGTTCTCAAACAACATATCATTGGTATACAGTGGTTAGGAACAGCGTTCCAAAAAACATAAACATAAGATCATTGTTATACAATGACCAGTGTTCCAGAACAACATATAAACAACATCTCATTGTTATAAAGTAGCCCAAAACAACATGAATACTGGACTGCTCTTAATCAGTGGATAGTTACAGTGTTCCAAAACAACATAATTAACAGATTTTTGTTACAAGTGTCTAGGAAGTGTCAACTAGAAAGCGATTCCTCTAAACAGTACAGTCTCACCTATCACCTGTCAGATATTGAGATATTGACCATAGGAAATATGTGTATACATACCGCTAACAAGTTTGGATTACTCCGTGAGAAGTCAATAGCTGTCACCCCTTCTTTACATGTATACACACGCTCAGGAAACTGAAAAATAGTTGATGTGTTCATGAAACTTCATGATCTACGTTTCATGCTTATTTTCTTGTTCGCAAATGTAAGATTGATAAAATATGGAGCTGGACTGATACACATTCCAAATCTCTCTCAAACAGGCAGATGGCAATGTGAATTATTTTATACACTTAAAATGTAAATCCCTTTTCACTATATTATCAAGACAAATAAGTTGATTAAAAACTCTCAACATTCTTTATATATTTGGTCTTTGTGTCCGAGTAGGCCAAATTGCATTATACAGCTGTATTTAAATTCATAACTTCATATACCAACCTCAGGATTCTTCAGGGACCAACAGCAGATCAAGCCAGATTTCTGATTTGAAAACTCAAACTGTCCATAACCAATGGCAATAAGATCCTGAAAGAGAGACATCATACAACCATGGTTACGATGTCGTTCTAAAAGGTGATATAAAAAATGACTATGAAACTGAATTATGAATTAATTTACCTTACTTTTAGGCACTCCCATTGTTAATTCTATCTAACAACTATATATACAATATGATAACATGCAGTCTCTTTACCGGGTTGAGCTTGTTCCATGTCATGCAGCTGACATTACGGCCTTTGGTCATCGGACAGGAGTAGGCCCATAGCCGGTCAACATTAGGTCCCATGTCGGCCACACTTATCTGCTGGGTGGGGTTAGCTGCTTCACTGGCATTGTCAATGTCTGTTAAAGACAACACAACTACCTCACTATACAGGCACAGTATCTATTTCTTCTATCTATACATATTCTGTGGCTGATATAACCATGATTGATAATGTATCACAAAGAAAAATGAAAGAAATAAAATGAAAGAGATTTTATTGACAGAAATTTACCAATAAGAACTCTTCTGCATGTTTCCACAATGAACTGAGAAAAAATACATTTCATTTTTGATAATTATACGAACTTGTGATAAGAAAATAAAACATGTTATATATCCTAGTGAATGTGATTCATTTCTAGAAAGATACTATAAATGGATAACATGACACAGAACCCATCTGTGCACAAAGCAGCATTAACTGTCAGTTAGGTCCCATTTAAAATTCTACAGTTTGTGACAATTGTCTTTTGAAAGATCACAACGGGCCAGTTAATGATAAGTAAGATATATTACCTGGCACAATATCATATCCTCTGTAACAAGCTTGCTTTGGCTGGTAGGTATTTAAGTTAATAACTCTTTCCATGATGAATAAATCTCTTTTGAAACAATCCGACTGAAAATGCAAATAATGAAAATTACCTCACTGGTCAAAAAAACAACAGTTTTCATAACTATGTATATATCTCTATATAGCCACAAACTGCCTTCATTACATCATAATAATAATTTGTTATCAGAGATATCACTACATATTTTTCCAAAATGATTAAATAAATTTACAATTTGACCCTTATTGAAATCATTTTCTGAACCACTAAACTAGGATATGAAACTGCTAACTGAAGTCAGTTTATAAAACGCCTGTCATTTACACAATTAAAATTAAGTAATATTTTCAACAGATAAAATGGTTCTTAACCTTTGAAATTAAGTAATCTTTTTTTTTTGTTAAAATCTACACCTCACATTGTAACACCATGAGAAATATGTGAAAGTTAGGCCCTCTGGATTCTGTGGAAGTCTGTGGAAATGAAGGTGAGTATGGACACCGACTGGCCCTGATTTCTATAGAGAACAGGCATTTCAATGTAAGGACCTAGATATTCTGTTATACCTTTAAGATTTTGTCTTCCTCTATTGCTGTAAGGTCTGCCGCTGGCATGGAAGACACGCCAGTTTCTCTGCTTGCAAAAATACTCTCTGAGCCTGCCACTGAGGACATAGTTGCTCGACTCTCTGTAGAAAAAGAATCTGACATATTATACAATAATCTTAATACTGAAGTTTAGTACAATTAAACCTTAATCCATACAGCTAACATTACGACCACCAACCAGAAATCTGCCTCAAGGTAAACTGGACATAGATATTATAGTTTTAGTTGGAATGTGAATTAATACATTTGATATGAAACAGAAACAATACAATGCTCTAATGATGAAGATTCTATCACTAGTTGAGACAGAAACAATACAATGCTATACTGATGAAGATTTCATCACTTGGTACAGAGCAACTTTATGTTCATCAGTAAGGAATGCATGATTACCTTGGATCATTAACATGGTAGAATCAGATCAGTGTGTCAATTTTATTTTTGATAATAGTTTCTTTTAACCAATTATCTTAATAAAAGATTATTGAAGAAGTAAAATATGTAAAACATGACACGTGTTGTCGACACAAAGAGAACAACTGCTACCAACATACACCCAGTTACTACACAAGCAAATGGTTAAACACATGCAGCACAGATCAATCTATCACATTAATCTAACTGTTGTTGTTGTTAACATATATGGAACAAATTTTAATAATAATGATAAATATTGGCCAACAAAAGGTGGAAGCTTGTTTTGCATTTTTTGTAGAATAAATAAAAAAAGGATTCCTGAAGATAAAAAGCAGGAACAGGAGGAGGAGTAGATGCTGGAAAGTGGAAGAGAAGAAATATGAAGGACATGGGTTGGAGCAGGAGAAACATGGTTAGGGTAGGAGCAAAGGAGTGAAGGCAAGGCTAGGGACAAGGACAGAAGCAGATGCAGAAGCAGTAGATGAGAGCAGCAGGGGTAGAAGCTGGAGCAGGAGTAAGGAAAGGAGCAGAAAGTGAGGTGTAGGATCAGGAGCAGGAGAAGCAGGGGTAGGATCAGGAGTAGGAGAAGCAGGGGTAGGATCTGGAGTAGGAGAAGCAGGGGTAGGATCTGGAGTAGGAGAAGCAGGGGTAGGATATGGAGCAGAAACAGGTGTAGGATCTGGAGCAGAAACAGGGATAGGATCAGAAGCAGAAACAGGGATAGGATCTGGAGCAGGAGAAGCAGGGGTAGGATATGGAGCAGGAGAAGCAGGGGTAGGATATGGAGCAGGAGAAGCAGGGGTAGGATATGGAGCAGGAGAAGCAGGGGTAGGATCAGAATTACAAGAAGAATGGTTGATGGGTTAGTGGTGAAAATTATTTGCTATTCTTTTTGACAAATCATATGCATATATACACTGAATGTTACCTACTAACATGCAAGGTGACCTGACCAACATATTGATCATGCGTGTCTATACCTACATTGGAGTGCTAAAGGTACCACATATCTACTGACTTACCTCCCCTTGATTGTAAAGACCTTGCCTTGGCCGAACCTTAGATAGCATAAATGTAAGTTAGAATGAGTGTTTTCTTTATTTTACATTATAAATAACCTAACATATCTTCTATATCCGCGAAGCCATTCTCGTAAAAAACAATAAAGTAATTCTAAAGAGTCAGTCTGAAGGCTGTAAGACTTCCATGTTTAGTCTGTTAGATAACCACACTCTGACACTGCTAAGCACAGCATCATGAGTAATGGTGTTTCATTGTTACGTTTTACAACAAACTTCCAGAGTAACAAACAGTAGGACAGTAGGTGATGTGTGATATTAGTATACATTATATGACTGGTAATTAAACATAGAGAGAATGATGTAGTGTTTGATTTATTGGCATCTTATACAGCCAGTGTTTGAATCTTGTTGGTAAGAACATTATACCAATATCTGCAATCAAACTTTGAGCTCTTTACAACCACAAGAACTCTTATATACCAAAATCAAAGAATTTTACTGAAACCAGAGCTCTTTACAAGAACAAGAGCTCTATACCAATACCAGAGACCTTGACAAGCACCAGCGCTCATTACTGGCACCAGAGCTCTTTATTTACGCCACGACTAGAGCATTATACAAACACCAGGGCTCCTTTCCATCACCAGACCCCAATTTCAAAAATCTTTTTAAACTAAAGAATTTTCCTTAACTTAAACTTGTGCATAAGAAATCATTACATGAATTAAAGAAACTGCCTTAAATTCGAAGTTTTTCCTTAACTGACATAATGCTTACCTCATGGAAGTTAAGATTTCCCAAAGTTAAGGAAAATTCCTGAATCTAGGGCTAGGGCTAAATCTTATTATTAGCACCAGGACTAAACTGTCACTGAAGTTCTTTGCTAGTACAACAGATTTCAAGGCTGTGGATCAGGCTATTAGGACAACATGTACTAAAGCCTCTCACTTCAGATATCAAATTGGCAATTTCTACTTCAGTAGCCACTGATTTCAAATGTAGACTGCCTCATAGGCCTCTAAATCCAAATAATGTAGGAGTAGGCTGCTGCAGAGGCCTCTATCTCCAGATGTAGGAGTAGGCTGCTACAGAGTCCTCTATCTCCAGATGTAGGAGTAGGCTGCTACAGAGGCCTCTAACTCCAGATGTAGGAGTAGGCTGCTACAGAGGCCTCTATTTCCAGATGTAGGAGTAGGCTGCTACAGAGGCCTCTAACTCCAGATGTAGGAGTAGGCTGCTACAGAGGCCTCTAACTCCAGATGTAGGAGTAGGCTGCTACAGAGGCCTCTATCTCCAGATGTAGGAGTAGGCTGCTACAGAGGCCTCTATCTCCAGATGTAGGAGTAGGCTGCTACAGAGGCCTCTATCTCCAGATGTAGGAGTAGGCTGCTACAGAGGCCTCTAACTCCAGATGTAGGAGTAGGCTGCTACAGAGGCCTCTAACTCCAGATGTAGGAGTAGACTGCTACAACGGCCTCTAACTCCAGATGTAGGGGTAGGCTGCTACAGAGGCCTCTTACTCCAGATGTAGGAGTAGGCTGCTACAGAGGCCTCTTATTCCAGATGTAGGAGTAGGCTGCTACAGAGGCCTCTAACTCCAGATGTAGGGGTAGGCTGCTACAGAGGCCTCTTACTCCAGATGTAGAAGTAGGCTGCTACAGAGGCCTCTTACTCCACATGTAGGAGAAGGCTGCTACAGAGGCCTCTAACTCCAGATGTAGAGGTAGGCTGCTACAGAGGCCTCTATCTCCAGATGTAGGGGTAGGCTGCTACAGAGGCCTCTTACTCCAGATGTAGGAGAAGGCTGCTACAGAGGCCTCTTATTCCAGATGTAGGAGTAGGCTGCTACAGAGGCCTCTAATTCCAGATGTAGGGGTAGGCTGCTACAGAGGCCTCTTACTCCAGATGTAGGAGTAGGCTGCTACAGAGGCCTCTTACTCCAGATGTAGAAGTAGGCTGCTACAGAGGCCTCTTACTCCACATGTAGGATTAGGCTGCTACAGAGGCCTCTAACTCCAGATGTAGAAGTAGGCTGCTACAGAGGCCTCTAACTCCAGATGTAGGAGTAGGCTGCTACAGAGGCCTCTAACTCCAGATGTAGGAGTAGGCTGCTACAGAGGCCTCTAACTCCAGATGTAGGATTAGGCTGCTACAGAGGCCTCTAACTCCAGATGTAGAAGTAGGCTGCTACAGAGGCCTCTAACTCCAGATGTAGGAGTAGGCTGCTACAGAGGCCTCTTACTCCACATGTAGGATTAGGCTGCTACAGAGGCCTCTAACTCCAGATATAGAAGTAGGCTGCTACAGAGGCCTCTATCTCCAGATGTAGGAGTAGGCTGCTACAGAGGCCTCTATCTCCAGATGTAGGGGTAGGCTGCTACAGAGGCCTCTAACTCCAGATGTAGGAGTAGGCTGCTACAGAGGCCTCTAACTCCAGATGTAGGAGTAGACTGCTACAACGGCCTCTAACTCCAGATGTAGGGGTAGGCTGCTACAGAGGCCTCTTACTCCAGATGTAGGAGTAGGCTGCTACAGAGGCCTCTTATTCCAGATGTAGGAGTAGGCTGCTACAGAGGCCTCTAACTCCAGATGTAGGGGTAGGCTGCTACAGAGGCCTCTTACTCCAGATGTAGAAGTAGGCTGCTACAGAGGCCTCTTACTCCACATGTAGGAGAAGGCTGCTACAGAGGCCTCTAACTCCAGATGTAGGAGTAGGCTGCTACAGAGGCCTCTAACTCCAGATGTAGGAGTAGACTGCTACAACGGCCTCTAACTCCAGATGTAGGGTTAGGCTGCTACAGAGGCCTCTTACTCCAGATGTAGGAGTAGGCTGCTACAGAGGCCTCTTATTCCAGATGTAGGAGTAGGCTGCTACAGAGGCCTCTAACTCCAGATGTAGGGGTAGGCTGCTACAGAGGCCTCTTACTCCAGATGTAGAAGTAGGCTGCTACAGAGGCCTCTTACTCCACATGTAGGAGAAGGCTGCTACAGAGGCCTCTAACTCCAGATGTAGGGGTAGGCTGCTACAGAGGCCTCTATCTCCAGATGTAGGGGTAGGCTGCTACAGAGGCCTCTTACTCCAGATGTAGGAGAAGGCTGCTACAGAGGCCTCTTATTCCAGATGTAGGAGTAGGCTGCTACAGAGGCCTCTAATTCCAGATGTAGGGGTAGGCTGCTACAGAGGCCTCTTACTCCAGATGTAGGAGTAGGCTGCTACAGAGGCCTCTTACTCCAGATGCAGAAGTAGGCTGCTACAGAGGCCTCTTACTCCACATGTAGGATTAGGCTGCTACAGAGGCCTCTAACTCCAGATGTAGAAGTAGGCTGCTACAGAGGCCTCTAACTCCAGATGTAGGAGTAGGCTGCTACAGAGGCCTCTAACTCCAGATGTAGGAGTAGGCTGCTACAGAGGCCTCTAACTCCAGATGTAGGATTAGGCTGCTACAGAGGCCTCTAACTCCAGATGTAGAAGTAGGCTGCTACAGAGGCCTCTAACTCCAGATGTAGGAGTAGGCTGCTACAGAGGCCTCTTACTCCACATGTAGGATTAGGCTGCTACAGAGGCCTCTAACTCCAGATATAGAAGTAGGCTGCTACAGAGGCCTCTAACTCCAGATGTAGGAGTAGGCTGCTACAGAGGCCTCTAACTCCAGATGTAGAAGTAGGCTGCTACAGAGGCCTCTAACTCCAGATGTAGGAGTAGGCTGCTACAGAGGCCTCTAACTTCAGATGTAGGATTAGGCTGCTACAGAAATCTATCATTTTATATGTAGGAGTAGGCTGCTACAAAAGCCTCTAACTCCAGGTGAAGGATAAGGCTGTTCTGAAGGTTCTCCCTTCAGATATAGGAGTAGGCAGCTATAGAAGCCTTTCACTTCAGATATAGGAGGAGGCAGCTATAGAAGCCTTTCACTTCAGATGTTGGAGTAGGCTGCTACAGAGGCTTTCCATTTCAAAATTAAGAGTAGGCTACAGTCTCTACAGAATCAACTTCAGATTTAGTAAATATGAAAAGATACAAATGGAGAAGACAGGAATGAGACTATGTGTATACTATAACCAGCTTTGTGCTGAGATAGGAAACATATGTGCTTATTTCTTCAATGGTTCATCATTTATTTGTTTTGAGGTATGTGTTCAATGTTACAAATGATCTAGTAATACATTTCACTTAAATTTCCAAGTCTGCAGATCAGTAAGAACACATTGTAGAACTGTCTGTATGGTATGATGATGATTATATGCTGTTGTGTATAGGACATTGGTCTACTGTTGGTTCTATATAGTGTTGAATATAAGACAGGAGTCTACTGTTGGTTCTATACATAGTGTTGTATATAAGACAGGTGTCTACTGTTGGTTCTATATAGTGTTGAATATAAGACAGGTGTCTACTGTTGGTTCTATACATAGTGTTCTATATAAGACAGGTGTCTACTGTTGGTTCTATATAGTGTTGAATATAAGACAGGAGTATACTGTTGGTTCTATACATAGTGTTGTATATAAGACAGGTGTCTACTGTTGGTTCTATACATGGTGTTGTATATAAGACAGGAGTCCACTGTTGGTTCTATATAGTTTTGTATATAAGACAGGTGTCTACTGTTGGTTCTATATAGTGTTGAATATAAGACAGGAGTCTACTGTTGGTTCTATATAGTGTTGTATATAAGACAGGTGTCTGCTGTTGGTTCTATATAGTGTTGAATATAAGACAGGAGTCTACTGTTGGTTCTATATAGTGTTGTATATAAGACAGGAGTCTACTGTTGGTTCTATACATAGTGTTGTATATAAGACAGGTGTCTACTGTTAGTTGTTTATATAGTGTTGTATATAAGACAGGTGTCTACTGTTGGCTCTATACATAGTGTTGTATATAAGACAGGTGTCTACTGTTGGTTCTATACATAGTGTTGTATATAAGACAGGTGTCTACTGTTGGTTCTATACATAGTGTTGTATATAAGACAGGAGTCTACTGTTGGTTCTATACATAGTGTTGTATATAAGACAGGTGTCTACTGTTGGTTCTATATAGTGTTGAATATAAGACAGGTGTCTACTGTTGGTTCTATACATAGTGTTGTATACAAGACAGGGGTCTACTGTTGGTTCTATATAGTGTTGAATATAAGACAGGAGTCTACTGTTGGTTCTATATAGTGTTGTATATAAGACAGGAGTCTACTGTTGGTTCTATACATAGTGTTGTATATAAGACAGGTGTCTACTGTAAGTTGTTTATATAGTGTTGCATATAAGACAGGTGTCTACTGTTGGTTCAATACATAGTGTTGTATATAAGACAGGTGTCTACTGTTGCTTCTATACATAGTGTTGTATATAAGACAGGAGTCTACTGTTGCTTCTATACATAGTGTTGTATATAAGACAGGTGTCTACTGTTGGCTCTATACATAGTGTTGTATATAAGACAAGTGTCTACTGTTAGTTCTATACTTGGTGTTGTATATAAGACAGGTGTCTACTGTTAGTTGTTTATATAGTGTTGTATATAAGACAGAAGTCTACATTTAGTTCTACACAAGATTTGGTATATAAGCACAATTCTACAGTTGGTTCTACACATAGTCTCATTCCTACCTATCCGCACGCTGCTACCTTCTCGTGTGAGTACTGGTTTTTCCTGGCTATTTGTCTGTGAGCTGGTCTCTTCTGTGCCATCTCCATCCTTAGGACTTGTAGGCCGACTAATTGTACCCTCTTCTTCACCATTATCGTCTTTCTCTGTAGAGGCATAAAGCAACAAATTGTGAATATTTTTGGGAACAAATGCCACAGGCTGCATGGCTGAGTACCTGGTATGTAAACATGTATATATGTCTGTATTCAAATCAACTATCATCTAAAATGTAGCTTCAACCTTTCACAGTTTACTTTAATATTACAAGTAAATAAATGTATATATAGTTATCCCATAAACTCTACAGAAATGTATTGGAAATTATTGTACATAGAGAGACACTGAGCGATGCACAAAACACACCCTCAGCCGGTTTCAACTTGCAAAGGATAACGACCCATTTAAATTTGTACATTTTCAAAATTGAAACTGCATACCTTTTATAAGCTTCTCGTATTCTTTCAACAATATTTAAATAGAATTGTATTTTATGGTAAACATAGAGAAAGTTTAAGTTGAAGTCCTTCATTATTGAAATAAAAAATAGCACCTACAATATGTGATTATTATATTAATAGCCCTCTCTGATCATGAGTTCCTAATGGAACATGATGTCTGGTCATTAGATATTAATATGTATTACGTTTTACAGGATTAAAACCACAACTTCCAAGATTTTCATACTGGTATTAAAACAGTTAAATGGACAAACAACATCCATGAGTTCCTGATATACAGATACTGTATATCTCAGCATAAATCTGGATATTAGCAAGTAGTTGATTAAACACTCAGACACAAGTGAATATTATTACATCAGATGTACAACCCAATAGTACCATATACTAAGTCATCCGGAACATTTTATTTACAGAAATGTAGGCATGTAAATCAGAAAAATATTAGAAATTCAATTGAAGTAAAAATTGTAGGTCTTTCACCTGAAGGAACAGACTTACAGGAAAGTTACTGGACAAAGGAAACATACAGTAAACACATAGTCGCATAGCTTAAATTATAGTAGCAACAAAAGAGTCCAACATCAGTAATATGTTAAAGTTTTTAAAAAATGTTCATTTTATACATAGCCTTGACTAATTATTCACATTCATCCATCCCAAAGATTTGGAACTTATGGACCCATGATAACGATATGTTGCTGTGAATATTTTGGTATTTGGCATCAACAGGGTATAAGCATCATTAAATGAATGATAAGTAAAAAAAAATGTAGGATTCATCAAGAATTAAATTAATAAATGTTGATTTTCACAAGTCAGGAAATATGTATATTACAAATTAGTAATTAGAAATGATTTATGGTTTAAGATTAATTAATTCCACACCATATGACACAATAATACAACACTGAATCTTACTCTCATTTTCTGGTAAACCTGAAATAACATCTTTTACTTTAACATTGATAAAAAAAAATGTATAAATTGTATGATGAAAGTTTTCAATTGTAATCTTTACCTCTTTAACTCTTTCATGTTTTATACTTTTAAAATTAAAATAAGAACAGAAGTTGAAAACTCCAAGAAAATTTGTTCATCCGCAAACGGTGAAAAATTCTACCAACTATAAATCTGCTTGTATTGCAATAGATTATATCTAAATTGTTTACAATAGGATATGAGCAATTTACCTTTGTTTTCCTTATCCTGTTCCTCATATGTATCATACATGTCCCATGTGGTAGCTGTGATACCAACATCCTGTAAAATATAGCAGGAGTATTCAAAACATAGCCTTTATCTATCATTACTTACCACAAGTAAGTCATTAAGTCATTAAGGCTCTGCGATTCTTATTTGCTTTTTTTTTTTTTAAGATAACATATATATAATTTTTTTTTAAAGAATATAAGTAGCCAGCATCAAATAATCTTAGATAACCCATAATAAAATGGTCAACTATTCTGACAAGAAAAAATCATTTTAGAATTTCAGGCACGAAATACAAATATTAGAAAAATTAGACACGAGAACAAAATTTTAAATCTGTATGAGGTATAACACAGTATTAGAAATTATCTCATTTCTAATTCTATCTTGATCACTCATTACATGGAACACTTGTGGTGACTAGGTTCAAAATGATAACTTAGTCAACTGCAAGTTAAACACTTAAGAGGTACAATACTGGACCATTGATTGCGAAAACTAACATTATATGAAATTTTGTTGGTCTGGATGGTTTTAAATTTGGGTGGCTCGTTAAATGTGTTCATTCCTCTCTCCATGTATCTGTCATTGCCAACTCTGCTCTTGATCAACTGAAATCATAAAAAAAACATATCATGTTATATATACTTGTACTAACGGTTAAGGGTGCATGCTACATGTAATATATGTTTTAACTGTCCATTGGTTCTCTACATTAAGAAGCTATTACATATCTTAAATAAGCTGTTCAATGAGATCTGGTTCAACTGAAAATGATGAAAGAAAGTAATATAATGTAACAAAGTATCTATTTAGCTCTTTTAACACAGCTGTAGATAAAAGTACAAATGACAAGTTTCAATATGGAGTGTAATTTGGGTGATATGTAAATAACGAGTGCCTCTTACTTCTTGGTACGTTTCAATTCTCTTTTTGATGCCTGCCGCCTCATCTGACTCTGTAGACACACAGATAGTGGGAAGGTCTAGCAGCCATATTGTTTCAGTCTCTGTCAAGGTCAGGTCAACTTCTTTCTCTAAGTCAGCCTCTGTCAGTGTTTCCTTCACCTCCTCTCGCTTGTGACGAATGTCTGTGACGAAAAGTTTGTATTCAACTTTAAACATACTGAACAAAGAAAGTAACAACCAAAATGAAAATACATTTCATATATTCACTTAAACTGAATGTCTGTGGTTAAAGAGTATATTCAACTTTACAAAATGGTAAACATGGAAAGTGACAAAGACAACAATGTTTTTTATTTTTATATATTTTTTTCAAAACATGTATCTCCAAAACAATTACCATTACTGTGAAATCAATTGTGTTTGTGAAATAATAAGTTCTGTTTGCATAGAAGCTAAATAATCTTGAAGTGGAAAAAAAGTAATGAAGTTTTCTCTATAATTATCTTTAAAATCACAAAACTGTAAAAAAAAAAATGTATGACAGCATCATGATGTTTTATAAACATTAAAATGAAGATTTTAATGACATTTTGAATATATATTATAAAAAATACCTCTAAACCAACTACAAAACCACTACCAAATTTAAGTATGATGATGAAGTCTGTTGGATAGCTATCAGTGTACCATGTAACTAGTAAAACATTGAATAAGATTTTAAAAAAAAACACCATACCACAAATACTGTCCTCTCTATCACCTTAGGTAAAAAAAAATCTCCTTCGACAAATAATTGAATATCTAAAATACCAATACAAATATATTTATTAAAAATAAATAAATCCTTTTCCACAGAAACTAAATTTTACCAATAATATATATTGACTCAGGAGAACTCCGTGTGAGAGATGGTAACGATGCATCATCTAAAATATAAATGTGACCTAAATACACCCTGCTCATAAACATTTGATACTTAATAGATAAAAACCAATTTACCACATAAAGGATATCTAATGGTTTCCAATTTAATATCATACATGTTTCACCACTATAACTGAATATCTTTTTTCACTACAACGATGCATAAGTGAAAAATATAGAGATATTCTGTCATATGAGTGAAATATATATATATATAATCCATTAAGCCATAAATTTTCCTTTTTTATTACATTCTTAAAGAAAAATTAAATTAAAAAAGGAGATCCAAACATGAAATGCAGTGGTGTTCAAAAAAGTTCGGGAAATATTTGCACATTCTTTTAGGACAGACAGTTTGAAGTTCAAGAAGATGACGCCATTTTAAAATGCTGCCTTACTTTGTATTCTACCATTTTATGCTGTTATCTCGACAAGATTGCTTTTATACATGTATAACACAATCAGAGAAAAACAGAATTAAATGTTCACTGAAATTATTTAGTGGAAAACCAACTTATTCAACTTTCACTTCATTTGTGTCTGAACAGGAATATCAGCAAATTTCAATGCAGCAACTAGAAAACACCTCTCTCATTGGTCAAAATTATAAAAATTACATCCTCACTGATGATGATATAAGGTTTTATCAAATTGATAAATTCTTATAGTTCTCTTGCAAAAATGTGATAAATATACATAGAGAATACATGGTCAGTGTCTTAAAATATCAGCTGTATTTTGGCGAGGGTGAAACAAGACAAAGATGGCGAGCCTCTGGTGAGCTTTATATTTTAAGGCACTGACCATGCATTCTATTTATCTTGTAACATTGATTGAAAATCAGACAATCAAAACTTAAGCAGATTTTTTGTTCAATCTTTGTTTTTGCTTGATGACATACATCAAAATAATTGCTCCGTGCAGAAATGTAGTTCCAAACTTCAACGGATATAACAGCGATTTTATGAATATTTGAAAATAAACTTATTCATTACAACAAATAAAATCACTAATTTCATCAGTTAGTCACATTATTAAACGTAATTTTCTAGTAAATTCAGAATGTAATTCTGTCAAATTACTGCATGTGCTAAAATACAGCTGTTTTTTCCGTCACTGCCGAATACAGCAAAAATATATGCATCAGGTGTATTTCTGACAATGGCAGTCCCAGTTGCAAGATAAATGTATATGTCTAATGCTTCATCAATGTTTGTCAACATTTTGACAACATATCAGATAGTGGGTATTATACATTTAAACTTTGGGCTTTATTAACAAGAATATATTCATAAAACATCGTCTTTAATAAATATACAGCTATGACTCAACTGTCCATTTGATGGAAAAGACACTGAATTGAAGTGAGAAAGTGTTGTGTTCACATCGTAGACATGTTCAGTAACACGTTCTAGCTTTCAACCTCTAGGTACAAACATCCAAATGCAGGTGTGTTTTTATTCCCAGATTTAAAAACAGCAGGATATATGGATTTATAAATGAATAGTCTAATCTTTCCATAAATGAAACTCGAAATACTAACACCCTCATTACAGATTCAAACAAATCAGGTTACAAGTTCATATTCTGTATCTAAGGTAAATATTTCACAAAATGTTGTCTGGAAGGTGAAGTTGAAAATCCTAACAGTAGACAAAGGTTCAAATGAAAATCAAATTGAATGTACAGCTGTAGCTTACCTGCCCAGGCTGTCTGTTCTGAAGAAGGCTCTGTAATCTCATCTTCTCCACCCATCATGGAGTCTGTCCCTGTACCCTGTGACTGACTAAATACTGACCTGCAGAACAAACCAAAAAAATTCAATCACAGTATTTTTTTCAATTTAATATTTGCATACATTCATTCTTTTCGAATTAAATCTTTAACAAAAATATCTGTTTACACAATTCTGTCTGTACATATGTTTAATATACAAAGTAACATACATGTATGATAGTTTGAGTTTACCTTGTGAATGGGCCACCACCAAATGTACTGGCAGTCACATTGGCTGTGTTGTATATGGAAGCTTGGGACATGAGATCTGTAGGCTGTAAAAGTGACAGATATGAATTTAAAATTCTTATAAAACTCCTTTTCATATTTTTTTAAATACCTAGAAACTTCAAGGGAATTTTCCTTGTGCAATATAAAAAAATTCAGTTGATATGTTAACTGGAAACTTTTATTTTTTTTTATGTATTAATCTAGACTACTATCATGTTTGCATATTTCATATAATTGAATTTTCTTACAAATACCTGCCTACATTTCATAAAATTCATTATAACCAAATCTTAAACCCAGCAAACAATACTATTAACCTCAGTAAAGAAAAAAAGACTTCCTTTGAATAATTCTTAACATATATTATTTGTGTACATTTGTTCATGTATAGAAGAATACATTATTAACATTATGTCTTCAAAATTTTGGTCCATTTATTATATACCATTTGATATAAAAGCAGTTTTGGTATTAGGGAAATATTCTTACTGTTCCAGCAGAGCTATCCAGAATGTTACTCTGGTTCTTCTTCACAGTGGCGTGATCATGACCTAACAGTGGAACTGGAGTCACATCGTTACCAGCTTCATCAATCACCTTTAAAACAAGAATAAAATTAAATCACCATGATTTCACAATATGAATATGAAGTCAGTGTTAAATTTTAACTTTGAATCTGGATTTTTTTTTATATTGCATTTTTACTTATTCTCTAGCTAAAAGATATACTGAAATTATCAAGTATGCAGAAAATTAGGGGAAAATCTCAAATGATTTTGGGAAACTCTTCCAAGGAGTTACAATTATTAATCCTACTATAAACAACAAGGCATAACTCAATTTAAATCATTCAAGAAAGCAATCAAAACAAATGTTTTTACGCTTCAGAACATCAAACCTGACCAAAAAAAACCTCTTATCTTTCAACAACAAACAAGCTGAATTATTTATTAGTGCTTTTTATAATGTTCTATCTTTGATCTCGGCTTTTGGGTATACTGTATCAAACTATATATACATGTAATACCTTTTTAACTCATTATAAATCACTCTATTACCTGAACTGGTGGCTTTCCTACCAACGCTGCTTTCTCAGCTTCCCTTGCAGCAATACTTCTGCGGCTTGCTGATGACAAGACATTTGACCGTGATCTTGTACTTCCATATACTCCAGTATTTCCACCATATTTACTCTTTGATACAGAACCAGCAAGGTTTCCTTTTCTGGAGGCAGTACTGGCACCTTGACCACTGCCACTGAAATAAAGGGGACATGATCATATAGCATACACCAAAGACAGAAAGCTACATATATAATGTATATATGATAAAAATACAAATATTCTGTTATGAATTATATTCTTATCCATATATATATGCTTTATAGATTAGATGACTTGATTAATAAAGATAATAAAGTATCTTCTTAACAATTTAATTATTTAACAAATTACAATCAAAATTTTCGTAAATAAAATTTCCATGCAAGGAAAATGACAACTGTTGAAAAAAAAAAAAACACTTTGTGTTGTCAGCTGACTGCAAAAGCAATTCATTTCACATGTAGGAGTCTTGTGTAACTGTAAATAGATATCTACATAAAAATCTTTGAAGGATACAAGATATGTATAATAAGCTTCAAATATGACTTACTGATGAATTTTTACAACACCCATATGATTTACATTAATATAATGATATGAATATTAAGGGTGATACCACCAGAATTAAAGAGAAAGATCTGGCTAAGTAGCAAAGAAGGAGCAGACGACAACATTATAATACAATAAAGTCAGAAGTCCCATGAACTACATTTGGTCAAAAGATGAATTTTGTATTATTTGATTTCTCATAAGTTACTTGTACTAAGCAACTTCAAAAGATAAAGAAAATGTCATATATATGTGAGTTTCTGTGACTGATTTTAACAATTAAGCAAATCCTCTAAAATTGCAACACAACATAATTTCATACTATGGCATAATATGCATGTACTGCTGACACCTCCATAAACTTAACTGCCTACATTGATGCATTTGGATAAAGTATTACTGAGTTTACTCATGTAACATACAGAACCCATCCCCCTCTTCTGCTGTCATAGGTCTTCATCATGCATGGTTCTATTGAAGTTTCAATGAACAGCTTTTATTAAAATATATATTACTTGCAAGTTACATAGATACAGTCTGCATTCCCTAAATTAAACATTAGTCTTTAAACAACATTGTCATCAATTATCATAAAACATTGCACTCAAAAATATATCATTATATTTGAAACAATTTTATCATATATGAAATACAACCAAATGTAAATATTTCACCATTTTGACACATTTACACAAAATTACTGTTTAATCATGACAAGCATACCCTGGTTGTGATAAATAATTAGACTTCTTTGATTTTGACGTTGACATTGTCACTGCTGAATGAATCTGTGCTTTCAAGCTACACACTATCACCACACACTGTATACTTTGTAAAATCAACAGGGCTTCGCCATGTTCAAAGTTGTGTCGTGTTGCTATAGGTAACCAAAAGTCATATGCAAACAAACATTTGATTGGCTAGGGCAGTATCTCCCTTGAGATAATTTAGAATGGAAAATGATATTTCGAAGAGTTGTATTGGTATTACACTATTACAAAGGCAAAAGATCAGTAATATAGTTCCATAATGCAAATATATAACCACAACAAAATGTCAAATACATTTACATTTTCCAATAATGTAGTGTATAGTTAATCTATACATTGTCCAATCAGAAAAGCTGTAATAAAAGAAATTATAGCGGCAGGTAGTTGTTGCCTCGTTTTCGAATGTAAGCGACGTATCCCATAATTTCTCATCAAAATGGCGGAGGTAAGTAAGGAAAAGAACCGAAATATCCCAAGGAATTTCCCTTAGATTTCTTCTCTGATATGTTTTTGAATTTCGAGACCGATGGATTCTTATTCCATGATATATTAACTTCCTTTGTTGTTGATATTTGGCTGTTTAGGGGTGATTTCGCTTGAATATTTACAATTGAATTATGGCGCGCTCTCGATTGAAATTTTGACATCGCTGTCGCACCGCGAAGTAAAGGAATTTCCCGGAGTTTTTGCCGAATCGGCGCACATTAGTTAACTTATTTTTGCATTTTATTTCATTTTTCGTCTTTGCAGACTGGTGCCAGCGATTCCAGCAGCCCAGGTAAATATGTGATGCCAAGAATTGAGATTTATTACGTTTCCTATACAAAATGAAGATATTTTATGCAAATTACCGGGGTCATAGTGATGCTGGAAAGAAAGTTTCATTGAAAGCTGTGACTTTTTATCGAAATATTGACGCATTCATTTTAACGACGCCATCTGAATTTAAAGAGATGCACGTCTAACTGCTTATTTAGTTACTGTATTGTGAAGTAGATTGCATTTTATCGGAATGCCCAATGTCAATGATCGTTATAAGTTGCATAAGCCTAGAGCCAAACTTTTGTAAATATTTCGGCACAAGTAACATTCCAAACCTACCATAACCATAAAATGACCACTGCATTTGCTTTCATAATTATAATTATTCACGTCTTCAAAGCTTGATATGCAACAGGTTTCAAGGGGAGTCATTTCAGAACTGCTAACGCTAACCAAAATTTCAAACCCAAATGTTCAAATTTTTCAGGCTGTCTAGAGGTATTCAATGGGGATTTGTCTCCCAAAACTAAATTTTTTTTTAGGGTAGAAACAGATCTACCGAGTTTGCTGTGAAATGTTTGCCATAGTCTTGCCAGTCATAGAAAAGGACCCAAGTTATTTTCAGGAATGCCACTCCAAAGATACTGAATTACTCTATATAATCTTTAAATGAGATAATTAGTAAGATACCTGATGTGATCTCTGAATAAGTCATATTGATGTAGATCTAGATCAATTGTTATCTCACTCCCTTGACAGACTACATGTCATTTGCCAACTTGAGAAGTTAAGACAGTACTTTTTTTATGATAACTGAGATGGGCAGCTATCAATTACATCGGTAATTATGAGATTTTACAAATTCATTTGATGACTCTGAAGATTACTTTTTCTCTAAATATTGTACATAGTTGATGGGAAAGCATGTAAGAAATCTGATATACATTTAAACTGAAGGTTTTGAAACATGAAAAGTTGAGGGTTTTGATAATCTGTATTTTATAGAGACCGACCGTGATTTTGATCCGTCTGCTGACATGTTAGTTCATGACTATGATGATGAACATACACTTGAAGAGGAGGAGGCCATGAGTGGGGACAGTTGTTCAAATGAACTAGATGATCTGGAAAGAGTAAGTCCTTAACATGACTTAAACAATTTTTAATGACTTCCAGAATTGTTCATGTTGCTGGAACTGGTCAGAATGGAAAAAGGTCTTTTTCAACTTTGACTTGATATACCTATAAAACTGATGCTAAGTGAAATGTTGTAAAATGGTCAAATTTCAGTTGATTAGACACAGTGCTATGTACATAGTCACAAGAATCTCTATTTGGTAATTTGAAAAACTGCATGTATCCCTCGCTTGCACCTGTGATGTATATTCTGATAACATTGATAATAGTAATTACAGGAAATGGTGTTCAATATTTCAAAACTTGTGTTAATATTATTGTGTGGTAAATGAGATATCAAATCTTCTATAGTGGTATAAGTATTGCTCTACATTTTCTTTTTTCTTTTTCGTCATTCTAGGAAGGGGATATGCCTTTGGAGCAACTATTAGCCATGTATAAATATGCAGATGAGCCACAGGATACACGTTCAAGTAGTGAAGAAGAAATCCTCAGCAATCAGGATCTGACACTTGACAAAGAAGAAATAGCTCGCGATCTGCTCAAAACCAGTGATGATGATGACGACAAAGAAACAACAGTGAATGACCTCTTGAACAGTGTGCATGTGTCATCTTCACAGACAAACAGACTTCTTAGATGTAAGATTTCAAATGCTTTAGATATTTATAAGGAAGTTCTGATATTCTCTAATTTATCTACAGATTAATCTTTTTGTACACTAAATTCTGATGGGACGTGTTAAATGCTGATGGTTTAATTAGCAGCAGGATTTAAACTCTTTTGGTGTGTTGCATTGTTTGGGTAGAATTACTTAAACTGAAGGTGGAGGCAGAAGGAAGGCCTTGTTAGGTGAAACAAATGGCTGTATTTGAAGGCGCAAGTTTGGCTTAAAATGAGAATACATTTGCACATTCACAGCATACAAAATTTTGTAAGTCAGTTTAAAAGTCTAGTGGTAGTTTTAAGATAGGCTTTTTTCAGAGTATATAGAAAAGAGAAACTGAATTTAATAATCTGTCATTGAAAACTTCAGTAACAAACAAACGCCAAGGTAGAAACAAATGTGTAACCTTAACAGTCAGTCAGCTTACTAAGTTACATTAACCCTGATACAACTGATATATCATAGTAAATGTATGTTAATAATTCCTTACAGCCAATAGTCAAGATGGAAGTGAAAATGAAGATGAGGATTCTGAAGAGGACAGTGATTACCACCAACCTATAGAAGTTGTTGATGATTGGAAAAAGGTATGAAAAAGTAATGACTCAGAGATTTGAGTCCTGGGCTCATGATTCTTCTGTTGGATTCACTCAAATTTTGAGGACCCTGTATATCTCTTAATAATTGGACTCTTCAAAATTTTTGAATTGGAGCCCTGGACTCGCTTGAAAGAATATTACAAAAAATACTGATTATTATGAAAGTCTAGAGAATGTTTCTAATTCCTGTTGAATATTTGTCATCTGAATTACATGCTAAATTATCTTTGTTATTACAGACAATCCAAGTTGGCTCTGATTATCAAGCTAGTGTTCCAGATGGTCTCTGCAAATATGGAGATGCTCCAGGTAAATGACATATTTAATGCCTGTAATTCAAAAACAGAAATTCATTCCAAACTCGATTAATGTGTGATGTGTGGGATATAGTAAAACAACGAATTTTCATTTTACATGATTTAATTGTATTAGTGTGAAACTAAGTGTACTCAATTAGGTCAAACTATTGGGTGATCATACTTTTTAACAGTATTTAAGTTTAATAGTTACAAATGAAAACAATCTGAATACCAGCTTTTTCATTCTTTAGATTTAGTGTTTTGAACATGCTCTACAAGTAAGCATTAAGTAAAATATGGAAAATTCAGTCCAGCCTGATGACATAACTACCTACCTACCATCTACCCACCAGATAAAAATTGTTGACTTTGTCTCAATGTTGTCCTTTGTTTAACAGCCTATGAGAATGAAGACCGACTACTATGGGATCCTAACAAATTAACAGATTCTGTTGGTAAGTTGTGTATGTTATATTTATTAGAACGAATTACTGGTTTTTCAATGAAATTGATTTTAGTGATTTTAGTCTTCAGTTTGTCAAGGGCATATCTGAAATACTTAATCAGCTACAGTTTCAAAGCTTTAAATTTGAGGATATCCTCTTGTTCTTAATTGAACCTCAAGCTGTACTTTTTAACTGTGACATGAGATAATGGAGTTTGTAGAGATTAAGGATTAATTGCAGGATTTCAGCTCATAACATTACAGAGATATTCACACATATGAGGAAAATATTTCTTCAAATATCGAGGGCAGTGATCTCTCTCTGATAGCGTGGATTGTGGAAGATGTTTGTTACACCATGTTAACTAACTAAAAATTACTTAGTTTCAATTGAAGAGTTTGTAATTTTCAGCTACTTTGTTGATATTGGTTTTTTGTTTAATTTTTTTTCTCTTTTTCTTCTGTTTGCAGTTGAAAAGTACTTGGATGAAATTCAAACTCAGTCATTAATCAATGCCACAGGTGTAAATGCAGTGGGCACTGGTATACATATTCGAGATGATGAACAGGTTGGTTTATCAGAAAATATTACCTGTACTTACAGGTGTTTTTTGTCAGTAACAAACAGGATTATTCTTATTTTTTTTATAGCAACTTTTGAAACTCGTGTGTTAGTGTTTTGATACTATCAGTGACCAATGCAATGTGTAGCCTATTTTTATAAGACAGAAATTTGTTTTGTCGTTAAGCCTGGATATTAAAGTATAATTAATAGAACAAGCCTCCAATTTGTAAGTAAATCACATATGCGAGTAAAAAATATCAAAAATGTGAGTTTAAATGGTATTGTTAAGTGATGAGTACACAAATCCATGTTTTTTGCTCAAAATTAGGATTTTGTTGTTCGTATTATCTCATAACATGAGAGCATTTTAAAATTTTTCATATGTTCTTTTGAAGCTGCTTTAATTCTGTTTAATTGCTTTGTTCAGGCTTTATATTTACTACTGCAATGTGGACATAATGTTGAAGAGGCGCTTCGCAGAAGGAAGATGCAGGCAGTTCCTCCCACAGGTAAGAGGCAAATCTTCTGTTATTGAGTATCTGAAGCTAGTTTTCCTTATGTAAGATTGTATATTTAATTAGTGTTTAACCTATTCTACTGATTTGAATGCCATATAGACAGTCAACAGTATTGAAACAAAATATGCAAAAATGAAAGATAGGTTTAAAATATGCCAATTGTCACATGACCTTATATGGCTTCATTTGTTTGAATATATATTTACGAAAGAATGCATCTCCATCACTACTTTTAAAAACTACTTATTATCTGGTGATAGATCCTATGAGTTTATGGTCAGAAGAAGAATGCAGAAACTTCGAAAATGGTCTAAGAACTTACGGAAAAGATTTCTACTTGATCCAGCAAAATAAAGTGAGTAAAGAATTCCTGTTTTCATATGTATCTGTGTTCTTTTGTGTTGAAATAACACTTTGTGCGTGTTATTCATGCCAGCAATGAATATTTAATATCAAGAATGGTGATGTTATATTCCACCAAATCCTTAATACATTCATGGGGCAGTGCAAATATTCCAAAATATGACATGTTGATGAATTTTATCAAGATCATTAAGAGTGATTATTTTTTCCTGCTGTAAATAAAATAAGTTTATGTAAATCGATTATAAGTTATGTTACAATATTTAAACACTATACAATACTGAAATTTCCAAACTTCTTGTATCAACTCTTTAGTAAGATGCCTACCCAGTGAGGTACACACAGTTTGTTGAACATGTGCTATTCAGAGAAATAATTCAAATGTTGACGTATAAACAGCTAGCATGCATATATATATATATATCAAGTCTACAAGTTAGTTTAGGTTCTGGCTTTAATACTAAGTTTTTTCCCGTACTTACCAACAATATAGATGACATATATTGTTCTAAGAGTTCTGCTGAGTTCAAATAGTTGTATATATATTTAAATTTTTTTTACATGTTCATGAAGAATTTGGTCCTTTGAGAATTATCGTTTTAACCATCACCTTCAGTGGATAGAAATGAATGAAGCATGCTTCAGACAAGGGAAACATATCTAGTTAGCGAAGGGTGCTGTCATCCTTCTGAATGTTTTGAGAAGAAATAGTCCATAGGAACATCCCTTTTACAAATGTATGTATTAATCTCTTAATTGTCATTTTACAGGTGAAAACAAGGTCTGTTGGAGAATTAGTACAGTTTTATTACCTTTGGAAAAAGACAGAAAGACATGACATGTTTGCCAACAAGAACAGATTGGAAAAACGCAAATATTCCTTACATCCTGGTGTCACGTTAGTATTTTCTCTGCTGTCATATTTTATCCTTATGATGTTTGATTGTTTATTCCATAGCTATTATTGGACCTCACATAAAATCCAGGTGTCCTGTAGTGATAACTGTGTCCATCTGTCAATAGTTTTTAATTGCTTCCATTCAGTGTGTATTTCCAATTGATGATCTCATTCTGCATGTCTGTTATATGATTTCCATGAAGATGGAACGTGGCAGAAAAGCTAGAGGTTTGTAGAGAAATCTTATCCATCAAAAACAGAAGACAGAAAAACAAATTTCTTTGTTGCTTTATAGTGAATTTTATTTGCAAATCTAAAAGAATTTACTTGGTTACATCAGCATTATGTAACACATTCAACTTTTGACCTTGTTTTATTGCAGAGATTACATGGATCGCTTCCTGGATGACCAGGAGAGTCCAGCTGCAGCACCTGTAAGGGAGAGATCAGCAAGTCCTATCAACTCTCTCATTTATGGTGATCCAAAAAGAAACCAATTGAAACCTCCATCATCGGACACAGAGACATCTTCCAGTTATCATGTTGGGGAACCTAAAGACTTTGATCTCAGTGCTGCTTCACCAACTGTAGTTCGTCCCGAGATTAAGAGACATAGTCCATCTTCTCCACGAGCCACAAATAACGTAATTCATGTTTCATCTGGCTTAAACGGCAGTTGTGAAGACGTGATTGAACCAATAAGCAAAAAAATGAAAACAGATTCAGAACATTCACATTACGAACTTCAGGAGTCATATTCAGACAACAACCATATAGATTCTGTGTCTCTATCATCTGTTGCCTCAGGACTCACTCAATCAGAACACACATTAACATCTGTTGGTGCTTTAAATGCGGACCTTCATCCTGTAAAGCATGCATCAGCCGAGTCTGTGGTACTGTGATGTTGTCTAAAGTTAGATTAGCTAGGCTTTAGGTATATCAAATAAGAAAAGAAATTCACTTAATGTTACATCCAAGATCCAGTTTTATACATCTTGACATCTCGAGGTACTTTATAGAGAAAAGTTTTCAACAAAGTAGTGGTCTTTTTAAAAAAAAATTTGTCTTTGTTTTTTTTTGTTTTTTTTTTTTTTAAGTTGTGAAGTTTAAAAAGATTTTGTACACAATTTATGATGCTCTTTAATATAGAACAAATTTTAATTAGACATTTTTTTTTTGATGTAGCTGTATAAAAGTGGGTCTTGGATGTTTAAAAAAAAAACATGGAAAAATCATTCCATTCAGGGAATTTATTTATACAAACCAAGAGAAGAAGTGACATAGACCAGCTTTGTCTTGACATCACTTACAATGTGCAATATCGAAGATGATCGTTGAACAAAGTCTGACCATTCAGCTTTTGTTCATTACAGAGTGTTCCAGGATCAGTAATGGCCAGTGGGTCTGTCTGTTTTAAGGCAGACAGTCAGTGGTGCAGATTTGTTTTATAAGACCACCCATCCTAGCAGTATCTTCTTGTATTTGCTTAATATATTGATACAGTCTTGGCGACCTTACGCCGATAAGCCGAGGAAGACAACATTTTTTGATTGTCACACCTTAAGTTTTGTACATGAAAGTAGATACCATGAGTATTCATAAGTTAGAATTAATAAGGATAGGTGAGTAAACACAAAGTTGTGAAAAATAACTTTTGTTTGATTTGTGTGTGGTTTTATGTCGGCAACAGCTACAGTGACAAAGTAGTGATGGTTGTTGGATAGAGTGAGGGTGGGGGCTTGGGGCTGCTCTTTTATAGAGGGAGTGATGTTCATTTTCAGAAAAGAATCAAAATCCTTTGTTAAAAAAGAATATACAGTAGTTGTATAGAAGTAGGAGTTTAACAGGGATTTCACTCCACAGTAATTGTGAGAGTAGACACCATAAGGATTGTTTTTGTTATTGTGTTATTGGAAGGAGAGATTATAGTCGTCTTGCTTCATTCAGAGAGTGGAATGAATCTAATCTGAAGAGATTTATGCAAAGAATGTTGTTTGTTAAGAAAGTGTAAATAGTCCTGGTTTGTTAATACATATATACAACTCTCTACCACTATGGCCTACTTTACACAATGTACCAAGTGTTTTAATACAACTGCTCGTTGATGTATCAAAGATGTTTTATTCTTTTGAATGTTTTTATTAACATCAGAACATACAAAGTGTATTTAGCATAAGTAAGATTCAGTCTCCCAATAATGATTTTCTGAAATAAATTGTATGGGAGAAATTAGATGCACTTTTTTCAGGGACCCATTATCCTTCAAATTTTTACTGACATTTAGCAACATTGTATGTATGATAGTCTATGATACCACAATATAGTGTGTGATATTAATGTATTATTCAATACCTTACGATTCTGCACTACAAATTGGTGGATAACATTAGTATACCTTTTGCATTTTGACATTGAAATTTGATTTTCACTTAATGCAGATAGCTCAAAGCATTTTATATCGCATTGCCAAATATATGAATTGTGAAGAGAGGGAAGGGGGCACACAAAAAACACCCTAAAATAATCTACTTATAGATGTTTTTATGTGACTGTCAAAAGGGAGGAAAAAGATATACTTTGGCAGTAGTGGTTTTATGTGTGAAAAAATTGATTCTGCCCATGTCATATATACAACTGCTTTATTTGTGCTTTAATCAATATATGTCCCAAATGTGTTATTCAAATGACTTGATATTTTTAAGTATATTATAGTCATTGTTAGCTAAATAATCCATTTCAAGTCAACACACTCTTATAATTTTGCTGAATTGAACACAGATATTTTATCACATGCAAGTTTCATTTCGGCAAACACTTTCTTGCAGTTAAGGTATGTAGTATGTTCTCTCCCAGTATACTAGTTCATCGTTGATCTATAATTCCATCCATTTCCAAAAATTCAAAATGATTGAATATTACATAAATTGATAAGTAATTCTTGAGGTCAAAATAATGGGTTTTTTTTATTTGCAATGAAATAAATTTTTCACTGTATGGATATGTCAGATTTAAGTACAGTCTATTGTCATTTATCTCTTTGTTTTCATTCAAGGTGTAGTTGCCTTCCATTGAAAATTTGATTTAATAATGTAATTAAATATGACACTTTGATTTTTACAGAATCATCCATCCAGCTTTCTTCTCAGTTAGGTATTGAGTTAACTGTAGGAAATGAACTAGTCACAATCTCCAGTTTAGAATTCTTGTACAATTTTTAACCATTTGAGTCTAATAGATGTGATGGCTGTTTAATGCTAAACCATCAAGGTATGGTAAATAAATTTTATGTTATTTTCTTGTAAACTGGAAGTCAAATGTTCCTTTACAGCTATTCCAGTAAAACATTTACCCCAGAACTCAAAAATAAATCCCTTCTATCCATGGTTTCCTGCCTATTACTTCAAAGGGAATTATCTATCAGATTCTTTGGGTGGTAGTCCTAAACAAAACCTGGAGTCCTGGGGTGAGATAGATGCTTTACTGGAACAACCCTTACCTATACATATGAATAAATACCTTTGTGTCGTGATGTGTGTTTGGTATACATGGAGAGCCATTGAGGGCAATCGAGAGACATGCTCACCTGGGCAGCATTGTAAAGCATTGTATCTAGTGCTCCACACCTGTCTTTGTTTATACATCTGTTTTAATGGGTCTTCATAGCCCTCTCTTTTTTAAAAAATATAAGAGTTTTCTTTAACTTCAGAATTCAGTCACTTGGACAGAGGAAGGGATTGTTATTTCACGGGATGATGAATAATCCCAAAAATCATGTATATAATCATTTGTTTATATCGCAGTGCCAGAAATGTAAATAAGAAATATGACTTTCTGGAAATATATTACTAAGTTCATACCAAAAGTATTTTAGCCATGAAAATCACAGTATACATGTAACTGAGGTCATTATCTATTTTAATGCCTCCTAGGATTTAAATCCAGGGCCTCTGGCTTACTAGTCTGAGCAGTATGTTGCAGCAAGTATTTTATCAGGGTTACATACTCCTCATTCAGGAAATATCTCTCTCGTCCTAGAATTGCCTGGCGTTACAGCAATGCTTGTGAATGTAACACAAGTCCATACATGGGCACCAATGTAATAGAGGTCATTATTTACTTCAATGCCCTTTTTTGGATTTGAACCCAGGACCTCTGACTTACTAGTTTGACCCTCAACTGATCACGCTAAAGAGAAGTTCTCTATAGCTGAGCGGTATATTGCAGCCAGTATTTTACCAGAGTTACATACAGATACTTCTTTGAAATTGTCATCCCTAATGTTTCTTGGAAGTTCAAGCTGTATCCTCCTGTTTGGAAACTTTCAACAATACCGATATACTCTTATATGATTGATTGGCTGACTAGATCAATTTACAGGCTGAATGATATTGATTTCATTAGTCTGATTAAAATTCCTATTTAGTATCGATATTATTATTGTAATTTAGATAAAAAGGTAATTACAAAATGACCAGCCTTTATAAATTATGTACTTTTTTTTTCCTTCTTTTTTCCAGTCTGAATTTTCCATACTCTGGAAGGGTGAATTTGCTTTTCACATTTTCAGCATCATGTACTGCTACAAAATTGTCCATTTATTGTGTTGGCGTCTGAAATTTGCAATATTTATTACAGAGTAATGTAAAAAGAATAATTGTCTTTATTTTTGTACAAATGAACTGTACATAACTGCCCGGTTTTGCTGTATAATTACTACCCATTTGATGATATGTATATCATTGTGTTCTCCATCACAATCACTCTCCTATCCATAGTGTTGTAGATATTGTCAGAAGTATACATGTTAACATATGGTTTGTACTATTTATTATGTACATAGACATAGATAGACTCTATGCCACACAGAAAATTAAACATTTTTACAGAAAGTAATCCCTGTTGTATTTGTCCTATTTCCAGCTGATCTCCCAGTAGTGTTTGCATCATGGGGCTTGCATTGTCCGCATTGTACAACATAAGTTAGATATACAAGTACTTATAATAATACTTATGCTCTGGAGGACTGTTTTTCTCACGAGACTGGTGAGTGGAATGGTCTGTGCTGTTGTGGATGTATCCTTAGGCATGACGCATTCAGATAGCCTGTATGTCAAGCGAGATAGCCGTCGACTACTTCAAGGATGTCACATCTCAGAACCCCAACAAAGAAACATGCATGGGTACTTTCCAATTACAGTGATTGAGAGCCATTGTAAATTCCATCATGGTTTAAATATAAGAAATAATAAACATTCCAACGAGGAACCTTTACATCTAGCTTTAGATTCAGGATTGTAGGGGTCGAGATTGTACCATCCTTATCCCTGCTCTGGCAACATCATTCCTTCCAAGAGTTTGTACAGTGTTAAGACACTTATAAAGGATAATAGTATTTATGTGAGGTCCTAGTTTCAGGGTTGTTGAGTCAACATTGCCATTACCTTTAACCAGGGTATCGCAAGATGGAATATTATATGCCAGTCTTATGAAAAGATACAGGATGGCTTCCAAACATTGTTATCAGTCAAAATGAATCAGCACTGCAAAATGATACTTCAGTAGATACCCCAGGGCCTACAACAACCAACTGGGGACTACGTAGCACCGCTAAACAAGAGTCTCAGCAGTGCTACCACAGAAGTATATAATGAACTACCATTTACTCTCCAAAACTGGCATCAGCCGTCATAAAGTCTATGTCCTGAAGACATATAGACATATTCCACAACTGGTCCTTGTAGTGTTGAGTTTCCTTTTTGTCCTTTGTTATGTTTTCTTGTTAAGGAACTCTATTGAATCCTATACAAATCCACTCAAGGACACTACCGCGAAGTTGTAAAATCACAAATACAATGCCCATCAGAGAAACTGAAGATCTCCATACAAGAATAAAATGATGATGAAAATAAGAGGGAAATAGCTCCTCCAAAAAAGATGACTCAAACTGTGCTCAAGAAAACACAAATCAGTTATAAATCCAACAAAAATTCAGGGAAGTTGCTTGAAAACTAATCAAAATCTTCAGACAAGATTTATAATAATAATAAAAAAAAAAAAAAACAAGGGGCAGTAACTCTTCCAAATACAGTTATACAAAACTGCCATTTAGAAAGCACAACTTTGTGTCATGGTGATTAAGCCTACCAAATTGAAAGAGATCTGTTGAACATGGGAGGAGTTTATAATAAATGGACAGACATACCATAATACATTCCACCATTGCATAATCGTTAAGGGAATCTGAAGGGTCTGTTTAGGACATGGCTTCTTTCTGAACTTCAGAAGCACAGGAGGAAGCATTCAGTGTGTAGACTCTTGTTCAGTGTAGATTTCAAGGGGTTCATCTGTACGAAGAAGTGTTTTGTGATGTAGAGTTTCATTGGGTATATTTATTAGATAAAGGACAGATTTTCATGTGATGTATCTGTTGGAGGACTTGTTGGAGAGATGACTATAAGGCCTCTCTATGGCAGAACTTGTTCTGTGTTGGTTAGGATTTTTTAGTATATCCATGAGAAGATATATTCAGTGTTGGTGAGATTTAAAGGGGCTATACATGGGAGGAAATATTCAGTGTTGGTGATGGTTTTAAAGGGGCTATCCATGGGAGGAACTAATCAGTGTTGGCAAGGGTATCACACAGAACCCATCGATGGAGGGTCTATTCAGTGCTGTTGAGGGTTTTACAGAGTCTATCTATGGGAGATCTATTCAGCATTGGTGAAGGTTTTACAGAGTCTATGTACGGGAAAAGACCACAGGTAATTAACACTAAAAACAAAACACAAAGTCTTGATCTACATAAATATATATGTATTCATGAGTTTTGTAAAACAAGTGCGAATCAAATTTAATATTTCTTAAATGATAAAATTCCCCAAAACATTTCTCTATGAAATTTCAATAGATTCCTACAGAATAGACTAATGGTATAAGATCACATTATACAGAATCTGTACTCATGTGTAACATTACAATCACCAAACTTACAAACTATATGGTCCTAAATATTCTCGCCTCATTTAAACATTTCAAATAATACACATGTACAAAGTTTTTAAGTTATCAATTTTTCACACTTATTACACAAAACATCAATTCATCAATTGTAAGAAGTTATAAATAGTTTACATTTTAATCTACTTACTGTATAAATCTTAAATATAAATATAACAACCTCTCGTACACATTACCTTAACATGTTGGTAGATGTAGTAAGGAAAAACCACCCATGATTCTATGTTCTATAAGTTCATGTGTATGCTATAACTTCACTTGCTAGCTTTTAGGAGGATATCTAGTCATATACAGAGCTCTCTAAATATGAATAAATAAAACTCAGAAGAGCAGTATCTAAAGTCAAGTTTCCTGACAGTATATTCTTCTTCCAACAACCAGCAGCAGTGATAGAAAATACACTTCTTAGAAACTCGCTACACTATATCATATTCCTTACATAATCATTTTAATTAGTGAAACAAAGAAACACTTATTCATTTGACATAATTGCATCAAATGTAAAGAAACTCTATACTTAATTTTCCAGAAATATATATAAATAGAGTTTTTATCGTCCTTTGTTAGACAGACCAACAATAACATACTTATTGATTATAGCCCAAAGAAAAAAGTATGATACCACAGACAGACTTGGCCAGTATGTAAGGTATAGACTAGATAACTAAAGAAGGACAGGGTCAGACATCCTATCACTTTATAAAGCTACTGAAATACACATAATGTAGCGAAACATTCAGAAAATTACTGTCAGGTACTCATCACAGCACAATCCATCCTCCTCCAAATAAATGTAACATTTCAGCTAATTTAAAAAGTGCTCTCATTTTACCGTCAAATCAGTCCATTTTTATCTTGCTAATCATATTACTGAACACATGCATTTATCTTTTGTTCAATTAACTGATGAAATATTCTTCTTTGCTGTTACATTTTCAAAGTTTAAACAAATATTGTGCTGTTTTATTGACAAGAAACCAGAAAAAATCCCCTTTTTAAAATATTACTTGAATTGGTAACCATATTTTAGAACGAGAAATAAACTACTTAATCTCATCAACCCACTTCATTATTTGACAGATTTCTTATGATAGAGAAAGAGATGTTAGCACTTATTACCATAGAACACACAGAAGACTTGCAGAAGTGAAAATTGCAATGTTGTTCTGTAAGACAATCTAGTTCCGTATCACAATGGTGTTAACATATTGTTCTACTTGTTGGAATATATCAACTTCATGTACAAACACATAATACAAACTGAATTACATCTGAGGTGAAAAATATCTTATAAGATATAATAAATCTATTATAATCCATTGCTTTAATTCAAAATTCAGAAGTTAACAACCTTTCAGCTACCCACTCTTAATTTTACGAGCATTATCCTGATATCAGATTTTAAATCAAACACTACCTTTTGTAAAATAGTGAGATTTTGGATTAATTGTCCTAAAAAGTACAGTATGATAAGATTTTAAATAAAAACCAGCATGCATAATAGTAAACATGACAGACAAATACATATAATATTTAGTGTATCCATTATACAAATCAACTGTTTTACATTTGACGGGTAAACACCCACTAGTTATAAGTGAAGAAATCTTTTCTTCTTTTATTTTTTTCATTCACAATAGATAGATATTTCCCTTAATGAATACTTTTTTGTAGAAATAATTTCTGTTCCACTTCAGAAATCTAAAGACTTTAGTCTAGTGATGAAGTCGAATGACATCCACGTAATAAGTAAAATGTACCATAAATCCTTGTTAGGAATTCCGTATTTTTGTAATACAGAGTTGTCTGCTCTTTGAGAAGGTATCTGTTGTTCATCATTTGTTTGTGAGAGTAATACCATAACTTTGTGAGAAAACAGCAAAATATTCTCACATAAACTAATGACGTAACAACCAATACCTCTACTGACAAGAGCAGATAACTCTGTACTGCAAAACGACAGAATATTTCAATATAGTACAGATAAAATAATTCTATAGGCAGTTTATATGAAATAATGCAGAAACTACTCTGAAGAATATTCTCTTAATCTATTAGGTAATATAACAAATTATCTTGATTATTTTTGAGCCATTTTTTCACAACTCTTTACATCAATGAGCACAGGTCACAATATCTAGCTAAACATTTCATTTCACTTTTCATACATCTTTTTAAACAAGTGAGAAGCTGAATTTGATCAAACTTTCACAAAAGTTTATACATCCGATATACTCCATTTTAATCTGCAGACTTAAATGTCCAGTTATAGATGAAGAGACAGTATATTAAGTGGTTACACAACCTTATTTATACACTAAATATTTACTAAACCTTACAACTTATGATTTTTCTGTTAATATTAAATGTTAAGGTAATAAGAGAAACATCAGAAGTGCAGAAGTAGCAAACAGTTTTGTTGAAAAATATGGCGAAATTCTCCGCACATTTTATACATTAAATATTTTATTTTGGCAGACATTTTAGAAATAGGTACATGTTATTGAATAATCTGCACCACCAAATACATTTCTCCTCTTTGTTGAATACACAGATATGAAATATATTTGGTGTTTCACGGAAAATTATTTAATATCAAATAGATATTTAAACAGTTTATACAATAAAAGAACACGTGGTAGCTAAAACATCTGAATTAAATTGACTTACACTAAGTTCAATCAAATTTTGAATAATTGTTTGGACAATGTTATTATTTCTTGTTTCTGAATATCAAAAGGTTCGAAGATAGATAGAGTAAAACTTTGTGTTTGAGGTGAAGGATTGTAACCACTTTGGCCCTGTTGCTAGTCTTGTACAATGGAATTAAAGATGAGATCAAAATTGTGATCAGTGATGACATAATGAACGTGATCTATCACAGTAAATATGTACTGTTACCACAGGCTTTTTATCAACAGTAATCATCTCTACAAATCTACATCACATTTATTCTAGTAAAAGTTGATTCTCCAATAATAAATACCCATCATCCTTAAAAATATAAACACATGAAATGGAGTGAATTTCTGTGTTGATTCAACAGTATAGTTTCATTAATAGACTGTCTAAGCATGCTCAATGATAAATATTATTCTACTGGCCAAACCCCCTTTTAAAATATAACAAGCCTAAACAGCCATTTAGTATAATAAATACAGTATTTCAGTAGACAGATATACTTATGTAAATAAAACATGCGATTTTTTATCAATACAAACCATCGATCTAAAGAAGCAGTGTTACTGCATGTCTCGACCAAGACACATTCAACACATAAGACTAGTACCAATATTATATACCTTGGTAGGCCCTACATTATAAACTTTAAACTATAAATATGAAATATATTAAACACTATTGCTATGCAATTGAACCTGGTATATGCTTGGCCACATCCTTTGATTTGATGGGCTCGGTATTTGGAGCTAGTTTTACCCTGTCAATAGATGCAGATGTCCTACCATATTCCAGTGGTGACCCTTTTAATTCATGATCTGTATTGGAAACACTAGAGTCTCGGTCACTACTGGATAAAGCACCTACACAGTTGAAAGACACAGGCGAAATAACAGTTGTCTCCCCTTGAGCAAGATCCCCAGCACTCTGGGAAGCTTCAGCTGAAAGGAGTTGAGAATGGAATGTATGACTAGTACTATCAAGTTTTCCCAACTGGGATCCTTTATATCCCCAGTTTGGAGTAGTCCGGCTACCCAGCAAATTTTGGGCACCAACAAATTTCACAGATCCAGTCGATCCATTTAAAGAAGTGATTTCTGAAGATAAAGACAAACCACTAAACAGTCTGCTTGCTTCAAAACTTGGACTAAGGTTTGAGATCTTAGGCTGAGTTACTAATGAGTCAATAGAGATGCTTCTGCCTGCAGGCCTTCCTGGTGAAGGAAAGGGAGACAACTTTCCTAAGAGTCTATCCATTGAGGTAGTATGTAATATCATAGCCGTTGGAAGGCTACGTCGTCGAATGTACTGAGTATGAGGTAGACTGTCTCGACGAATAGTCACACAAGTAATTTCTTTCTGTAAGTATGCCGGAGGCATACTGTGCCTGCGTATCTCTGGGTTCCACTGGTTTTCAGGAATTTCACGTAAAGGAGATAGACTACGACAGCTTCCCCGTCTACTCCCATTACTTGATGAACTGCATTCGTCTTCATTCACCAGGTGAGTGAAAGTTAACGGTAATCGTGCTTCCTGCACAAAGTCATTTTCCTCATCAGTATTATTATTCACTTCTTCCTCATTTTCCTCCTCTTTCGTCTCTCCTTTTTCCTCCTCTACCAGATCTTCCTGAATTTCCACCTTAACTTTTTCTGCAGTTTCCTCTTTCATAATTTCTTTCCATCGTGCTTGATTTGATTTCATATTTTTTAACATTGTCTCACTGAGCTGTGTTGGAAGAAACCGGTACCATTCTTGAAACAAAGGATTCACTACAAACTCTATGAAACCTGTAATATAGAAAAATATATATAAGTAAAGGCTATCTGTATTAGATACATGTAAAATACCTGAAGTATATACGGTACATGTTGTCTTGAAATATTATCCTTCGAGCTGATTTACATGGAGTTGCAAGTTTTATTCCCACACTACAATGTTGATAGAACAAACCTCTGTAGTTGCAGATTTCAGTTAACTGAAGTCAAGCTTTGGGCATTTTGATGAATGATTTCCTACAACTTCATAGACTTTACAGGAAGTATTTCTTATAAATCTGCTTTGGTTTCATCACCCTCAAAACAATAGTTTAATTTAGTTATTGTGAATTGTCACATGGTATCGTAATGAACCATTTTTGCATGATTTAAACGTTTTGTAACTGGAGATTGAAATAACTAAACCTAAGTGTAATGACTGATTATAAAAAAAAATAGGGTCTGTCACGGTGAAGACCATACAGGAAACATTTATCTATCTAAATGGAAAACAAGGTAAAATAACTCTCAACAAGGATGTCCAACATCATATTCAATGCTTCCCATGCTGGTGTGATGGAATGGCAGCTAGGCAACACTACATACAATGAATATACCCCAGCCTATCATAATAATTTGTATGCACTAAAGGGACCCACATTCTGTATAACACAAATTTTATTTGACCAAGTGATGCTGTATGCAACAACAATTGGTCAAATAACTTTGTGTCATCGCACTATATAATTATCTCATGTTCCACAAATGATTTGACTCTTTGTAATTACCATGTTTAATGGCATCAATAACTGTAAACTCATTTGTATTTAACTACAGCTATCATCCATTAGTGATATTTCTATCTACCACGTTTTACTAACCTGCTTGTATTTTGGCGACTGTGTTAGCTTTTCTGTCACACATTGGTGTTACTGGGATGTGAAGACGATATTCATAGTCTCCTGTCAACAGAAATCATGTCATTTAAGCAAATGGAAGTACAGTCATCAAAAACTAAGTCACTTTAATCACGTTTAGGTAGTCAGCAGAAACCATGTCACTTTAACCATATTTAGGTCGCTTTAACCACATTTAAGTACAGTCATCAAAAACTAAGTCACTTTAACCACATTTAGGTACAGTCATCAAAAACTAAGTCACTTTAACCACATTTAGGTACAGTCATCAAAAACTAAGTCACTTTAACCACATTTAGGTACAGTCATCAAAAACTAAGTCACTTTAATCACGTTTAGATATAGTCAGCAGAAACCATGTTTCTTTAACCACATTTAGGTATATTTATTAGAAACTCAATATCTGTATTGGAGCAATTAACTCAAAGGTTCTGTGAAGTACCAACATTTCAAACTTTTCTTAAAGTCACAAGTCCAAGCCCTTTTCATGCTGAATGAAACTCACAGGTCCATTTTTGAATACATTTGTGTATATGTATAGCATTTTTTCTCTATTGGTGCCAAGGACAAGTTAAGTACTGTCATAACACATGTCCAGTACAAATTTTGTTGCAAGATCTTCACTTTTTCATTGGAATTAAAAACATGCAGTCTTAAAGGGCTTCAAAGAATTTTTTGTTATAATAATCTTGATAATGAAAAATGCCTTTAGCCTTTGACTAATACCTTGTCGGAAAAACTCCTCACAGACGTTTTCACTCCACTGACGACTGATGTCCCACATACGACATGGGTTAGAGATATCAGCACACTTAAGGGCTATCTGTAATACAACGAAGTATGTCACATTTACATCAGCATACATGTATGTAATTCCCTTATACTATCTGTTACACATCCATTAGGATGCGGTTCCTTCTCTGCCCCTATTTGTCACCAAACCCAACTAACATACATATATCTTCTACTTGCTATATTCCTTACAAATCCGTACATTCCAGAAATTCCCTTCTCCCATTGTGTACAGCCTTCTACTCCCAATTTCATACAATATTCTGTCCATTCCAGACAGTTTTTCTTACTACTATAAGTACTTCACTCCTGTTTTCATACAGTATCATTAGTCCTCGTTTCCTGATAATCAGTTATACAGTCCAAGAATCTTTAGTTAAACATGAGAAAGAAGTTTTTTTTTTACCTGCAACATAAAATGTCGATGTGATGGATTTCTGACTGCGTCATATTCTCCGCTGTCTAGATATTTCTGTAAACAACAAATTAAACAATGATAAAAATGTCCGCAGAAATGGATACTGACTCTACATCTTATGAGGGTAAGTAGAAAAACATCTTACACAGTAGACCAAAAATGTTACAGTGGCTGATACGTGTCACTTTTCTACCCTAATGTTATATCAGGGCTGTAATTAGAGATGGAAGGAGACCATATTTATATAATGTGTACACACAAAACACGAATTATTCGAAAACAACATAGTTCACCAATTGATGACATATTATATATGAATATGAATTTCTTCTTAATTTCTTAAACGCTATTTAGGTCTTATAAAGGTGACTGTGTGGTCATTGAAACGTCACACTCTAATCTTCTACTGGTTGTGTTATAAGATTTAGGTGACCGTGTTGTCATCTAAACATAATATTCTAATCTTCTACTGGTTGTGTTATAAGATGAAGGTGACCGCAATGAGATAACATGCATGCATACTCATTAAGACTTCTCACCTTTCCGACATGACCAATATGTAAACATCAATGTTTGCAAGTCAAAATTTTAGATAACTGCTCGACGCAGAGGAATTTCAGTCATAACACCTCTGTTTACATACTTTACAGATTGGCCATAAGTACACTACATTTCAATTTATCAGAAGTCAGTACTGATCAACTTGATCAGCTGAAAATTGCATGTAAATTAGCAAGTCAAAAGGTCAATCACATGTAAATTTTTATGTCATAGGTCATTTACATTCAGTGGCAAAAGATTGAAAAAAAGTTTTAGAAATTTAGGATGTAAAAATCCTCATAAAGCCACTAATCTCGTAGAATATTTGCTTTTTCTGTCCAAGAATTTTCCACAAAAGGTTGAGATCAACAATCAGATGATGTAGACGGAAATCTTCTCACAATTTTCAGTTTTGTACTAGACGGATTGTTTATGTATTTATGTATTTTATCTCCACAGAGTTGATCTGGAAATCCTACACCTATTCAGTTCACTTACCTTAAAACGTGTTAGAAATTCCTGCTGACGAGTGATATCTGTGGCCAATATAAGTGACTTGATTTGTGATTCCATCTGCTCCCTAATACAAAGAGTAAATGTTAAAATATTCAAATTACTATGAATACAAACAAATTTTAAGTTTTTAGTAAAAAAATAAGTCTTTTGTAAGCATCAACATTTATCATAATATGAATTTAGGTCGAGCGATATTCTTTTAGCTGTGAAATAAAACGAACCAATAAAAATTTCCTTACCATTCCATGACACTAAGATGACTAAACAACCCTGTTTCGAGAAGGACACCAATTGCTGACCTCCAGTGATGGTTTTCCAGCACAGATGTGTTCTGAAATACACAATATTAATTGATAACACTGCTCAATATATCACAATACTCATGTAAGAGTCTTTAGCAACTTCTAAGACAAATTTAGTATGTTATATTTTGATTCTAAATAATTCATGCTAAAATATCGACAAAAGCCAACATGTACTTGAAAATGAGATATGATAAAAGAGGAAAATAAGAAATATTTGTTTGGTCCATGAACTTTGTTTACAAACAGTAGTTCCAAAGTATGACATATAAAACATAAGGTACATAAACTGCACTACAAAAATTTACAGATCACTTCTATAACATTTATTAAAATATAATATACAGTATTCTGTCGCATTACATAATTGCAAAAATGATTACCATTTTGAAGAAAATCACAGGATTTCATCCTAACCTTTGGCACAATTTATGAAGTAAAAGGTGAAAACATTATCAGAGGAGTTTTCTTTTCAAACATCTTCATTTATCATTTCTTTTTTTCGCTTTTTGTTTTTGATTTTTTTTTCCATAGGTAACTTTACCTCATATAATGCAGCAAGATGGTTAGCAGTGGCTATCAGGAACGCCTGGTTCACTCCAGGGTGATCAACGTCATGTGTCATGGCAGCCAATAAGCTGGTCATGATTTCAAACGGAGGTATAGTATTTTGCAACTGTGAAAATGTAAGACAATTCAATATATTAAAAACTATGTAAAAAGATCATCTATATAAAAAAAACTTTCAAATAATCCTAGAGAGCAATTTTCAAATTTCATAAAATAGCAGATGATGTGACATTGCAGCTCATTTTATCTTCTCCATCATCTTTATAATATAATATATAATACTATCAATTTCAGGTAAGTAGGAGTTGTTTCCCTTGTATGGTATTGAATTATTATAATTTATTGACTGTAATGTAAGTTAATATATTTTATCTTGAACTACTGTGTTGCTATGTGTCAGAAAGGACTGAAATGGGCTCCATTTGATGTCTTACCCTTTGTAATATATGTATTTATGTCAACAAAATTCTTTGAAATTGAAATCAATAAGAGTCCTTCAGTATCCCAAAGTTTACAACAAAGGAGTCCTACAGCATCCCAAGATAGACAACAATACAGTCCTTCAGTATTCTAAGACTACAAACACAGGAGTCTTTCAGTATCCCAAGTCTTACAACAAAGCAGTTCTACAGTATCCCAAGTCTTACAATAAGCGAGTCTTTCAGTATCCCAAGTCTTACAACACAGGAGTCTTTCAGTTTCCCAAGTCTTACAACAAAGCAGTTCTTCAGTATCCCAAGTCTTACAATAAGGGAGTCTTTCAGTATCCCAAGTCTTAAAACACAGGAGTCTTTCAGTATCCCAAGTCTTACAACAAAGCAGTTCTTCAGTATCCCAAGTCTTACAACAAAGGTGTCTTTCAGTATCCCAAGTCTTACAACAAAGGAGTCCTTCAGTATCCCAAGTCTTACAATAAAGGAGTCCTTCAGTATCCCAAGTCTTACAATAAAGGAGTCCTACAGCATCCAAAATCTTACAACAAAACAGTCCTTCAGTATCCCAAGTCTTACATCTAAGGAGTCCTACAGTATCACAAGTCTTACAATAAAGCAGTCCTTCAGTATCCCAAGTCTTACAACAAAGGAGTCCTTCAGTATCCCAAGTCTTACAATAAAGCAGTTCTTCAGTATCCCAAGTCTTACAACAAAGCAGTCCTTCAGTATCCCAAGTCTTACAACAAAGCAGTCCTTCAGTATCCCAAGTCTTACAATAAAGCAGTTCTTCAGTATCCCAAGTCTTACAACAAAGCAGTCCTTCAGTATCCCAAGTCTTACAACAAAGCAGTTCTACAGTATCCCAAGTCTTACAACAAAGCAGTTCTACAGTATCCCAAGTCTTACAACAAAGCAGTTCTTCAGTATCCCAAGTCTTACAATAAAGGAGTCCTTCAGTATCCCAAGTCTTACAATAAAGCAGTTCTTCAGTATCCCAAGTCTTACAATAAAGCAGTTCTTCAGTATCCCAAGTCTTACAACAAAGCAGTCCTTTAGTATCCCAAGTCTTACAACAAAGCAGTCCTTCAGTATCCCAAGTCTTACAATAAAGCAGTTCTTCAGTATCCCAAGTTTCAGTATCCCAAGTCTTACAACAAAGGAGTCCTTCAGTATCCCAAGTCTTACAATAAAGCAGTTCTACAGTATCCCAAGTCTTACAACAAAGGAGTCCTTCAGTATCCCAAGTCTTACAATAAAGCAGTTCTACAGTATCCCAAGTCTTACAATAAAGCAGTTCTACAGTATCCCAAGTCTTACAATAAAGGAGTCCTTCAGTATCCCAAGTCTTACAATAAAGGAGTCCTTCAGTATCCCAAGTCTTACAACAAAGGAGTTCTACAGTTTTATCAGCAAATATATAGTCTTACAATAAAGCAAGTTTAGGTGTATCCTGGTTTACACAGGGTCTTACACAGTTTAAAGTATGTTTAGTCTCACCTGTTTCTCCTGAAGGTAACAAGTCTTACACAGCTGCATGAAAATTGTGGTAGTGTTTCATGGTAATCCCAAAGTCTTACAAATAAAACATAGTAGTTATGTATCCCAAGTCTTACAACAAAGGAGTCCTTACAGATTATGTGCAAGTCTTAAAAATTAAAGAAAAGACACTGAAGTCTATATCTAGATATCATGAGGAATTCAACATTTAAGGAATTTTTATTCAGTTCAAGATTACAAATCGACCTAGTATAAAGAAACAGAGCAGGGAAGACAGAGAAAATAAAATTCCACAGGTCCATAGAAGAAGTTTTCTTCAACTGCCCCTTTACATCAAACTCAAAGAAAGCCACTAACATTTTAGGTGGACCAAACTACAATCTAGTTGTATTAGACAAACATGGATGAAAATAAAAGTCTATTGATATAACAGACTCATACTTCCATGCAAGTATGTTTAATACAACTAGGAAAGGTGAAAACTTATATTGAAGTGAATGGCCTCATGAATAAAGCTGAACATAACTCTGAAATAACGTATCAGGAGATAAGGTTCCATGTCAGATATATTTTCATTACCTTATCTAACTGATAGCTGTGCCTTTTTGATACAAGTTGTTTCACTAACAAAACTATCTGGATGAACCCCAGAAATTGTGCAGGATAAAATGATGATAATTATAAGAACAATGCAAGTTTTTAAATTCACATTTTATAATATCATACATTCAAACATCCTACCTTAAAAAAACATAAGAGACACACAGTGTATGATAATGATTTGGAAATGAAGTAACTGAGTACTATGACAGATTGAAAAACATGGATAACCTCGAACTGTACCACAGATAACTTACTGAGTACTGTACCACAGATAACTTACTGAGTACTGTACCACAGATAACATACTGAGTACTGTACCACAGATAACTTACGGAGTACTGTACCATAGAGAACTTACTGAGTACTGTATCACAGATAACTTACTGAGTACTGTACCACAGATAACTTACTGAGTACTGTACAACAGATAACTTACTGAGTACTGTACCACAGATAACTTACTGAGTACTGTACCACAGATAAACTGTACTGAGATTACTTACTGAGTACTGTACCACAGATAACTTACTGAGTACTGTACCACAGAGAACTTACTGAGTACTGTACCACAGATAACTTACTGAGTACTGTACCACAGATAACTTACTGAGTACTGTACCACAGATAACTTACTGAGTACTGTACCACAGATAACTTACTGAGTACTGTACCACAGATAACTTACTGAAAACTGTACCACAGAGAACTTACTGAGTACTGTACCACAGATTACTTACTGAGTACTGTACCAAGGATAACTTAGTGAGTACTGTACCACAGATAACTTACTGAAAACTGTACCACAGAGAACTTACTGAGTACTGTACCACAGATAACTTACTGAGTACTGTACCACAGATAACTTACTGAGTATTGTACCACAGATAACTTACTGAATACTGTACCACAGACTGAGTACTGTACCACAGATAACTTACTGAGTACTGTACCACAGATAACTTACTGAGTACTGTACCACAGATAACTTACTGAGTACTGTACCACAGAAAACTTACTGAGTACTGTACCACAGATAACTTACTGAGTACTGTACCACAGAGAACTTACTGTACCACAGATACCTTACAGAACTGAACTGTACTGTACCACAGATAACTTACTGAGTACTGTACCTCAGATAACTTACTGAGTACTGTACCACAGATAACTTACTGAGTACTGTACCACAGATAACTTACTGAGTACTGTACCACAGATAACTTACTGAGTACTGTACCACAGAGAACTTACTGAGTACTGTACCACAGATAACTTACTGAGTACTGTACCACAGATAACAGATAACTTACTGAGTACTGTACTTGTACCACAGATAACTTACTGAGTACTGTACCACAGATAACTTACTGAGTACTGTACCACAGAGAACTTACTGACTTCTGTACCACAGTGATATTTCTGATCAGTCTAGCTCTGTACCACAGATAACTTACTGAGTACTGTACCACAGATAACTTACTGAGTACTGTACCGCAGATAACTTACTGAGTACTGTACCGCAGATAACTTACTGAGTACTGTACCACAGATAACTTACTGAGTACTGTACCACAGATAACTTACTGAGTACTGTACCACAGATAACTTACTGAGTACTGTACCACAGAGAACTTACTGAGTACTGTACCACAGATAACTTACTGAGTACTGTACCACAGATAACTTACTGAGTACTGTACCACAGATAACTTACTGAGTACTGTACCACAGAGAACTTACTGAGTACTGTACCACAGATAACTTACTGAGTACTGTACCACAGATAACTTACTGAGTACTGTACCACAGATAACTTACTGAGTACTGTACAACAGATAACTTACTGAGTACTGTACCACAGATAACTTACTGAAAACTGTACCACAGATAACTTACTGAGATAACTTACTGTACCACAGATAACTTACTGAGTACTACCACAGTAACCACAGATAACTTACTGAGTACTGTACCACAGATAACTTACTGAGTACTGTACCACAGATAACTTACTGAGTACTGTACCACAGATAACTTACTGAGTACTGTACCACAGATAACTTACTGAGTACTGTACCACAGATAACTTACTGAGTACTGTACCACAGATAACTTACTGAGTACTGTACAACAGATAACTTACTGAGTACTGTACCACAGATAACTTACTGAGTACTGTACCACAGATAACTTACTGAGTACTGTACCACAGATAACTTACTGAGTACTGTACCGCAGATAACTTACTGAGTACTGTACCACAGATAACTTACTGAGTACTGTACCACAGATAACTTACTGAGTACTGTACCACAGAGAACTTACTGAGTACTGTACCACAGATAACTTACTGAGTACTGTACCACAGATAACTTATTGAGTATTGTACCACAGTTTACTGAGTACTGTACCACAGATAACTTACTGAGTACTGTACCACAGATAACTTACTGAGTACTGTACCACAGATAACTTACTGAGTACTGTACCACAGATAACTTACTGAAAACTGTACCACAGATAACTTACTCAGTACTGTACCGCAGATAACTTACTAAGTACTGTACCACAGATAACTTACTGAGTACTGTACCACAGATAACTTACTGAGTACTGTACCACAGATAACTGTACCACAGATAACTTACTGAGTACTGTACCACAGATAACTTACTGAGTACTGTACCACAGATAACTTACTTACTGAGTACTGTACCACAGATAACTTACTGAGTACTGTACCACAGATAACTTATTGAGTATTGTACCACAGTTTACTGAGTACTGTACCACAGATAACTTACTGAGTACTGTACTGTACCACAGATAACTTACTGAGTACTGTACCACAGATAACTTACTGAGTACTGTACCACAGATAACTTACTGAGTACTGTACCACAGATAACTTTACTGTACCACAGATAACTTACTGAGTACTGTACCACAGATAACTTACTGAGTACTGTACCACAGATAACTTACTGAGTACTGTACCACAGATAAGTACTGTACCACAGATAACTTACTGAGTACTGTACCACAGATAACTTACTGAGTACTGTACCACAGAACTTAGAACTTACTGAGTACTGTACCACAGATAACTTACTGAGTACTGTACCATAGAGAACTTACTGAGTACTGTATCACAGATAACTTACTGAGTACTGTACCACAGATAACTTACTGAGTACTGTACAACAGATAACTTACTGAGTACTGTACAACAGATAACTTACTGAGTACTGTACCACAGATAACTTACTGTACCACAGATAACTTACTGTAGTACTGTACAGATAACTTACTGAGTACTGTACCACAGATAACTTACTGAGTACTGTACCACAGATAACTTACTGAGTACTGTACCACAGATAACTTACTGAGTACTGTACCACAGATAACTTACTGAGTACTGTACCACAGATAACTTACTGAGTACTGTACCACAGATAACTTACTGAGTATTGTACCACAGATAACTTACTGAATACTGTACCACAGATTTCTTACCGAGTACTGTACCACAGATAACTTACTGAGTACTGTACCGCAGATAACTTACTGAGTACTGTACCACAGATAACTTACTGAGTACTGTACCACAGATAACTTACTGAGTACTGTACCACAGATAACTTACTGAGTACTGTACCACAGATAACTTACTGAGTATTGTACCACAGTTTACTGAGTACTGTACCACAGATAACTTACTGAGTACTGTACCATGGATAACTTAGTGAGTATTGTACCACAGATAACTTACTGAGTATTGTACCTTGGATAACTTACTGAGTATTGTACCACAGATAACTTACTGAATACTGTACCACAGATTACTTACCGAGTACTGTACCACAGATAACTTACTGAGTACTGTACCACAGAGAACTTACTGAGTACTGTACCACAGATAACTTACTGAGTACTGTACCACAGATAACTTACTGAGTACTGTACCACAGAGAACTTACTGAGTACTGTACCACAGATAACTTACTGAGTACTGTACCACAGAGAACTTACTGAGTACTGTACCACAGATAACTTACTGAGTACTGTACCGCAGATAACTTACTGAGTACTGTACCACAGATAGCTTACTGAGTACTGTACCACAGATAACTTACTGAGTACTGTACCGCAGATAACTTACTGAGTACTGTACCACAGATAACTTACTGAATATTGTACCACAGATAACTTACTGAGTACCATAAAATAGATGACTGAAACACAGCTGATTCTGTGTTGATGTTTAGAACTTGTATGATATTATTAAATGATCTCATCACATGATAATAATCGTGACATAAACACTTACAAAATGTCCTCAGCAGCTTCATGACATCAAGATTGAAAGTCTCTATCAGGTTGTAATGCTGGAATAGGTGAAAAGCAACATGGAAGAGCGGGCGACCTGAAACACAGAAATGGAGGGGACAATGTACAGGTATGTAAATGCTTTATTAAAACTTTATACAACAGATGTCCTATCAGAAAAGTTATACAACTGCTGTTTGATCAGAAATGTTATACAATTGATTGTCATATCAGGAATGTTATACAATAGTTGTCATATCAGGAATGTTATACAATAGTTGTCAAATCAGGAATGTTATACAATAGTTGTCAAATCAGGAATGTTATACAATAGTTGTCAAATCAGGAATGTTATACAATAGTTGTCATATCAGGAATGTTATACAATAGTTGTCAAATCAGGAATGTTATACAATAGTTGTCATATCAGGAATGTTATACAATAGTTGTCAAATCAGGAATGTTATACAATAGTTGTCAAATCAGGAATGTTATACAATAGTTGTCAAATCAGGAATGTTATACAATAGTTGTCATATCAGGAATGTTATACAATAGTTGTCAAATCAGGAATGTTATACAATAGTTGTCAAATCAGGAATGTTATACAATAGTTGTCAAATCAGGAATGTTATACAATAGTTGTCAAATCAGGAATGTTATACAATAGTTGTCAAATCAGGAATGTTATACAATAGTTGTCAAATCAGGAATGTTATACAATAGTTGTCAAATCAGGAATGTTATACAATAGTTGTCAAATCAGGAATGTTATACAATAGTTGTCAAATCAGGAATGTTATACAATAGTTGTCATATCAGGAATGTTATACAATAGTTGTCAAATCAGGAATGTTATACAATAGTTGTCAAATCAGGAATGTTATACAATAGTTGTCAAATCAGGAATGTTATACAATAGTTGTCAAATCAGGAATGTTATACAATAGTTGTCATATCAGGAATGTTATACAATAGTTGTCAAATCAGGAATGTTATACAATAGTTGTCAAATCAGGAGTGTAACACACCATCTCTGATTTCTGTTTCAGAGTGGTGATGTTGTGTGTACTGCAGCAGCCACTACATCAGGAACAGCTCTGATTGTTATGTTAAAGACATACTAGTTAGTGTAAAATTGCTTTGTAATGATTTACAGCAGAAATACCATACATCATGTTTAACATTCTATACGATATCATGATAACTATTATGTTTAAAACTCCTATTACAGTATTCATATGTTATGAAATGTTATTGGACAGTTTTCATACATGTTATGATAAAGCTGTTAGCAATTTTAATATTAACTAGTAAGATTATTACATAACATTTAGAACTGTTCCCTGAACAATGACTGCTGTAGTACATTACTCTGAAACAGAACACAGACAGACCCACTAATATGTTAATGGAAAGCAATTATCATTTCTAGATAAAATCACATTCACCATACAGCACTTAATTTGATTGATGTAGATAAATTGATGTGTACAAATGAAACAGACTGACATTACATAACAACAATACACAGACCAAAACACCATCAAAGCAGGCATACTTGTATACCACACAGATAATGTTGTAGAATGAAAAATGTTTGTATTCTGAGAAATACAACAGTGACTCAAATATCATCTATTAATGTACTCACCGCACATTGTATATCTGATGTACTCACAACACATGTAAATACTGTACTCATCATATACAGAATTCATGTACTCACAACACATAGAACTCATGTACTCACAACACATGTAAATACTGTACTCACCACATACAGAATTCATGTACTCACAACACATAGAACTCATGTACTCACAACACATGTATATACTGTACTCATCATATACAGAATTCATGTACTCACAACACATAGAACTCATGTACTCACAACACATGTAAATACTGTACTCACCATATACAGAATTCATGTACTCACAACACATAGAACTCATGTACTTACTACATACATAACGCATGTACTCACAACATACATAACTCATGTACTCACCACACATATAACTTTTGTACTCGTCACACACATTACTAATGTACTCATCACATGTATAGCTGATGTACTCATCACATGTATAGCTGATGTACTCACTAACATTTACATAATATATAACTCATGTACTCGTCACTTGATATTATATACTGAACTGATGTACTCATCACGTTATCATACCTACAGAACTGATGTACTCGTCACGTCACCATACCTACAGAACTGATGTACTCATCACGTTACCATACCTACAGAACTGATGTACTCATCATACCTACAGAACTGATGTACTCATCACGTTACCATACCTACAGAACTGATGTACTCATCATACCTACAGAACTGATGTACTCATCACATTATCATACCTACAGAACTGATGTACTCATCATACCTACAGAACTGATGTACTCATCACGTTACCATACCTACAGAACTGATGTACTCATCATACCTACAGAACTGATGTACTCGTCACGTCACCATACCTACAGAACTGATGTACTCATCACGTTACCATACCTACAGAACTGATGTACTCATCATACCTACAGAACTGATGTACTCATCACGTTATCATACCTACAGAACTGATGTACTCATCACGTTACCATACCTACAGAACTGATGTACTCATCATACCTACAGAACTGATGTACTCATCACATTATCATACCTACAGAACTGATGTACTCGTCACGTTATCATACCTACAGAACTGATGTACTCGTCACATTATCATACCTACAGAACTGATGTACTCATCATACCTACAGAACTGATGTACTCATCACGTTACCATACCTACAGAACTGATGTACTCGTCACGTTATCATACCTACAGAACTGATGTACTCGTCACGTTATCATACCTACAGAACTGATGTACTCATCATACCTACAGAACTGATGTACTCATCACGTTACCATACCTACAGAACTGATGTACTCGTCACGTTATCATACCTACAGAACTGATGTACTCGTCACGTTATCATACCTACAGAACTGATGTACTCATCATACCTACAGAACTGATGTACTCATCACGTTACCATACCTACAGAACTGATGTACTCGTCACGTTATCATACCTACAGAACTGATGTACTCATCATACCTACAGAACTGATGTACTCATCACGTCACGTTATCATACCTACAGAACTGATGTACTCATCATACCTACAGAACTGATGTACTCGTCACGTTATCATACCTACAGAACTACCTACAGAACTGATGTACTCGTCACGTTATCATACCTACTGAACTGATGTACTCATCACGTTATCATATCCACAGAACTGATGTACTCATCACGTTATCATACCTACAGAACTGATGTACTCATCACGTTATCATACCTACAGAACTGATGTACTCATCACGTTACCATACCTACAGAACTGATGTACTCATCACGTTACCATACCTACAGAACTGATGTACTCATCATACCTACAGAACTGATGTACTCGTCATGTTATCATACCTACAGAACTGATGTACTCGTCACGTTATCATACCTACTGAACTGATGTACTCATCACGTTATCATATCCACAGAACTGATGTACTCATCACGTTATCATACCTACAGAACTGATGTACTCATCACGTTATCATATCCACAGAACTGATGTACTCATCACGTTATCATACCTACAGAACTGATGTATTCGTCACGTTATCATACCTACAGAACTGATGTACTCATCACGTTATCATATCCACAGAACTGATGTACTCATCACGTTATCATACCTACAGAACTGATGTACTCATCACGTTATCATACCTACAGAACTGATGTACTCATCACGTTATCATACCTACAGAACTGATGTACTCATCACGTTATCATACCTACAGAACTGATGTACTCATCACGTTACCATACCTACAGAACTGATGTACTCATCACGTTATCATACCTACAGAACTGATGTATTCGTCACGTTATCATACCTACAGAACTGATGTACTCATCACGTTATCATATCCACAGAACTGATGTACTCATCACGTTACCATACCTACAGAACTGATGTACTCATCACGTTATCATACCTACAGAACTGATGTATTCGTCACGTTATCATACCTACAGAACTGATGTACTCATCACGTTACCATACCTACAGAACTGATGTACTCATCACGTTATCATACCTACAGAACTGATGTATTCGTCACGTTATCATACCTACAGAACTGATGTACTCATCACGTTATCATATCCACAGAACTGATGTACTCATCACGTTATCATACCTACAGAACTGATGTACTCATCACGTTATCATACCTACAGAACTGATGTACTCATCACGTTATCATACCTACAGAACTGATGTACTCATCACGTTATCATACCTACAGAACTGATGTACTCATCACGTTATCATATCCACAGAACTGATGTACTCATCACGTTATCATACCTACTGAACTGATGTACTCATCACGTTATCATATCCACAGAACTGATGTACTCATCACGTTATCATATCCACAGAACTGATGTACTCATCACGTTATCATATCCACAGAACTGATGTACTCATCACGTTATCATATCCACAGAACTGATGTACTCATCACGTTATCATATCCACAGAACTGATGTACTCATCACGTTATCATACCTACAGAACTGATGTACTCATCACGTTATCATACCTACAGAACTGATGTACTCATCATACCTACAGAACTGATGTACTCATCACGTTATCATACCTACAGAACTGATGTACTCATCACGTTATCATACCTACAGAACTGATGTACTCATCATGTTATCATACCTACAGAACTGATGTACTCATCATACCTACAGAACTGATGTACTCGTCACGTTATCATACCTACAGAACTGATGTACTCATCACGTTATCATACCTACAGAACTGATGTACTCATCACGTTATCATACCTACAGAACTGATGTACTCATCACGTTATCATATCCACAGAACTGATGTACTCATCACGTTATCATATCCACAGAACTGATGTACTCATCACGTTATCATACCTACAGAACTGATGTACTCATCACGTTATCATACCTACTGAACTGATGTACTCATCACGTTATCATATCCACAGAACTGATGTACTCATCACGTTATCATATCCACAGAACTGATGTACTCATCACGTTATCATACCTACAGAACTGATGTACTCATCACGTTACCATACCTACAGAACTGATGTACTCGTCACATTATCATACCTACAGAACTGATGTACTCATCACGTTACCATACCTACAGAACTGATGTACTCGTCACATTATCATACCTACAGAACTGATGTACTCATCATACCTACAGAACTGATGTACTCATCATACCTACAGAACTGATGTACTCATCACGTTACCATACCTACAGAACTGATGTACTCATCACGTTATCATACCTACAGAACTGATGTACTCGTCACATTATCATACCTACAGAACTGATGTACTCATCATACCTACAGAACTGATGTACTCATCACGTTACCATACCTACAGAACTGATGTACTCGTCACATTATCATACCTACAGAACTGATGTACTCATCATACCTACAGAACTGATGTACTCATCATACCTACAGAACTGATGTACTCATCACGTTACCATACCTACAGAACTGATGTACTCATCACGTTATCATACCTACAGAACTGATGTACTCACTAACATTATTTTAACTACAAAACTCTGTACTTACCACAAGTGATTATATCCAGATGGAACATGTTCACGCTCCAGCAGTCCAGTCTGGTCATCAAACACTGACATTCAAAACAGAATATGATTATACTCAACTTACAAAACTATTATCAGCAATGTACAAAAACTAACTCCAACAAAAGTATTCAATCTCATGTGTTTTTAGTAAAAGATTTTTGCAATATAACTGTATGATTTCATGAAATAAATGCAACAACACTTGCTGAAATTTAGTACATCAGCTTGCCAATTAGACAAATAGTTGAAAAAGAATAAAGTTTCAAATGACAGGAGTAAATTTTTACATTTGAGGAACTTGAGTTAAGACAATCATTAAGACTGTGACTGACTGGTTGAATGTGATAAGTATGCCTACCTGTGCCTGTTTATCGTATAGCTGGTCCAGCAATGAATTACTTTCTTGTGTCATTTTCAGCATCGGTCGATGTCGTCGTCTTGTTTTATGTAAACTCTGAAATCTGGATCCCCATCGTATTTTGAAGTCTTTCGACGATACTTCTGTAACAATAATCATTATCATGAGTGTAATGAAGGTGTTCATTGCTGCCACTTTAATTTGTTTAAGTTTGCTGTCATACTACAAGAAATCAATAATGATTTTTTATGATATCAATAGTACACTTGACAGCTAAATACCTGGAAGGACTTTTACTTATAGCTGTACAATAGAATACAACAAAACAATACGTCTACAATATATATAAATGATCTCTAACAATAAAACCATCTTGCTAAATTTGGTGACTGTTGTTTAATGATAGGCATCATTTGAGAAAGCTTTTCAAACATAAACTTTCAACATTACGAGATGAACAAAATATTAGTTTCTGTGTACCAATAAGAATATTAATATTCCTTATCAAATCAATTTTCACAAATGAAACAAAAAAATTAAGATTTTTTTTATATATTCTGCTAGATAAATAAGAATCTAGACCAATGCTGAAGATATTTCTCCCAAAAGTAGAATTATCAAATATGAAATTTTTTTGAAAAGATATATACAAAATTATATCAAATATAGCATTTCACCGTACTGACATTTAATTGTTGGAACAATCAGAAATGACTGGGGCTGTAAGTGTGCAGATGTCCAAAAGGGTTGGTTTCAGTTTTATAATGTTTAATATCTTATACAGTCACTAAAGGATGCATCCAAATGAAAGAAAGAAAAAAACAAACATAAAAAAGTCTTAAAAGATGTTGAAATATAGCAGAATTACTCTAATAATCCACTGATTTTTTTTCAATTTGGATTGGTTTATAACTTTTATGTCCTATCAACAGCTAGGGTAAATTATGGACCATCTCCCAGTGTTTGTCAAGTAAGTATGTAGTTGTAGGAAGCTTCGATATATACAAATACTATATTGACGGTGGGCAAACTCTACGCCAAAATGCTAATATAGAGAAGTAACTACAATTTTGAAAGATGCTGGTATTTCTCAGTCAGGAAACAGAACCAAAAACTTTCCTCACATGGGAGAATGATCAAAACAAGGCAGAACAGCAGTGTGAAGGCATTAGATACCTCATATATCATACAATAGGGGGCAAAAGGTACAATTCTTATGCTCTACCTGCAGGGCAGCTAATTATTTTGAATGGTGCATATTGTTATATCAATATCAAACAGCAGTGTATAGTATCAACTCTGCCCTTGATCCTCATTTAGGACCTCGCTTGAATGAAATTAATTTATTGATTAATTAATTAATATAATAATTATAATAATAATACAATAAATTAATATTTATTTTTATTTTTCGAAGCTGCCTCCAGGCATTGTTATGGTGCACAAGTTCTTTCAAAAGTTCCCAATACTCATCTTTTCAGTTTGAACACCTATCTTAAACTACTCACTGTCCAATAGTTTGAGGTCGGACACAGCCACATTATTAGACCGCCGTTCTGAATAGCATTCCAGCTTGGATTTCATCTGGACATCGCCTACAACACAAAAATTAATCAAAGTTCAAATTATCTCCTATAAGAAATTGCCTACACCACAGGCCAATGTAATGATCTTGGTAATAAATTTCTGTATCGTCCTTCCAAAATACCAGCGATAACCACCATATGTTCACATAAAATTGATAATGACTGCTGTTAATACAATGTACTAGTGTGATGTCACAAAGGAACCACATTTCAGTACACAATGTACTAGTGTGATGTCAGACTAAGGAACCACATTTCAGTACACAATGTACTAATGTGATGTCAGACTAAGGTACCACATTTCAGTACACAATGTACTAATGTGATGTCAGACTAAGGAACCACCTTTCAGTACACAATGTACTAGTGTGATGTCAGACTAAGGAACCACATTTCAGTACACAATGTACTAGTGTGATGTCAGACTAAGGAACCACATTTCAGTACACAATGTACTAATGTGATGTCAGACTAAGGTACCACATTTCAGTACACAATGTACTAGTGTGATGTCAGACTAAGGAACCACATTTCAGTACACAATGTACTAATGTGATGTCAGACTAAGGAACCACATTTCAGTACACAATGTACTAATGTGATGTCAGACTAAGGAACCACATTTCAGTACACAATGTACTAGTGTGATGTCACAAAGGAACCACATTTCAGTACACAATGTACTAGTGTGATGTCAGACTAAGGAACCACATTTCAGTACACAATGTACTAGTGTGATGTCAGACTAAGGAACCACATTTCAGTACACAATGTACTAATGTGATGTCAGACTAAGGAACCACATTTCAGTACACAATGTACTAATGTGATGTCAGACTAAGGAACCACATTTCAGTACACAATGTACTAATGTAATGTCAGAGTAAGGAACAACATTTCAGTACACAATGTACTAATGTGATGTCAGACTAAGGAACCACATTTCAGTACACAATGTACTAATGTGATGTCAGACTAAGGAACCACATTTCAGTACACAATGTACTAGTGTGATGTCAGACTAAGGAACCACATTTCAGTACACAATGTACTTGTGTGATGTCAGACTAAGGAACCACATTTCAGTACACAATGTACTAATGTGATGTCAGACTAAGGAACCACATTTCAGTACACAATGTACTAGTGTGATGTCACAAAGGAACCACATTTCAGTACACAATGTACTAATGTGATGTCAGACTAAGGAACCACATTTCAGTACACAATGTACTAGTGTGATGTCAGACTAAGGAACCACATTTCAGTACACAATGTACCAGTGTGATGTCAGACTAAGGAACCACATTTCAGTACACAATGTACTAGTGTGATGTCAGACTAAGGAACCACATTTCAGTACACAATGTACCAGTGTGATGTCAGACTAAGGAACCACATTTCAGTACACAATGTACTAGTGTGATGTCAGACTAAGGAACCACATTTCAGTACACAATGTACCAGTGTGATGTCAGACTAAGGAACCACATTTCAGTACACAATGTACTAGTGTGATGTCACAAAGGAACCACATTTCAGTACACAATGTACTAGTGTGATGTCAGACTAAGGAACCACAGTTAAATATATATAGAGTGTCAGCAAGTGTGAGTACATACGCACTAGAATTTCAGAAGTTAATCACAACACTTACAACAAACTCCAATTTGCTAATTACAACACTTACCATAAATTATGATTGTCTTATTGCCACACTGCTAACAACAAAGTACATTTGTCCAATTAGAACAAGTACTAAAATTGTTTAATTTAATATTACACAAAACTGCAATTGACCAATCACAGCACTTTCAACAAACTACAATTGGTTCATTAAAACACTTTCAACAAATTACAATTAGTTAATAACAACACCACTTACAACAAATTACAACACTTTCAACATCTTACAATTGTCTCATTACAACACAAACTACAATTGTCTTATTACAACACACACTACAATTGTCTTATTACAACACAAACTACAATTGTCTCATTACAACACAAACTACAATTGTCTTATTACAACACACACTACAATTGTCTCATTACAACACAAACTACAATTGTCTCATTACAACACAAACTACAATTGTCTCATTACAACACAAACTACAATTGTCTCATTACAACACAAACTATAATTGTGATTGATTACAACACCACTTAAAATTGACACAAACTACAATTGTCTTATTACAACACAAACTACAATTGTCTTATTACAACACAAACTACAATTGTCTTATTACAACACACACTACAATTGTCTCATTACAACACAAACTATAATTGTCTTATTACAACACACACTACAATTGTCTCATTACAACACAAACTATAATTGTGATTGATTACAACACCACTTAAAATTGACTATAACTACAATTGTCTTATTACAACACAAACTACAATTGTCTAATTACAACACAAACTTCAATTGTCTTATTACAACACAAACTTCAATTGTCTTATTACAACTAACTTTTCAGTAGCTACAACACAAACTTTGTCTCATTACAACACACACTACAATTGTCTCATTACAACAAACAAAATCTAAATCAGCTAAAGAAACAAAATCTAAATCAAAGACGAGATGCTCCATGCTTATCAAACAATGTAACTTAATATCCGTTTAAACTGATACTATCAATCTAACTAATGAAATGTTTGTGCAAGCTGCAGCCTAGAAATTAACCCTGTATCTTATGATACAGAGCATCAAACATGAACTGAAATGCCACGAGTGGACAGAGTTAATAATTCAGACTATTAATTATTACTAATTTGTTAAAACAGAAGCTGATATCAATTAAGGCATTTACAAACAAGTTGTTTAAGACAATTCAAAATCTTTCTGCAAGGAGGTAAAATACAAAATTTCATTTATATAAGTTACAGACCCCCAACGTTTTCAAATATAAATGCCCACAGCATACACATCTGCACTAAAAATGGCAAGATGGATCGCTTGTGGGATTTATGTGGTGACAGACAGCAGTATAAAGTGGAGATTGAAGACCTAGGTGCCTCGTGATAAAACCACAATTCCTGATAAATAGGTATCACAAAGTTACCAAAAGTCATCAATTCATCAAAACATCTACAGCTAGTTCACAAGGTACTAGATACGTACCTGTTCCAGTGTTCCATGTACTAGCAGCATTACAGGTGGAGAAAGAAGTTTTACCCTTACCTTAACTGCAGTATGTGTAATTAGATAAGAGTGTTTCTTTGTTGGATTTATTGACATAGAGTGAGCTAGGATCATTTTGAGGTGGGATCTCCTCGTACACAGTAACTACCTCACAGATCACTGATCAACATAAGGGAGGCCCATATGTCATTCAGATCAGCTGTAAAATATGGCAGGCTCATTGCATGCCGTTTAAAACCAATTTGTCTTGTCCATCGGACATAATCTATAAGATAATTTCAGACGTGATCTCTATAGGATTTCTGTGAGATTATCTCCATACCTATAGAAACACTACTAAATTACATAACAATTTGGTGGCTTAAATGTGAAATTTATGTCTCTTTAGACAGGTATGAATACAATTGCTTGGATTTTAAAGACAAATTTATGACATAAATGCCATAATATGATCAAATCATAAACCCTCCACATTATTAAAACGTAGTAAAATTTTAGTCCTTGGATTTAATAGTTCTCATATCAATGTGCTTGCACTTGCAAGCCTTTGAGTATAAACCTAGATGTAATGCCTGACTGGTTTGGTTGTGTGTATGACGTCAGTTCCTATTGTTGCAGGTCTACAGGTATACTGTAGTTAATGACCTCAGAAGACAATCTACCTCACAGATTTACTATGGCCCTGAGAGATAGGCTGGGCTTACCATTATCTGTATACACACAAGAAACAACACTGTTTTGGGTCTTTGTGATATACTGAGCACCTGCTCCTAGTCTTGTTACTGTAAAAAAACCCTGATTACCATCATCAATTGTAAACTCGTATACATGATGTATGTGTTTGTCACAACCAAGTCAAGTACACAATGTGCCCTTATGATCAACACATTTTGATATTTATACGTGCCTCACTTTAGATAGGTCATTCATTTTGTTCATTGGCAAAAATCTTATTTAGATCAAACATAACATCAACTGTATTCAACAAAATGTAAATATCTATTTAATAATCACTTTCATGTCAATGATAAGTTTTGATAAGTTTTAATGCATCTTGCTTATAGTACCTTATTCTTTATGTGTGACTGATAACTATTCTCAGCCACAAACTGATGAGAACATGCCATATCTGATTGTGGTAGACGAGCAAACATTAGTGAAAAAGACCAGTCTTACTGATCACAACACCAGGCATATGTTTTGTTGATAACCGACAGGTTTTTTTAAAAAAAGATTTATGAGAAATGGACACAGTGAGATGCCCTAGATTTCACAACAAGATGTCATAATTTGGCACTGATTTGTAAACAGAGACAAATAACCATATTTTTGAACAGAAACGTATAATAGCAGACATCCTCAAAATTACTTCACAAACAAAATGGAGGCATCCTGTCCTATATCTGTGTCATTATCTGCTCTCTGATTTTGGTTCCACCTGTAAAATCTGCTTTGTGCTTCCTTAAGGGAACTCATTATTTATAACAAACAACCATCCCTTTCATTGTTTCCTATGGTTAGATGTAATCTCATTTATAACTACAACTAGATGTAATCTCATTTATAACCACAACTTGATGTAATCTCATTTATAACCACAACTGATGTGACCTCATTTATAACAACAACTTGATGTAATCTCATAACCACAACTTGATGTTATCTCATTTATAACCACAACTAGATGTAATTTCATTTATAACCACGATTAGATGTAATCTCATTTATAACCACAACTAGATGTTATCTCATTTATAACCACAACTAGATGTGACCTCATTTATAACCACAACTAGATGTGACCTCATTTATAACCACAACTAGATGTAATCTCATAACCACA